GGACTGTTTTAGAAGTTATATAGAGGATATAGGCTTAATAGCGCTGTTTAAAATAGGAAAGATATATATATTATTAGTTATAACTATCTTATTCTTTAATATCTTAAAAATAGAGATTGTTATATAGTTCTAGCAGCTAAAAGATATTAGTATTAATTCTAATTATAGTTAAGTAAAGTTATTATATAATGCTTTAGATCTGCTTAAGTTTATAGGGAGTCCTTATAAAGCTTATTAGCGAGTTTTTTTATAAAGCCCTTAATAGCATATATATTATCGGACTTATAAAAGAGAGAATATTAAAGTTTATTTGTTTACTAGAATTCTTAGAGATATTTAGAGGCTATAGCAGGATATTGCTATTCTAGATTATATTAGAATATAATATATTTTAGTATAGATTTTAATAGAAGACTAATTTTATTATTAAGATTAATCTATAAGCTTTTATAATAATTAGTTTGTAATTAATTTTTATATCTAACTTAAGTTAAAACTTATTATAAGGGGAACTTAAGTTCTCTATTTTCTAAAATATTCTTCTATATTTATATATATACTTTATTTAGTAGGGCTATAAGAAAAGATAGTTATTAAATAGGGTTTTTAAGAGATAGCATAAGAATCTTTAAGTAAGATAATAATTATTTATTAAACTACCTGTAATCTAGAGATAGTTTAAGTTTATTATTTTTATAATCTGCCCGCAAAGGAAAGAATAATATATATAAGATATAATTACTCGCGCTATAATAATACTTAGTAATTAGTCTCTAATCTTCTGCTAATATTATTTTGCTTTATTTATTTATAAAGATTATCTTAGTAAAGCTAAAAAACTTCTTAAACTTTATAATCTAGATCTAATTTAAGTTAGAAAATTAAAATTAAAATTAAATCCCTGAATATATTTAATTTAGCTTTATATTTATAATTATTTCTCTTAATATATAGTTCTAATAAGAGTAATTATAAGTTGTCTATAAATACTCCTATAAATATTATAATTAAATATTATTATATAGAGGGGCTATAATATAAGCTATATAGTTAAATAATATATTAATAATAGGGTGTGTTTAATTTTTAAACTTTTTATAGTTCTTTAGTAGTTCTTTATATTAATTTATAGATTTCTTCTTTTACTCTTTAATAAGTAAGAATATATGCTCTTTATTAGTATTAATATAAGTAATATTTTTATAATTGGATTATAATACTGTAAGAATTTCTGATAATATTGCCTTATTATAGAGGTTAATAGCCTAGAGATATGCCTGTGGATTAATTAGCTAAATTCTAACTTAAGTTAAAATAGAGATATATATCGGCCTATAGTCTTTTAATTATCTTTCCTTTATAATTAATAGCTTTAGCGGTAGCTGTTTTTTTCTGCTTAGTTAGCAGCTCTAGAAGAGCTATATAATAATATTGCCTAGCTTATAATATTAGTAATATAAGCCCTTTTAGCTATTTCTTTAGATAGATAAAAAAGTTGCTATCTTTATTCTACTGCTGTTTTAAGAGATTATAAATATTGTTAATATCTACTAGTTTTAGTAGTTTTGTTATATATGCTTGCAATACTAGATTAAAGTCCTTAGCGCTTAGGGTCGCTTTTATTTATATATTAATATTAAATCTTTATATGCTAGTATAGAACTTATTTTTTAGGTTTTTAATATAGTTAGTATTAATATTTTAATTGTGTTCTATATCTTTCTAAGATATTTTAAGCTTCCTTATATCTATATATAATATTCTTAGATATTTATTCTTAAGCTTTGTGTAGATTATATTATCTCTTATTATTAAGAAGACTCTAGCCTTAGCTATATAGGCCTTTAGCCTATATAATATATTAATCTAAATAGGCTTAAAATCTAAATAGGGTTCTATAGAATTATTATAATTATAAGCCTTAGGTCTTTTTTATTAATACTTTTAGCTAGATTTTTTATATTAAAATCTTAGAGAGTTTGTCTTATTATTTAATAGGTATTTTTATTATTTATACTGTCTTTCTAATAGATAAAGTTATAGAGCCTTTAACTTAAGTTAGAATTTTAATTATAATAGGGTTAATAATTTATAGTAATATATAATAATCTTCCCTTATATCCTTAAAAATAATCTAACTTAAATTAGATTATTATTTAGTCTGTGTGCTATTCTTTACCTAGAGTTCCTCAATTAAATTCTAACCAGGTTAGAATTTATTTTTTTTATTAAAGAATATATTTAGTAAAAGAAGTAAATATAGTAAAAGAAAAAATAATATAATATATATACTCCTAATATAGATTATATCTAATTAGGAAATTGTATATATATAGGTATATAATATTAGAGACTCCTTAGGCTCTCTTATTAATTATTTTATTATTACTTTAGTTAACTATTATTAGTAAGATTGCTGCTAATTAAATAAGTAAGCCTTGCCTATTTTTTAGAGACTAAACTTATAAATTCTAATTTAAGTTAAATTATAAGTGGGTCTATTATATATTTAATTTGTTATTATCTTTATTATTAGTAATATCTTGTAATAACTTATTGCTTATATTTCTTTTTTAGTGGCTTATAGTAGTATTTTAAAGGTGCTTTAAATTCTTAGGTTTTAGTTAGATATATTTAATTAAAAGATCAGTATATAATACTTATTATTTATCTTATTCCTCTATAGGCTAAGTTATATATAGATAATAGTTAGTTTATTTAGTAATATAGCTAAAGTAGCGCTAAATATTTTAAGTATAACCTTCTAGTATATTTTAACTTAAGTTAAAATGCTCTTTTCTGGCTTAGATTATCTATTTAAACCGCCCTTTATATCTAGAGCTACTATAATAATAAATAACTTATAATTTTTTTTAATTATTGTTTTATAAAATCTTAATATTTCTTTTTTAAAACTATCTTATTTAATTTGCCTTTAAAAAAGAAAGATATTAGCCCTGGGTTATAATAGTTATTATTAAGATTAATCTGATTATTCTTAAGAATATCTTTATTAATCCTGAAGCTATTTTATCTAAAATTGCTATATTTTTTATTTGGCTTAATAAGATTAAGGGATATTCTTATATTTATTTTTACCTTTTTTTTTTTTAATATTATTTAAAAGGCAAATTGGCAAATTTTATTGCCCGATATTAATATGTAAGATATATATTTCTACTTATAGTCTACTGTAAAAAAGTATTAAGTAACTTAGCTTGTTATATTTAATATATTAATAAAAATATAGATAGCTAATTTAATTTAGGATAAATAATTCTGGTATATTTAGGGGATTATTTTAATTGCTTTCTTAAATAGTAAGGGAAAGTATCTTGTAATTTAAGATTATAATCTATGAGATCCTGGCTAAAAATAACTATATTAATTTTTTTTTTTAGCACAGAATTATTTTTTAAAATTGGTAAGAAAAAAAACCTTAGTTTTATTATTATAGTATTATATTAATAGAGCTAAATTAGGGTAAAATAAGTGTCTGCAATTTATAATAGAATAGCTATATTAAATAGCTTAATTAGGGGATTATCTATTATAAGAGAATAATATTTAACTTAAAAACTATATTTAGATAAAAAAGAAATAGCTATAAGAATAATATAATCTTAGTAGTTTAAACTTAAGTTAGAATTTTAGTAAGCTTTATAAGTATATAGAATTTATATATTTTCTATAGAAGTTATAACTTACTAATTATATATAGATTTTATTATTAATTTATTAAAAGAATAATCTAGAAATTACTTTTTATTAAGAATAATAATAGTAAATAAAATCTATTCTTTAGTTTAATAACTTTAGCTTTTATAATAAATTATATATATTGTTTAATAGTACTCTATTAGCACTATAGTTTATAAATATATATATATATTTCTATAATAATTATTTTAAAGTTTATATTAATATTTAATAATATTTTAAAAGACTATCTTTATATTTTTAGATTTAATATAATAATATTATATTTAAACTATTTTTTAGCTATAGATTTAAAAGGATATAAATTTAATAATAATATAAAATAATATAGAATATTAATACCTTTAACACTGTAAACTGTATAAACTATTTAAACCGAACTGTTTAAGAAAAATCTAACTTAAGTTAGTTTAGCGCCCGGTCTTAGCGAATATTTTGGTTTTTTTGGTTTTAAACTGAACTGCCAGAATACGGTTTAGTTTAGGTATGGTTTTCCTGCCCTGAATTAAAACCTGCTATGGGCGGTTTAACCCTTCCCCGAACCGAACTGAACTACCTATATAACCAGTCTAAAATAATTTAATATTATAATAAATTCTAAAGGATTATAATATTATAAAATAAAAATAGAGATAGATTTTATAGATAAAATATTTACTATATTTAAAATAAGATATATATATATTTATAAAGCAATTTAGATATTAAAATAATAGTTAATATCTAATTTCTATAAATAAGGAAAGTAATAAATTATACTTATAGTAATAAATAATATATAGCACTTAAAAGAAGCTATTAATAATATTAAATAAAGATATAAAATATATAGTTATAAAAGATTAGAGGAATAATATATATAATAGGGATAGAAAGATAAAGATAGAGGTAATATTTAGTATATATTGCTAAAGATAGTATAAAAAGTTTAGATAAAAAAGTAGTTTTAATAAAATATAGGAGCCTATATGTAACTACAGGAAGCATCTAGAATAGAAGATGGTTAGACTAAAACTAATAAGCAATACAGAATAGCAGCAGTAGAACAGATATTAAAGTATACATTTTAAAGGGATCGCCTATGTATATATATGATCCTGGGGATAATATGGCTCTTTTCCTTGGATATCTTGTGTTTCCTGCCAAGTCTAGGGAAGCTTGGACTTTGCCCACGTGGATACCCCAGGAATTGGTTCGCGCGAGTAAGATCCATTATACAATGGTCAATGCATGTTCACAGAGAGGGAAATATCGCAAATAGGATAACTTAGACGAAGAGAGGCTTGAACTATCATCGCATATAGCGGCCTTACGTTCTATAGGGCATGCTTGATCCAAGATACTGTACAATTCTACCAAGTTGAACGGAGCTATGCTATCGCTATCGTACACTAGTCCAACATCTAGCTTTGAAGAAATGCAGCTCTAGGCGCCCGTTCGCAGAGGATGAGCATTGGGGCCAGGCGATGTGGCAGAAACATCTGCAAAGGTCGATGCCCTCTTCCCCTTGGTTTTATCACCAACCCCATTCATCTTCGTGCCGGCATCAGGGAACTTCCGCGGATTGATCCATTCACCGCTGGTAACACTATCCTCACTGTCTCTGCGCGAGAGATTGGGAGTGACTCGGCCCAGCAGCAGACCACGAACCCCTCCCGCTTTGCGAAGCGGTATTTCAGCGCCCCCTGCAGTGAGCACGTAGAGCAGATATTTCAGATTGGGCAAAGTATGGCGAATGTCGAGTGGCCGTAGTCCACGGGCCGTCATAAGGAACTCGATATCCTTGTTGAGGAGGAAGACACCGTACTCGAACCGATAGTGAACGTTCACCGGATAGAGGGGGAAAGTCCGCTGTGGGAGAGCAACCGACACGGGGTCGTGAATAATCGACGCTGAGGAATAGGGCTTGAGGGGATAGGGAATAGGAGTAGATAGATAGAACGACAGAAGAAATACCAAATGAGCCGTGAATCCGAGAGCCGCGGCGACCGACTCCCGGTCTATATCCCCAAAGGATGAATTGGGCAACGCGAGGCCAGCAATGGTAAAAGCGAGTGGCTTTCCCGGAATAGGCTCGATTGGATAGACTGAAAGAAGATCTTCACAGATACGGCGTATTTGGCCCTTGGATTCTTCTGTGTTCTTCTCCAGCAGACTTGCACTTGATGCGAGTTTCACTTGGGCATCAGGGAGATGGCTGCGTGTCCTATCCTGGCTCTCACGGCCAACAACCATTGCCTCTCTCCTCGCCTTTATACTAGCTACTAATTCTTCTTTGCGTTTGGTGGAACCACGGAGCTGCTTCTTCTCAGCTGCGACGGCGCGTTTCGTGAAGGAAAGGTGGTCTTGCGCTTGTGAAGCCTTGCTAAGGGAAGAGATTGCATGCTGGTTCTTCTCGAGGATCGTGTTGATCTGCGCCTCTAGCTTCTCCCTTGTCGCCAGCGCATCCTGAATACAGTCGTCCAGGTTCGCCAAGCGCATCAATGCATCATAGGAGGATGTCGGGTGGGCACTTTTCTGATGCCATTCCGACACCTTGGAGGTTCCAGGCCCTTGGACGGGAGGAAGATCTGTTAAATTCGTATACACCCCGTCGGCAAAGTGGAAGAGAATCGAATTGGGCGGGAGAGGCTGGTGAAAGCTGTCCAGCGATTTCCCCACGAATTGAAGAGACCGGAGACTCAGCTGTAGCTCGACCAGCAATGTATATTCACGCATCGCAGCCGTTTTCGCCCAGAGCTTTAATGTCATCTCATCCAATCGCGAGACAAGTGGTCCGCAGGTGTTTAGATCGAAAGACTGAAAGCTTGGATTCGTCGCTTTCTCAATCACCTCGCTGATATACACCGGGCCTTCGACATTGTCGCAATGGATCGAAAACCACGTATCTGCCATCCTGCTCTGCATGATATCCCCGAGTTTTATCTGTCTAACCTCGGCATTATCGCCACTCCAGGGGAGGGTACTTCGTCTTCGACTGCGCCGGGATTCATGCCGCGGATCTTCAGCATCATTGCCAGGCAGTTTGACAGGGTTCTTCAGGTCCGTAAAGGAGCGCGAATGCTGCAATGAGCGGCTTTCCGCTTTGGCCATTGCTTTCGCCGGCGACTGTAGGGTGTTCGGGATGTCATCGTCGTCAATTGTCTTCCCACGAGACCGGTTGGATGGGGGGTCGATGACGAGATTACGAACCGAGACCCCCTGCAAGTGTCGCAGTCTGCGATTCTAGGGCAACAGTCCATTATTAGGCGTACGTTCTATCAATATAATAGATAATAGATAATCAGGAAGCAAGCTGTACCGATGGGAAGAGCCATGGCCGCTGGCGCTGACTGCCCGCGACGTCGTTGGAACTGTCCGGGTTGTCTCTTGTAGACGACATAGCGATCCTACTGCCCGTCGTCCGCGACACCAGTCATCATTTGAGGGGGCGATGGGCCCAGAATTATATAAGAATATGGCGATCAATTTAATATTATTATCATGAGGATAGAGGACGCCCGTTGTTGCGCGGAGTTGACACCAGTAGTCTTCATAAGCCGCCTTTGGGGGTTCAAGTTGACGCGGAGAGACCAGCGGACGCCCCGATTGGGACAACGTTCGAGCTCCGTCAAAAATTGATCCGAGCTTCGCATCCCAACTTCGTCCATTTAAGTATCCATCTGCGGCACTTTGTCCACTTACTCCAACTCCCAACGACCGCCTCCGTCTCTTCACTTGTGGGCCTGCGATGCAATAAGGGATATCTCTGCAGAGGAGGGAATAAGTGCAGCGCACCGATATCACAGGCCGCAATGGCCTCCGCACAGCCGATCCAGAGACCGATCCAAAAGATCCTGGATCCGACAAAGATCGGAACCTGGAATATCGTCCGACGACCACCTATTGAGAATGGCAGTATCATCCAAGGGAAGCCGAGAGAACAGAGTTCGAATGCTTTCAAGACATTTCAATGGCAAGAAGGGGCACGGCTACGGAAGGCTCTGAATGCCCTCACTCACGGAAAGAACATTTTCGTGTACAACAACATCCGTACCAACCAAGTGGTCTATTCCTTGACCCGATATCTGGAGGTAGGTCTTCGACTGTTAACACTGACGAGATATACATCGGATCCGATTTACTAATCAACATCTCCCATCAATAGAAGAACAGTGTTCTCTCCCAGCTCGTATACCATGGCAAGAAGACCGTTCCCGCGACCCTCCGAAAAGACATGTGGGTTCCCTATTTCTCCGCACATTTCAACGAGAAGAAGGTCGGTCTGCGAGCCTACCACCTTCTTCGCGAATTCTCCATGCAGCGCCAATTGGCCCCGCCGAGGGAGATGATCACGATCACGGAGGAATTTCTCCAGCAGAAGCGACCGCGCGATCCTAACGAGGCCAAGAAGTTTGACGAGGAATACCAGGGCAAGCTTGGTTGGTTGATGGACAAGAAGCAGCGTGCCCGTGTCCTGATGGACCAGAAGGCCACCAGTGTCGCAGATCTGGCTGCGGTTCTCGCCATTCAGGAGGAGGAACTCAAGAACGGTTTCGCAGATGGAAAGAGAGGTTATCTCACGCGGACGGCGAGACAGCGCCGTCGCGCTGCCCGCGAGCAGGAGAATGAGCTGGCTGAGAAGCACGCCCAGCTGATTGCGAACTTCGAAAAGGCCATCAGCACCCCCGAGGTCGAGTACAAGATCCAGGAACCCCACGGCAACACGGAATACGACGTGCAGAACGATGAGGTCAAGGTTCTCTGGTACGATCTCCAGGATGCACGATACGCCGAATCATGGCCGGAGAGAGTCAGACACGGCGAGCTGGAGCTCACCCGTCAGCATGTTATTCCCGGACAGAAGCTGTTCGACCTGGACGTGCTGGCCGATCACGCTTTTGAGGAGAAGAAGCAGGCATAAATGCCTACATTTTTTCATTTAAATGATCTCACGCTGTTCCGTGAAACGCACAGCTGAGATGAACCTGGCACGCGTCTACTCCTATAATGCCATATCCTCTTTCTCGCACCCCTTTCTGGCGGATCAAAAAAGAAAACCGGAGTTTAGGCAACCCCGCTTCCATATTCCTTTTTCTGAACCTGTATTCCAATCTGCATTTTATACAACTTGTACATCTAGACGTCCTTACGTGTCGACTTTAGAAATGACAAAACCCAATTCATTCAAATTTACTCGGAAAAGAAGCACTTTACCCATTTTCCTGGTATTTGAATATTGAGCTTATGGTTAAGGAGGGTAAATCACGGAAGAAGAAAAAAAAGGCGACCATGATATACCGTACATAAGTCCGATTGGAAACTGGTAAATAAAAATTGGATAGAGTTCAACAATGCTGCAGCAACAGGCCAGCAGGAAGGCTTTGAAGAGCAAAAGAGCCATGATGTGATAGCGCTGCGAATAACTGAGCTGGAGACGGACATAACGGGACTGGCTCGTCCATAGAACAGGGAGCAAGAACAAGAGGAAAAAGAAAAAGAAAAAAAGACCATCGAACCGAGTCGGAAAGGGGAATAAATATCCATGTCAGAGTTTGTCTTGGCTCGTGTCTGATCAATGGATGCGCTTTGACGCGTGGAAAGAGAAGTAAATCAAAAGTCGCCTAAGTAAACACCGCCCACCTGCCCCGGTCATACTCAAGTTACAAAGTAAATCAAAGGATCTCTATTGTCATTTGAAATATAAGTTGCTGGTCCCTCCAGGGATAGAAAGAACTAGGAGTTCTTGTCGTTATCGTCATTTATTTTGGCCTTGTTCTCCACGTCCAGCTCTTCAATATCGGGTCCTTCTGTGATCGCGGCCAACTCGGGGCCAAGTTCTTCGTTCGAAGATTGTTTGACAGCTTCTTCCTTAAGCTTATCATTGAGACTCGGATCCACACCTCCCATATCGGCCTTGGCTATACTCTTTCTGACTCCCTCGACAATCTTGTCGGCCTCGCTGATTCCGCCCTTCTTCAGCGTGGAGGGATCGCCCTGTACACCAATTGGTTCGATCCGCCGCTCGACCACGTCTTTAACACGAGCCGGATCAAAGCGTATGACCATACACGAAAGGTTGTCCGTACTAAAGCGTGAGAGCGCATGGTCAACGAGGATCCTGGAGGCCTCCTGTGGATCTTGGACGTTGCGAATGAGATCGACAGCTTCCTGATCGCTACAGACATCCCAAAGCTACATATATTGATCAGCATCGATAGTCCTAGTTGGCCAGTGAGGTTTGAGTAACTGATGAGACTTACACCATCGCATGCCAATATTAGAAATTCATCCACATCCGGCTGGATGACTGTTTCTGTAGTGTATGGATGACCGGTGACGAGATCTTTCAAGTAGGCATCACCAAGCGCCCTCGTCACGGCTAGGACGCCGTTGACTCGGTTATTAAGTATCAGACCGCCCGCGTTGGCGATCCGTTTCCCTTCGTTTTCATCACTGCCCTTATGGTCATAAGATAAGCGAAGAGCCTTGCCGTTCCGGCACAAGACTATGCGTGCATCACCGACATTAGCTGTATAAAGGACGCGCTGGCGAGTGGCATTCTCCTGCATCTTGGACAGAAGCGCGTTCGAGCTAGCATTCGAGGTCGCCTGCGTCGGAGTCTCTGCGTTGTCTGTTTCTCCATCGGATCTATTGGAGCCAGAAACAGCCGCCGCTATCGCGGTAGAGCCAGTTGCAGACTGAGAGCTCGGGATTCGATCCTCCCATCTCAGAACTGCGGCTACAGCAGTACATCCGCTATTTTTCAACGGTAGTTTTTCCAACTGCTGATCGACGCTAGTAAACGTCTGATCAAGAAGCTCGGGCACGGGAGTGTTTGGGTTTTTCCGCATTATGTCTTCAAGGATCAGATGTAGCTTCTTCCCGCACCATTCTGCCGCGAATGTTCCTGCGTGACCATCGAAGATAGCGAAGTACCCATTGTCCGTCTCGACGACATGCGTTGATTCATCCGAATCGGTTGGGTTGTCCGCAGAATCGGGGGAATCCTTGCTGTTGAGAGAAGAAGCCTCCAGCTGACCGGAGGGAGCTGGCGTCCCCAGGAAGTTGTACAGATACGCGTGCGTATCCTCCATTGTTCTCCGACATTTTCGATTTCGATCTTCCGTGACTCCGACTCGGAATGAGGACCGCGCTGTTGGCAACGACTCTCCAGCTGAGTTATTCAGCGGACCCTGCGGGACGCTTAGTGCGGGGTCCATCTTCCCCAGCTTCTGTAGAGGGGTCTGAGGAGACTGAGCTACGGCGTTCGCCTGGTCGCGTGAGCTGTACAGGTGTAACGAGTTCTTGGCGTTGCTGAAGAACGATGCTGCCTTTGCCACGCTACTCCTGCGCTTCTTGTCTGCGTCCGCGCTCTGCTCTTCGCTGTTCTTTCTCGCAAACGGGTTCCTCCTCTCGCGTCCAGCGCTCGTGTCTTCGGTGTTGATGGTCAGGGAACCAGGGCTAGTCGGACTGGTTCCGAATGAATCAGGTTTGTCTTTGGGCGGGCTCGATGAGCCACCGAACATTCTGTTCAGGAACCCGCCCTGAGTAGAGAAACTCCTCCGTTTAGTCCCTGCCAGCTTGATTGTTGTCCGACAACCGGGATAGACACGAGGTAATGTGAAGAGTAGCGTCGAACCGGCTGAACCGGGGGAACGGGAATGATTGGATTTCAGTAGCTGTTGGAGCTGGGGCTCGCTCCGTGGCTATAGTAACGAGACGCCGTGTAGACAAAGTCGAGGGACGAAAGCGGCTATAAGACTATTGTAAATGGTGTCAACCGACAATTCGACGTTCAGAATGGTCAAGGGGTCTGTAGCTTCAAAGGATACGCTGGCATTGTCCGGAAGCCGGATGATCACGTCGAGCAGCGTCCGTGTAGGGACAGGGCGTACAGCTTTCGTTTCGCGGGCCGGCAGCCTCCGGCCGGTGGGAGCGGAAAGAGAACGTACCTTTAGAATCGAGTACTATACTAGGTAGTATATGGAAGACGGGAGAGGGAGATAAGTGCGTTCGATGGTGGTGATAGCAGGTTGGGTCTGGTCTGGCCGGTTCAGGAAGACTCCCACAGCGCCAGGTCTTGCGAGGCGTAAGTTAAGTACTCCGTATTATTACAATCCGGATTCCACGGGCAGAACAGCGCAGCGCGGAGGCCAAGGTTCAGGAGAGGTGGGAGGGTGGGAGAAGTTCAGACAAGAAGGAAACCCAAACCCCTGGCAGATGAAGAACAGGGCGGATAGTTGACTATGATTATGGTATTATGGACGAGAGGAGACGTGGAGAGGCACTATCGATCTGGGCAACCCGAGTATCGGGGTGGGCGGTGCAAGTGACGCCCGTCGCAGCACGTTGAGAGCCTCCTGAGGGTCGAACGCGGCGGGGAGGAGCCCGGAGCCAAGAAAAGGCCAGGACTAAAGTAGTGACGGAAATCTGAGGAAGTCGAGTAGTAAGTTACTAGAGTATTTAATAATAATCATAATAATACTAAATAATAATAATAATAATACATGATGACTGTAACTACTACTCTGTACATAATTAACTAGTTCACTAGTTATCTAGTCCCGGGCGGACAATGAGATCTCCAGCGCATCCTGGTGGAGCATCATCTGCCTGCAGGCTAAAGCTAAGACAACGCCTCATTATTATTTACTGCAGAGAATAAGGCAGTCCTCTATGAATCTATCTCTCGATCGAGTTAATAGTCCTTCCACGCCATCCCGCGCTGACGTGCCAGTGTCGCACTGTCATAGTAACTAAGAATACTACCACATACATACCTAGCCTATCGATTTAGCGGCCCTGAGCGTACCTCCAGACTCCAGAGTCCAGCGGAGCGGAGATCGTGCATGCATAAATAATAACTACTAACTCCTCTCCAAGTTTTTTTTTTCCTACTAACTACTCTAAACAAGCGGGGTTCGAGAGCACATCTCACTGGTATTCTGGACTCTGGACTCTGGCTGCTCCGCACGCAGATGATGGAATAGCCGACTCGGCCACTCTGACAGGAAGGTTATCCAGGGCGCATTCGAATTGATTTTCCTCAGCTTGCGCATATCAGGACATGAAACCTAGGTGTGACCTCACAGCATGATAGTACGGCATATCAATGCTGGATCCCTCTCACAAAGCGCATCATAGCCTTTGATGCCTGGTTTTCGGGCTTTTCCGCCCACAGTTCACTCGGATGGTCTCTGGTGCACATCAGGTCTCCCTATTAGCATCGAAGTTCTTATCTACGCCGTACAGGCTGTTATAGAAGAGGCTCGATCTGTCCACGGGCATAAAAGTCCAGGGTATCTGCCCGAGTCGCTTTCTCGTTCAACGAATTGAGGTGCTTGGTATACGTATATCACATGCAGACCGGGGACAGCGAACTCCAGGAACACCGGGGTCGTAAAACAGAAAGCAATGCCATCGAGAAAAAAAAAAAAAAAGAACCAAAGAACCCATCGTCCAGTCAAATCATCGTCGAAGGCTGTCCAATCTAGCCTGAAGATCGTCGTCGTCGGTGCTGCCGCCGCCGCCACCCACGGCTTGAGCCACTCTTGCTTCGCTGGCGGAGGCCTTCTGAAGCCCTGAGGGGGTTTCTCCCATCTAAATGAGATAGCTTAGCTGTTTGTCCCAAATCTACTCGTAGCATCGTGCGCGAAAGGAAGCAACATACCGCTTGGTTGAGGTCAACTCCAATCTCGTCTAGGACCTCCTTAACAACCTCTTCACCTTCCTCTTCATCCTCCAATCCAGTAACGTCATCAATAGCATCGTCCATCATTTCTTGGCGTTGGTCCATAATGTCGTTTTCTCTTTCGAACTCCATCGCTATCCGTTGGAGGGCGGGAAGATTCATCTGACGGTTCATGCTTCCCAGAAGCATGGTGGCCCCTTTCATCGACTGCATCATCTGCTCGTTGCTTCGAACAGTCTGTCTTATGGTGAGTGATGGAGAAACATTAAATGCCATTGAATTGGGATGGTGCGTACCTGAATGCGTAGCGAAATCGCTTGTAGCTGGGTTCGCATCGAGTAGAATTTCTGGATATATCTAGAGACGGATATCCGTCAGCGAACAGTGGATATAATCATCACCAAGCCCTTCTGATAGACGTACCGTCTAGTCCTCACGAGATCCTTGGCTTGGATCTTGCAGGCGCCCATCTGTCCGTTTTTGGCGCTCTTCTTGATGTCCTGCACCAGCTTCTTTTCCTGATTCTCCAGCTTGATCCGCTCTCGGTCCAGCTCCCGCTGGGTGCGCTCAAGCGCTCTCTGATGTTTTCGCAGACGCTCTGCCGGCGTCATGCGCTTTCCAAAGGCCCATTCGACGATCTAGGCAACTCCGTAAGTAAGCGGGATGACAATAGCAGGAGGGGAGTTGGTTACATTCATGGCGGCGGCAAAGGTATAATCGTCCTGGACTACCTTGCCTGCAAGCAAGAGCGACAGTGTCTCTTGACGGACGATGGAACAGCTGCACGCTGATCGAGATAGCCTCTCTGTGACATCAAACGGCTGGTAGATAGAGTCGATGAAGCCAAGAGCGACCACACCCGATTGGGCCTAGGTGTCGGAGCATGCGATCACCGCGAAATTTCCATGGGACTGACGCCTCCTGCTTCAGACAATCACTAAGCAGCTTTGCCGCGAGCCCCGAGAGTCAGCGTTGTTTCTCTTTTTCATGGAGACGCGAGCTGTGTAACGTTCGCCCAGCGCATGAATTTCTCATCATGAGTCAAGAATATTTCCCCAACAGGGCTGGTTCCTCTGCCGGCGAGGGGTCGTCGCGATCCGTCCGCGATGAGACGCCTCCCCGGAATCCTTTTCTGCCGCCGGAATATATGACGGTTGGCAATGGAACGACCTCAGAACACGCTACGGCTTTGATGGCGTCTCTGAATCAGGATTCTGGATACGGTGGCAGCATTGCTGGAGACAGCGCATCGGATGAACAGATTCGCGAAGGATGGCGTGCAGGATTGATGGAAGACCGCCCGACCCCGATGCATACGCCTACTTTCCCCGGAGACTCAAGCGCTGCCGGTAGGTGTTGCAAATCTGCTCGTCGAGATTCAGACGGAGACTGATGTTCCATGTTGGTAGGCGATCATGAACGACACGTTGTTGCGAGTCACGTCCATCAACTACTCTAGTATGCCGTCTCCTGACAGTCCGCCAGATTTCCGGTACTGACAATAACCCAGCAATTCGAACCGCACCAAGCTGTCCAGGTCCATCACCCGCACAATTGAAACGTTGAAGGAGTTACAGGAGATGAACCGCCAATGGCCGGCACACTATCCGTCTGTTCAAGGGAGTCCTGAGAGACCGGCGCTGCAGCATACGCAATCCCTCGTCCATTTGGAGGATGAAGCCAATCTTCCGCCACGTCCGGGCCCAATCAAACGGGCGGCAACCTCGTTGGAAGATGGTGAATCTAGCGCAGCTGCTGAACGCCGCGCGCCTCCGGAGCCCAGATTGATGACGCCTCAGATTGCTCAGGAATTCTCCATTCTAAAGCTAGACCTGAAGCTGGGAGCATTGTCGCAAGCTGAACTGGTACATTCGCTGGAAAAGGCGTCGATTGCGTCGTTGCTCGATGGGAAGATCAGCCAAAGTATCAAGCACCTCCTATCATTGCGGGATCGGATCGAGGACATCTCCAGCAAAGTCCTTGTCACCGGTGATCTGAACGCGGGTAAATCCACATTCTGTAACGCTCTGCTTCGTCGCAAGATCTTGCCTGAGGACCAGCAGCCATGTACCAGCATCTTCTGCGAAGTCCTCGATGCCAGGGAGAATGGAGGGATCGAGGAAGTCCACGCCGTGCACAAGGACCGACAGTATAACAGAAACGATGAGAGTACATACGACGTATACTCGCTGCTGGAACTCGAAAATATTGTCATTGACAACACGAAATACATGCAGTGCAAAGTCTACGTCAAAGATGTGCGCTCTATCGATGAATCGCTGCTTAATAACGGAGTGGTCGATATCGCTCTTATCGATGCGCCTGGCCTGAATTCTGATTCCCTGAAGACTACCGCTGTGTTTGCACGACAGGAGGAGATTGATGTTGTCGTCTTCGTGGTTTCAGCTGCTAATCACTTCACCCTGTCCGCGAAGGAATTCATCATGAACGCAGCCCATGAGAAAGCGTACATGTTTATGGTGGTCAACGGATTTGATAATATCAGGGACAAGCAACGATGTGAGCGAATGATCTTGGACCAGGTCGCTAAACTTAGTCCTCGCACGTACAAGGAATCTGCGGAGCTTGTCCATTTCGTTTCCAGCAATGCCATTCCCGTGGCACCTACGATCCCAGTTGGAGGTTCTGGTTCCGGAAGTGGTGGACCTGGCGGTGGATCAGACCCTTCCGACGATGGTCCAGGAGATGACGGCGACGATGACGACAAGGGAAAGGCTGTCGATAAAGGGAAGGGAAAAGAGAGAGAAAAGATTCAGGATTTCGAAAATCTAGAGAGTGCTCTACGTCGATTCGTCTTGGAAAAGCGGGCTCGCTCGAAGCTGGCGCCTGCAAAAACTTATCTGATGAATGTATTGTCTGATCTCAACTCATTGGCTTCTGTCAACCGTGACGTCGCACAGGCGGAGCTGCAACGAGTCACAAAGGAACTGGAGGAGCTGGAGCCAGCATACGAGGATGGCAAGAAAAAAAAAATAGCGGTGGCGGATGATGTCGAGAAACGCATTGAAGAATCATGCGAGGATGTTTACGACCACACTCGCTCCAAGCTTACGACCACAATCTCTCACGTTGCCGAAGCTGATCTTGGGGTTGAATACCCCGGTCTTTTCTCCGTCTTCCAATACGCGGAGGATCTCAAGCTCGCCATGTTGGATCAAATATCCATGTCAGTGTCCGACTGTGAGAACTACGCTCGTGCAAAGACCGTGCAGGGTGTCAACTTCATTCAGAACATTGGCCTGCTGCATGTAGGCGAGGACAAGTTCCCACCCCTGAATTTCAGAGCTGACCTTATGTTCCGTCGCGGCCGTCGTCATACCTTCGCTCGTCAAGTAGACACCGAGGTGGAGCTGTTGGATTTCTTTGATATTGCCAGTCTCTGGGAACGTCAGGAAAAGGTCGCTGGAACGGGAATGGCTATGACCCTTGTTACCGTTGTCGGGGGTAGAGCATTTGGAGGCGCGGGTTGGATCGACGGTCTCTTCGGCGCTGCGAGAATCCTCGGATCTAACAATTTGCGTCGCATGTTTTTCCCAGGTGTTATCGCCGCAGGTAAGTACAAAGTCTACTTTTCTTTGCATTGGTCTTATCGGCACACATACTAACTTCTGCCTTTAGTCGTATTGACTGCCGCCTATGTTCTCTCCTCAATCCCAACCACTCTTCCTCCACGTCTCTCCAAGAAGCTGGCCGCCAGGTTGGCTGAGATTGACTACACACACACCAATGCGTCTAGAATCTCGGCAGAAGTCCGCCGCATGCTCCGTATACCGGCAGTTAACCTCCAGACTGCCCTGGCTCAGGATATTGAAGACCTGGGCAGGCGCAAGGATGAGGTCACGAAAGTTAAGCGGGAGAGCGAGGTTGCGAGCAAATACTTTGCCAATCTCTTCCGTGACAGTGGGGAGAACCGAAGAAGTGTCGAGCAGATCGACCTTGAGGCTCCATTGCCTGGTGCTATGGCCGGCTATGGGGCGTAAAGCTCAACTCATCATCCACACTGATATATGTATTTACTGTACGATTTGATCCCGGGGACTGGCGCGACTGGATTGCACCTCTGCGTTCCTATGATGTTTTCTTCTCTATTCCCCCTTTCCTTTATTCATACAATTTCTCCCCACATCACCCTGACCTTCACTGTTACCCTCTGATGCAGACCAATTATTGTGGTCTTGACTCTCCTATTGTTTACAGCGGCGCATATGGGTACTCCAGATGGAACTCTCGAAACGCCATGATATACCATAAATACATTTCAGGCAGCTCGCCTTACCACTATCCCAATGTATCTACATAACCTGGTCATCAGGCAACGTCATATAGTTTTCTCTGAAGGTTCTATCTGTTCTTAGTAGGATCCGAGGCGCCGTCATTCTCTTTTGTCGTCCAACTGGATTCCCAGCCAGGAACGAGGTATCTAGAGCTGAGCACTTAACAATCCTCCGTTGTATATGGAACCAAACTAGAAGAGATAACCAACTATATATATTTTCTGGACAGGGGTCATATATCATCAGTGTCAAAGTGCGTTTCCTCGTAGTAAAGATAAAGATATGACAGATGCTCTATGCATAAAGCGAAGATAACCAATAACAGTAGCCAAATCAGTGCGGCGTGAATGAAAAAATAGTATTCCTTGTTCCCCGGACCGCTCTGTCTTGATGGTACTTTTGACATTTCGTCAGCTCATCTTGCATTGACTTGATTCGACTCGACTCGACTCACGTACTATGTTACTGTCTTGATCTTGTCGATTTTATTGAACGAAAGAAAGAAAAAGCAAGAAATCTCTTATTCACGAAGTTAGTTGGCCATATCACATCTCAGCTTCTGCGCGGTCTGCTGGGAAGTCGCTCACCCGGTCCTTCACTAGTTAGCAGTTACTTTCATCTCCGCCTCCCCTCTCAGCTAATCTAGTTGCTTCACTCCGAGGGTATTTAATGGCTTTTATATTTACGGAAATGTAGCTAGCTCTACGTAGCTCCCTTAGGATTATAAATACAGTGATCTTTCTTGCACTTCTGTGATTGAGTTTTGTTCCTTCTTCTACAGAGAGTGCCTATCTTTTACCTATATAGTCTTTCCTTCCCATTGAACTTTATATAGAATCCTTCTTATATTTTTTTATGGCTTAGGAACCTCTTTATTTCTCTCTGTGTTCATCTCTATTGTGAGAGAAAAGCTAACTTTATTTCCACAGAGGAAAGGAGAAGCAAAAATATATTTCAATACGTCGGACTTTCTCAGCACACTTGGCTCACTGATGGTCTCTCTCTTCGCCAAGAACTGGCTTGCATTCTTCCTTGTCTTATCTCTAAATGGCTCTGGCCCGCTAATTGGGAGAAGAAGTGGGAGGCTTAGGAGAAGGCAAAAGAGGCCAGGTCGGATACCGAGGGCCATTAAATGACCAAGATAATGCTGATGCCGACCCCAGAAGATCTAAAGGAGATACTGTCACAACTGAACAATTTCAGGTTGGGATTGGAATCATGGCAAGATACACTCCTATGCCGAGAGGGAGAGCGCATTGATAGGAAGCTCTTGAACATTTATCGGTATCACTTCGTTGATCAACACGGATTCACGGAAAGAAGACTAGCTTTCACTTTGATCAATGAAGAAGCCCGCAGTCATGATATCAACCGGCACTCAGACAAGCGAGGATATATCTCCTGAACTGCCCCTGGGGAACCCTGTCCCAAGCGAACCCTCATACGCTAACCCCCATACGCCCGCCGTTATGAGGGGCTCAGAAGGTGCCTGGGCTCGCTAAGCACCGGTCGTTTCGGAGGTAAGGCCTTGACAACGGTCTTCTGAGTGATAAAGAATCTGAGATCAGAACGCAGGAACAGGAATCGCTTGCCGATGAATAGTGCAAGTACGATAAGTTCCAGCAAGCCATCCAGGTAGACGCGGTCATGTATATGTTCAAAGTTTGCATGCGGCCAGATAACCACTGGCATCTGATCGCCTTTCCGCGCATCTGAAGTGACAAGAACAGCTGGAGAGCAGGATGAAGGCGCATCTCCGCTCTTCTCTGCGAGAGCCAGAAAGACGATCACCTAACTTGTTATAGTTGTTCCTGGCAATTACTACGTCCTTCTGTTTTTAGCTTTTCAGAAACTCTGCCTCTTTTGTTGTTTGTGCTAATGAATTTCTCCTGGTAGTATCGTGGCCTCCTATAACCCTGGGTGAGCTTTTTGGGCCGTACATCACAGCAGGCAGATATGCAAACACAACTTTTTATTTGTCTTTGAACAGGTTGCGAGCATTGGCGAGAGAGAAGATATTAGCGATGGGCTTTACTCCCGCCTAGCTCTTGCTGGCGATTAGCAACCTTGCCCTTCTGGGTAACTGGCTCTCCGTTCTGACTCCGTATTTTGACTTTACGGTAGGCCTAACCGGGGATTCTATGATCAGTTAATAATTAAACTCCGATGCTGATATCTCCAGGATTCCCAAACCTTCGAGGAAATGTGATATGTTGAGACAGCAGGAGATATTTGTTGTACAGTACAATAGTCGGAGATTTCTTTGGTTTTTGTACAATCGCCTACCGGAAGTCATTAGATTCTCGCTAAGCGCTTGGCAAGACCCACCTACCTATTAGATCTATATATCACATATTTGATCATTTAAACCCCTATATCCAAGAAAATTTGGTGTTTTCATATAGAATAATGACTGGAGATTCAATCTAGGCTAGTATTTAGTATGCCCATCCCTTGCTAAGATGCAAGCACCGCATCTTTTATATATAGTCAGGATAATGTTGTCAATTACCCCTTAATCTATCTTATCCTATTCCTCTTGAATACGACGACCTAATTTAGCTAGAGAATAAATCTAGTGACGTTGTTTTGATATTTGGATCTTAATAATATGCCAGATATTTTTAATTAGGTTTAAATCAAGAGATCTTGTGGGCCAAACTATATGTTGCATTATTATAGATTGTTGCTAATTTCTTATTACTTTAAAAGTATAGTATTGAGCTCTATCTTCTTGCCAAATAGCGTCACCATATTCTTTTATAAGCTCTTTGTAAAATGGGAAGGCATATTAGTTCAAAATAATATCACAATAGATCTTGGAGTTCATTTGTAGACCCTTAGGGAGGATTAATAGAGCTTCCCTCTTTTTATAGGCAATATAACCCCAAATCCTAATAGATGAATATCCTAACCCAAAGGCAGGTCTTAGATATTCAGATTCAAATGCCATGCCCTTTAGTTGTTTGACATATCCCGGTGTACCATTATATCCAAGCTCGAAGGTAAATTTATTAGAGAACGTTCAGCTCATTTATTAAGCATAAAGGGATAACCTAATCGTTTTTGATAGTTATCTAAGGTCTTTTTATAGTATTCTTTCTCCTTAACGATATGGTAGATGGTAGATCTTAGGACATTTGTTTTAATGCTAATTTTGGGGGGCTTATAGCCTAGATTATAAAGCTTTAAGATAACTGCCACTGTAGGACCTGAATACTTATGTTTTAAGGTCTTTGGAATGCTAGGCATAGTGAGGAATATAGTGTTGTAGAGGGGAGGGGGTGGGTGAGTTGTCAATAGATTAATATAGATCTCCATGTGATTGGAAAAAAGTTCAATGACTTCTGGTAGGCGATTGTACCTCGGCGGCTGCTGTTTCGCACTGGCATACACAAGGAATAAATCCCTGCTTAGATCCAAGCCAAAACGTTATCAATACCTTTTTTTTTTGTTTTTGTTTTTTTTTTTACTGATGCGTATTTGCTCAGGTATAGGAACAGGGCCCCCCGAACATCACCATGTAAATGTATTTATAGACTGTACTCATCTACATGAACCTTTATCGCTTTTGTGATAGATAACCATATTATTTATTGACTCAAGAAGTAAATATAGTCTGTCCGCTGGCATGCAAGAACTAGTAAATAGTACACTAACCCTGTCTATCAAATGAATCTATAACTTCCATCCATATTTTTATGTGTGTTAATTATGTCACTTTGTCCATTTATATAGCAATTGTACTGAATAGATGTTATGCTCTCTTCTCTCTTGTTATCCCGGGCCCTCAGAGCATAGATCTCTGCGAATTGGAGTAACATATCTGTCAGTATCTTACCCCAGATATATCTGAGATTTCAACGAGATCTTCCATCTTAGGGTGTTGCCTGAGGAGCTTGGCCAGTAACATGACGTCGGCGCAGCCTCATGGGATTTAGCACTTGTGCTCGCTCTGATATAGTATAGTGGTGATAAACCAGAACAGAACTATGCCTAGTACTTATAAAACGTCGCTTCATCACCCTCTCTATCCTCGATTACTACTTCGTTCCATTACTTCGTTCCATTTTTGATACTGGTTATCGCATAAGCTATCTCAGATTATGCTGTCTGCTGGGATGTCGCTCACCTGGACCTTCATTAGCAGTCACTTTTGTCACCACCTCCCCTTTCAGCTAGTCTAATTGCTTCCATCTGAGGGTATTTAATATATTTTATATGCACGCAAATATAACTCTATATAGTTCCCTTAGGACTACAACTATAATGATATTTCTCGCAGTGCCGTAATCGAGTATGTACCTTCTTCTCTAGAGAGTGCCTGCCTTTTGCCTATTGCTGTGTCCATGGTCGTTCCTTCCAATTGAACTGTAACTGGAATCTTTCTTATGATCTTTCATCGCTTGGGAATCTCTTCTTCTCTCTCTCTCTCTCTCTCTCTCTCTCTCTCTCTTTCTTGATCACCATTTCGACAGATAGCAAAGCTAAGTACACCCCCAATAAACCCCATACACAAACATCTCCACTATTTCCACATTTGCTATACAATGCCGTTCAATTGGTCTGACTTCGCTAGTACCCTGGTGTCTTTGGTGGTCACTTTGTGGGTGAAGGACTGGCTTCAATTCTTCCCTGGCTTTGGATGGCTCAGGCCCACTGCTTGGGCGGAGAGGTGGCAGGCCCAGCAGATGGCCAACGAGGCTAGGTCGGACACTGAGGGGCATCCGACGACAGACACTCCGCCGACCTCAAAGGATATGAAGGATTTGCTGACCCAGCTCAAAGGTCTCCGGTCAGACTTGGTCGCTAGGGAGGAGGCAGTCCTGACCCGAGAGGAGAGGTACAGTAATCTTGAGGAGCGGCTCTCAATGATCGTGGAGCGTCTGGAGCAGATATCTTCTAGCGATGAAGGAAGTGCCCCTCGTGAGGGAGCGATCCACCGTCCTTCGAGCTTACCGCCGTTGCACGAGCGAAGCTCGTGGGATCATATCGATGATCCACGGTGGGTTTCCCGAAGTGTCTGAGAAGTGACCATCAAAGACAACACCCAATGATCCCCTCCGGTTCGGGTCCAGATCGGTAGGGGGGAGGGTCACCAGCGACGAACTCGCACTTCTACGCAGTGCTGGTGACTAGTAGCCTTCGGGCGAAGCTAAGACGAGTTCATCTATCATCTCTTTGGTTTCCGATGCACTGTTCCTCGGCGCTCCTTAGAGTCCTCAGCTCTCTCAACAACACCCCCCAACCCAACCCGACTATACAATCACCCCGGTGGCTTCGAATTGGTTTGGCGCAACCAGGGGGGGATAACTGAGTGCACGAGTTGACAGGCTGGCAAGCTTCGATATTAGGACAAGCTCACATGTGATCCCAGATGTTTTAATATTTCGAACCCATGCTCTGTACTGTAGTTGCCCAGGATGTAGGGGCTCTTTCGCTTGTTGAGCGGTAGAACACGAGATTGACGGTTTGATTTCTCTGTTCCTCAGAACAGCACTGTCTGTAGATAAATGAATTTAGCCTCCTATACTCCGAGTCTCGTCCCGCATGACGCGGTATCCGCCGTACTTGACATTTTGTCTCCCCGGTTTGGAGAATGGAAGGGGCTTAAGAGCTTACGATCGTTGACGCCCTGCAGAGCATACGAGCAAATTGGTAGGAAGGAGGATAGATGATGTAATGATCGCATACTGGTGGTATTGCAGTTATACGGAGTAAGAAGATCTCTCATTTCTAGTACAAATGCATTCATTAGCACAAACGACAAAAGAGCCGGAGTTGCTGAATGTTGATAGATCATGTCGATAACACACAAAACCTACACAAAAGCTGGAAACAAAAGGACCAAGTAATTACCAGGAACAACGGTCACCAGTTGGTCGATTGCCTCCGAACGCGCACGAGGCGTGATGGCGGCCCCCCGAACATCACCATCGACGAAAACGACTCGAATACCAATATCTCCACATTGCGTTCAAGGGTCTCCGAGAACCGAACCACCAGTTCACGGATGAAGCAACGGATGAAGCAACGCGAATATCTCCTAAATTGCGCACGCCCTTGACAACACAGTGGAGGCCATCATTGGAACGACCAAGCAAGTAATACATTGTATCGCAACAACCGCACTCGTTCCTAGAGCGCCTGCTGGGCGAGTATAGCCAAGCAATCGCATGAAGGTGTGGGCAGAGAGCTACGGGATCAGTATTTTTGGATGGCCGGTATGGTTCCTCGACGGTCGATCCAGAAAGGTTGTGCGGTTTCGTCCAGTGCACATTGAATCTAGTAGCGAGTATTAGGCAGTGGCTTGCGTCAAGTGTCACTGTCGTCGCAAGACTGATGAACGCGTCCTCATGGCTAGTAATTGAACAGTGGTGAAGAAGTACACGCTTGTTATTGACCAACTGGGATTGGAATAACTCACGGATGTTTCGGTGAAGATTGAGACTGGGGGTTCCTGTTTCTAGCCACTCGACTAGTTGTATGCCATGGAAGAAGGTCAGAGCAAGACAGGCGCATACATCAACAACCCACACATTATAGTTGCATAGTCGATCTGATGGTGGGTCATTTGGTAGGGATAGAGTAAAACGATTCTTTAGATGAAGCTTGAGGCAGCCGCTGCAGTACATCCAGCGGTTATCTTCAAGCTTTAGTAAGAGCTCGTTTCTTGGAAGATGCGGCTGGCTCCCAATCAGCTCGTATGATCTGCTGGCCAAAAGTCTTGGCCAGGCTAGCCGTTCATCGTCAAAGACGCAGCGTAAGAGTCTATACAGAGGCTTGCAGGTGAGCGCGAGGCAAGCATGTGAGACGAGCGGTAAGTGTGGTAATATGAGTCGGAAAATATCGATTGGGAGTTCTAGGAGCGGAGGCAAAGGTGGTTGTTCGTCAGGGGATCCTCGCCGTTTAAGGAGATGAACGATGCACAGGACCCTTTTGATCCAACGAGTCATTCTTGACCAGAGCACACGCATTGTTGGACAGATGGTTTATAAGATATTGAGGGGGGAAAGTCGTTTATTATGTATTTTTGAAGGTCCATCTTCTTGGATACTATTACATACCCATTTGTCGGACATTGATTAATTACCTTTGGCTTATTAGGCAACATTCCCGGGATAACCAACCTTTTCAATCTGTCAAATTTGTAAGATTTCAAGATTATTTCACTACGTACGACTCTAGGAGCAGAGCTCGTATGGGAAAATAACGAGAGTGGAGATCATTGCAGCCCAATATTTTTACGACCTAGGTGACTATAGTGGGGTAGATATACCAGCTCAAGCAGCTGTGCTGTGCTGTGCTATTAGAATTCGTCATGAATGCGATATGATTGTTGTATAGCTAGCTGGAGATGAAAAGCTTTCCTGGACAGAACCATACCATCCGGAGATATATGTAGACACATTCCCTCTGAAATCATCATAACGCCGTCAATATGATAACGTGAACAGAAACGCCGCCAAATGCAGTGCAGGTTCTTGATGTGGAATTTTAACAGGACTGGGAAAGGAAAATCAGATATGCAAGACTGGTTCAAAAAGCGCCGTGATCCGGTTGTGTCGTCTTTCCTCCCCGTCTCGTCCTTCTTCCAGTTGCCCATCCGTTGATGTCTTCTAGCTCCCTGACCTCGCCCACAACCAAAGGTTTGTTAGCTCCAGAAGCCGTATCAGTCCCTTTACCGGCGCGCCTCATGAATTCCTCTCGCATGGCAACAGCATCTGGATCTTCGTAGTTGAGCTGCGTCATAGCTGGTGCTTCATCTTCTTCGTCCATTTCTCGGCTGGCTTCGCGGAACAGACGCGGATGGTCACCAGGGAAGTCAAATTTGCCGTTCATTATCGAGTTGAAACTCTGCTCGCCCCTGCTGTTACGAGGTGGCCTATCGTTGTTCGTGTCAGTATCGAGACTTTCTGCCCCACTGCCACAACCGTCTTCGTTGAGTGTATCGATGGAACTGGCGCGTGAAATGGAAAAGGCCCCAGCTTGTTTCACTGAAGAGAAAGAACTTGCTCTTCCGAGGAGTGGCTTTCGTCTCTTCGAACGAGATTGTTGACTTGTATCCGCGCTGGTCGAAGAGGCGCGAGAACTAGCTCGTACTTGCTTGAGGAATCCGCTAACTGCGAGGCCGAGTGCTTTCGATTTACTCGATTCATCAGATGGTTTTGAGTCATCATCTTCTCCACGCTCCGAAGAGGCCCCGGGAGCAAGGTCCTTGCTATTTTCCTTTGTTGAAGAAAGTGATCTGGATGGGTCCCTAGGTCGGTCTATTGAGATGGCCGTGGATGGATCCTTGACGGAGCTACCATTGGTAGTTGACGGAGCACTGGGCTTTGCAGGCAAATTATCTTGTCCGGCGGAAGCTTTGAGGGCCGCCTTTTCTGCACTTATTCTCGTGTCGTCTGTGGAAGGAGTATTATCAGCCGAGACCTTTTTGTCTTTTTGAGCTTTTGCTCTCTGTGGTCGTTCATTGGTCTTCTCATTGGCTGTAAGCGGACTTGGTCCTATAGATCTGTCCTTCTGCGACGATCGTTGGACCAGGTATGGCTCAAAGGTTTTTCTCTGTCCAGTCTGAATAGAGATCCATAGCCAATCGGCAGATACTGCAGGGATGTTCCATTCCCTCGTATGTCGTAGCTTTTCAATATTTGCTGTGCGGGGGTCATTGCATATAAGGACGGAAGCGCTCGGTGTTAGATATTCGTCATAAGTAGCACCTAGATGAATTAGTCTGAGAAGCACATTGAGGAAGGCGGCAATTACCAATTAGAGTGACGATTTTCGAAAGATGAAGTAGATCGATGCCAGCAAAACCAGTAGAACATATTTTCATGCCACGGAACCCTGGAACCGTTAACTAAGGCAAAGAGAAACTTTGAAAGGACAAGACCGACCTTCGATTGGGAATTCATTAATCAGGGTGCTCGCAACATGAGACTCCGGCGGGACGAAGGACCTGCAATCCAGACATCTCTCGAGCCACATCTCAGTTACGATGTCCACCTCGAATGCCATGTCGTCGGTTGAAGGTATGTCTGATCGTTTAGTTTTATGAGGAACGATCATATAGAGGCCATGGCCAATTTTTGGTATTGAAGGACTTGCAAACTCGTTCAAAGAAGGCACAATCTGGGCTCCATTGAACTCCAGATGTTGCTGTAAAACGCTGGTCTGAACACGGGTCAGTTTCTATAATTAGCAAGTTTACTGCGACCAACTTACCTGTTTCGAAGAGAACCCATGTATGAAGAAATAACAGTTATCCAGGAAACCCCGTTGTTTTTCAGAAGGGTTTGCATTCGATGACTGAGAGCGGGGTTCCAGCCGACCAGCAACTGTTGTCTCGCTTGCAAATGATTTGGCTTCCTGTATGACAGATCTGGCCTTGATAGGTGGAAGATCATCCACACTCCGTTGGTTGGTCTCCGTTTGCGCCTCATCAGAAGTGTCGAATCCCCTCCCCATGATATCCCCCCAAATGCCTTCATTTTGATCACCTAGCTTCGTACTAGCGATTCTACGCAGCTTGCGAGGTCGTGGGTTGGATGAGTCCGTATGCTCAGATCTCTTGTCGGCGGGTGCAGGTACAGATCTATTCCATGCGCCAATTCCCTGCTTTTCGGTTGGCGTAAGTGGATGATAAAGTGTCTCTTCGAGGATCATGCCCCGGTCCAAACTGTCCGTAAACCATTTCACACTAACAACCTTGATATTCCATTGAGTAGCGAACTTGTACTTTTGCCCTTCTGCTTCTCGAGCGATCAAGTGCGTCACGCTCTTTGTGAGGTCTTTCCTAAAGTCCGCGCCATTTGCAGTTGCCGTGTTCTGAATATGATTCCTAAACGCCACTTGTTTTTTCTCACCATATTAGTGAAAAAATACGGGCCTGTTATGGAAGAATGTAACTCACAGTCGTCAAAGCCAGTAATGCAGATAGAGAGACCAGCAAATGTAGGAAACTTGTACTGTTCCTCCAAAGCCTTGATATCCGTATCCCCACCTTGGATCCATGACTGCCTTACAGCTTCGATCCATTCCGGCATTAACACAACAACGTCACTTCTTTCGCGCGCAACATATTTGTATTTGGGGGTGTTTGTCTCCCCGACTAATAGGTGTGTTACATCCGAAGTCAGGTCGAACTTGTGTGTCGCTCCCATTTGACTCGCAACCGTGGCCAATTCGGTCTATCGTTTGTGGGAGAAACCTGTCAGTATTGTTTAATAATAGTGGATGCAGATTCGACTATACTCACACGCTGCTCAGGCAAAATGGACGTGAAGCATAAGACCACCCCCGCAAGAGGGTGTTCTTTGTCTGCTAATGTTAGTTGGTATTGTCATTGAATCCTCATTCAGAAGTATCTGACTCACCAAATGCTCCTCTCGCTGTCATATTTCATGGTTGGAGCCCCGCTGCCATATCCTACCTGTATAGCCGGGGCGAAGGACTGGGGACTGCTTGCTTCGCCGAATATCAGGATGTCTCCGAATCTCCAGCCGCGCGCGTCAAGATAACGCGGTGTCACGTGACAATATAGATTTATAGAATGACACCACTCCATATCGTTCTCTGTGAGCTCACAGCTGGTTGGTTCGAAGATATGTTATTCTCGAAAATGAAACAGTCTCCTAGGATGCTATTTCTGAAAGACAGATGGCAAATATCTTATAAATTGGCGTCTTTGGTTCTCTAGGTATGAAGCTTGCAAAACCGACCACAAGACTTATACATATAGAAAGCAAGACTCACTAGTATGAACAGTTATACAGTGTGTTTTCACCTATATCTCTACAGAGGAAAGCTCTGTTGTCCAGAGATAAAGTATTATCATCATGTTAAAAGAAAATCACCGGCTATTTCCCACTCCGCATCCAATCTTATCGCAATCAGTCACGTGAAATGAGCCATGTCGCGTCCCGTGTGAGTAGGCGCGAACTTTCAAACAATGAAAGTTTCCAGACCGATGATGATATGGGAGGGTCTAGCTCCTAAGCCTGCTTTTCTTGCTATGAGCCTCTAACTACGCCTTTGATTAACTCTTATATGTTGACTTATGCTACTCGGGGACGGGGTCTGGCTTTGATTGTGCAGGGCTTTTCTTGTCGTACGGCAACGCGGATCGGTTCCCCATATTCGACATCAAGCAGACGGCTTCAGTCATCTGACGACTTAGACATGTTCAAGAAGGCAGTCCGAGACCATTCGGGTCCTGTGAAACTTTCGCAGTCTACTATTTCGCGTGTAAATGCACCGGTACAATCTACGCCAAATCCGCCATCCCAGCCCGCAGGCTTTAAGCGGAAGTTCGAAATGGCGAGCGCTGGCCAGTCCACTCTGAGCTCTCTACATAGCGCTGTATACTTCGACGAGAATGATTTCGACGATGACGACGAATTGGATCTTGAAAGCCCCGACCCATTCCCGACGATGTCATCAACACCATCAACTCAATCATCCTTCAAGTACCCGGCTCTAAAGCAATCATTCGCATCGAGCACATCCTCACAGACTAAGATGCCTGAGAAAACAGAGGTTCCAGCGGTCCCTAGGATCGAAAGTGATATCAAATATCCAGACTTGCCGCCAGTCCCAGCGAATGAAATGCCACCGCCTGATAACGTACCCTCGAGTAGCATTCCACTTCCCTGGTCTTCATCACCGCCGTCACATATGCTGCCGCCCCCGAAACGCCGTACATTGCCGTGGCTGAAGAACGAAGCTGAAGAGGCCAACAACGAACCCGTGACGCCGGCAAGATCGAAACCGGCTTATCCATGGAACAAGACTATGAGTGCAGTTAAGGAAGAGCAGAAAGAATTGCGGCGACAAAATAAGAAGCGCCAACAGGTGGAAGGAAAAACAAGAGTACACCAGCCTCGTCAACGGGTTGCTTCATTGTTTCTCAGCGATGAGCAGCGTGGAGTTCTCGAAGCCGTTGTGGACAAAGGGAAGAGCATATTCTTCACTGGTTCTGCCGGAACGGGTAAATCGGTTCTGATGCGAGAAATCATCAAAAAGTTGCGAGACAAATATAGGCGGGAGCCAGATCGGGTGGCCGTTACGGCCTCTACTGGCCTTGCTGCTTGTAACATCGAGGGCGTAACTTTACACAGCTTCGCTGGAATCGGATTGGGCAAAGAAGCTGTCCCTGAGCTTGTGAAGAAGGTAAGGAATTGTGGTTCAGTTGACTTGGAATTTAGCTGATAGCTTGAAGATCAAGAAGAACCAGAAGGCGCGGAATCGGTGGATGCGAACAAAGATTCTGATCATTGATGAAGTATCTATGGTCGATGGTGATCTGTTTGACAAGCTAGAAGAGATAGCTCGCCGGATAAGAAATAATGGGCGGCCTTTTGGAGGGATCCAACTTGTCGTCACCGGTGATTTCTTTCAGTTACCTCCTGTCCCTGACTCCAACCGGGAAGCGAAATTTGCATTCTCAGCCGCTACGTGGAACACTTGCATTCAGCATACTATCCTCCTAACCCACGTCTTCCGACAAAAGGACCCAGAATTCGCGGAGATGTTAAATGAAATGCGTCTAGGAAAGATCACCCCACGCACTATTGAGACGTTCAAGAAGCTCTCCAGGCCTTTGGATTTCCATGATTCACTAGAAGCAACAGAGCTGTAAGCTTAACCGATCATCTCCTCAATCCCAATGCTGACGAATTAATTTTAGGTTTCCAACTCGCGCTGAGGTGGAGAATGCAAATAGCGCAAGAATGCAAAGGCTTTCTGGGGACTTGATGACATTCCACGCAACGGACTCTGGAACTGTTAAAGATGTGCAGTTTCGAGAGAAGCTATTAGCAAATTGCATGGCACCACCTGTCATTCATCTTAAGAAAGGCGCCCAAGTGATGCTCATCAAGAACATGGAGGACACCCTAGTTAATGGCTCACTTGGCCGCGTAGTGGCTTTCATGGATGAAGCAACCTTCGATTATTACCGGCAGAACGAGGACGAATTCGGTGATGAGGACGGGGCTTTAAGCGACGAAGAAAAGGCCAATCGGGCGCGCAAGAAGCTTAAGGCCTATGCCCATAAAGAGAGAGAAGGCGCTGTCACCACAGGCCGGAAATGGCCCTTGGTCTGTTTCGTTCAGCCTGATGGGACAGAGAGACATCTTCTCTGCCAGCCAGAATCTTGGAAGATCGAATTGCCCAACGGTGAAATCCAGGCTCAACGACTGCAGGTGCCCTTGATTTTGGCTTGGGCCTTATCCATCCACAAAGCGCAAGGCCAGACGCTGCAGCGGGTAAAGGTTGATCTCGGTCGCGTTTTCGAGAAAGGCCAAGCTTATGTGGCCCTAAGTCGAGCGACTTCCCAAGCTGGACTCCAAGTCCTGCGATTCGAACCGAGGAAGGTCATGGTGCACCCCAAAGTCATTGACTTCTACTCCAACTTGGTCAGTATTAACCAAGTTATCAAGCCCAAGTCCTCCAAACCGGCGGCTAAAGACACCCGTGATAAACATGACGAAGACTTTGATGAGTTTGAGGAGGAGTATCTGGCAGAAATGTACGCCTGAGGGCCTCATTGTCCCAGCAACTTATTTCCTAGCGTTGTGGCCATACCCCTTTCATTTACTGTATACCTTTCACTTTTTCAATTCTCTGCTGCATAAATAGAAGTTAGAAAGGTCGGCGCCAAGGTCTTCACCATACTCTTAGAGAGATGTACGTTTTATGCGGAGTGTATAATCCTGGTCTTATCGTTCTAGTTGCGCCTATGAATGGAGCCTCTCAAAAAAAGATAGATATCCCAAGAACAAGATATAATCAGAGACGCGTTCTATCTATATCCACGACCAAGTAATAGAGATGAATGTACATACTAAGGACTGCATAGTACATACTACCAGTACTGACAGCCAAAGAACCAGTTGGCTTGCAGAAAGAGGCTGTTATCTCTTATCGATAAGAGATCACGTGAATCCCGCAATCGATTAACTCCATCCGGAGCTGAGAAGCTGGCGTGAGTTTCACGGGAAGAACACCAGCCTCCGTCCTTTCCTCCAAACGCAACAACTGCATCTCTCCTCGATAATATCGTCCTATCGCATGATGCCCGCATTTATTGTCGCTTGAGGAATTGGTCTTTCTGCGAGTTGATAATTCCTGCGTTCAATATGGCTTCAGACTTCGTCGGATTTGATGTTCTCGTGACGCTCAAAAACCCGCCAAATGCGCGAATCCAGGGAACAGTGGCTGCTGTTGTTGGACAGCGTCTGACACTTGAAAATGGTAAATAATGTCTCAGCAAGTATGTCACATCTATTCTAACAGCTACAGTCACATTGCTATGGAATGGTCAACGTTTGCCACGGTATCACATTGAGGGTACAGGCATTGCAGACTTGGAAGTCAGCCAGGTGCCGCGGCCTACCTCAGCAACGAATCAATTCGAGAGTCATCAGCAGAAACATGCGACTTCTGCAAATGGACTGTACGACAAGTCCTTTAACCAGTCAACTCCTGTTGAGACTACACCGAAAGCTGCGCCACAACCCTTCGTCGACCCTGCCATACTGAGCTTCTCGAAGCCTCCACAGAAAACTACTGCTGCAGCTCCTGCAGAATTGAGTGGACCTGATCTGGGCTCCATGTCACCCGTCGTACTCCCTGGGAATGCAACAGCTGGCTCATCTCGAACAAACCAAATACCGTCCTTCCCTACGAGCGTTACTGCTACACAGACGAGAACTGTGCCCTCACAGATCGAAAGACACGACTCAAATGCAACCGCGATATTAACTGAGCCCTTCAACAATCTAGGCCTGAATGGCAATAGTGGTGTAAGTGGGAATCAGAATGGGGAAGAGGAGCTTGCCCTCGACGGGTCTGTCCCCGAGGGAAGGATAGGAGCAGCACCACTGGAAGCTCCACTGAAATACACCGGCAAAAGAAGTCGTCGTGGTGGCCGTAACAAATTAAAGGAAGGCCTGCCCGAGGATGTCAATGCGCCCGGTGCTACTTTGAACACGAACCCCAAAGCAAAAGGTTGGCGTCAGACAGCGTTTGTGGAACCAATGTATCCACAGGCATCTCGAACGAGTGCACAAGAGAAGATGGCCTCCATGCACAGTAGCGGTAAGCGTCGCAAACAGCGGAACCTCAAATCTTATGCGGAAGACACGAACGGCTGGGCGACCGAAGACGCGACCGATATTCAGGAAATGGGCGACTTTGACTTCCAGAGCAACCTGTCGAAATTCGATAAGAGACGGGTATTCGACGAGATCCGCAACGATGATACGACTGCTGACGAAGACCGCCTGGTGAGTTTCAATAGGAAGGCTCGGCCAGGAACGAATGGTGGCAAGAATCTGCATTATACGGAAAATGTGCTCGACAGCCCACCTGCCAAATGGAACAGCGAAGCTGGAGAGACGGAGGAAGAAGTCAGCGATGGGAAGTTCAGCAGTGGAAATTACTCCGGACGAGATCCATCCAGAACGTCCACACGGCCGCAATCTCGGAAAAGCAGCACCATTTTGGGCCAGCCTTTAATGCCACCCCAGATTAATTCTATTGGGAGGACCCAATTGACTTCATCAAGGAACGCAAGTCCGCGGCCAAGCAAACAGTCAATATCAGCATCTCCCATGAATGGGCCCATCGGTGTTGCAAGTACTTCGTTGCGACTCACGACAACCAACAGGAGTTGCCCCACCGTGAGCCCGTTGCAGATGCTGGAAGTTGAGCAATTGGCTATCGCCGAGCTTGGCCTGACGGAAGACATGATTACAGAGAATGCTGGTCGTGGAATTGCTGAAGCCGCTGTCGCTCAGTTATCGAGCGAATCCACTGCATCTACATTGCTCGTGCTTACAGGAAATCACCGCACTGGCGCGAGGGCTGTTGCGGCAGCCCGTCACCTGCGAAACAGAGGACACCGCGTGACTCTTTGCTTGCTGGGTCTCGAGCATGAGAATGAACTTCTAGAAAATTGTCGCAAGCAGCTTGAGATCTTCAGAAAGATAGGCGGTCGCGTGCTGAGGTGGGAAGAGCTATCAGCAAGGCTGTCTACATCTGATTTCGCTCCAGATTTGGTGGTAGATGCTTTGCTCGGTATGCACATTGCGTTCGAAGATCTGCGGAGTGACGATCAAGCCGCAGCCTTTGAAATGATCGCATGGATTAATAGGAGCGGTGTGGATATCCTGTCTGTGGATGTTCCGTCAGGGATTTCTGCTTCTAGTGGTAAGTCTACTATGGCGGTTTCCAGTTCAGTGCTTTGTTAACCATGGATTACAGGCGACGTTACCCAGGTGGAAGGTGCTCGGCTCTCTGTCAGCTCCAAGTCTGTTGTCTGCCTTGCAGCACCTAAGACTGGTATACTGAACGCTTTGCTTGCTGGCGAAGGCCAATCGTGGAATATCACTGTCGCGGACATTGGAATTAGTCAAGTGGTTTGGCGAAAGTATGGTACTCGCCGTCGACATGGGGTTGACTTCGGCAACCGCTGGGTTGTGCCATTACGCTACCAACCTAGCGCTGCGTGAGAAGTCGGTTTCTATCTACATTATTGTTCGGGGAGTTACGGGGGCGGACGGCTCAAAAGCATCATGGTCCTTTTGTTAAGTGCATCTTTATTCCCGGAATATTCTGTTCACGTTGTGATTGTCTTCCTGTCAGCCGCTGGACACTGCAGGTATCAGGCCCAGTTAACTATGTTTTGTCGCTTTATCAACTGGGGAACTATCTCAGTACGCTCGGAGTAGGTCTCTCCTGACATAGCATCTTCGAGAGCCGGAATTGATGTGAATTATCTAATAATTTGACTCCGTTCCTTGAAGACTTCATGGTGTAATTACTTATCTATAAAGATGCTGCATCATTATTATTGGCTTAGAATCGATAGGTAGGTAGGTGCCCTGGACTGGAGATTGCCGACTATTTCCATAAACGGCTAGCGGGAGTGCGGCGAGATGATGTAGCTCCGGTCAAGCAGCAGCGCGAAGAAATCGCGACAGTCCAGCTCGAGGACAACTACATAAAGTTCAGTTCTCACAATATGGGAAAGGGTAAGTTCCTACTGCAGAGATATGAAGAATATTGAAACCTATGCTGACTTCTTCTAGGAACTGATAAGCTATATGTAAGCCACCCTACCGTCCGACCAGCTCATTTCTTGTCGCATGCAGAATCCATCAAACTTGAAGACCCAGTTGACTGACGACTTCGCCTATTGCAGATTACCCATTCAGAGTGGGCATCTGAAGACTCATACGGCGCGAGTGCTGGAGCCGGCGTGTCGAGAGCTAAGAGGGATGGAGTCCACGCGTCGTTTAAACGTCTCCCCTACAACTTCTGTTCGCTATCTCTTCAACCATTCTCGCATCCAGTCTGCACGCCATCGGGAACAATCTTCGACATTACCAACATTCTACCGTGGCTGAAAAAGCATGGAACGAATCCTGTGGATGGCAGCCCGCTCAAGAGCTCAGATCTCATCAAGCTCCATTTCGCAAAGAACGAGGCGGGCGAGTACGTTGACCCGGTGACCTACAAAGTCTTCACGGATAATACGCACATCGTCGCTCTTCGTAATACAGGAAATGTGTTCGCGTGGGATACGGTGGAGAAGCTAAACGTGAAGCCGAAAATGTGGCGGGATCTGGTAACGGATGAAGAATTCGGTAGGAAAGATATCATCACATTGCAGGATCCGCAAAATGTCCAGTCAAGAGATCTCAGCTCTTTCAAATACCTGAAGGAGGGTGAGACTTTCCTGACGGAAGAGCAAGAACGTGAGAGGAACGATCCCACGAGCAATGTCAATGTCGGAGCACTGGGCAGCTCGGCCAAAATCTTGAAAGCAAAGGAAGCAGTTGCGAGAGCTCGCGCAGAGAGGGCACAGCAGGCTGGCACTGCTGGTACTTCCAGCGCTTCTGGGAAAGGCGGTGTCGCAACTAAGTCAGTCACTCAGAGGACTTCGATGCACCAGTCAGGGAAGCCCGTTCCATATAACGCTGCGAAACACACGACAGGTCTTGCAGCTGCGTCATTTACAAGTACTGGTCTTACACCCCATACGTCTGGAGAACTTGCTCTTCTCACTGAGGAGCAGTATATGCTCAAGCGCGGCAGAGTGAAGATAAAGGGATATGCTCGTATATCCACCAATGTCGGGGACCTCAATCTGGAGTTGCACACAGAATATGCCCCTAAAGCAGTCTGGAACTTTCTCCAACTTGCCAAGAAAGGCTATTACGACGGTGTGATATTTCATAGAAATATTAAAGGTTTCATGATCCAGGGTGGTGATCCCACTGGAACAGGCAGAGGAGGTGAAAGTATCTGGGGTAAAAACTTTGCCGACGAATTCGAGGGACCTCTGAAGCATGATGCTAGAGGAACAGTGAGTATGGCGAACAAGGGAAAGAACACCAACAGTAGTCAATTGTAAGTTTCTTCATCGATCTTTTTCACTAAGATACTGACATGTATCGCAGCTTCATTGCCTATCGTGCTCTTCCTCACTTAAATAACAAGCATACCATATTTGCTCGCCTGATTGATGACCCCTCTCCCTCGTCGACAACGCTAAATGCCATGGAGACACACCCAGTTGATTCCTCAACCAATAAACCCCAGCCTGATATTGTCATCAAAGGAATCACAATCTTCGTCGATCCCTTCGAGGAGTTCCTCAACCAGAAACGACAAGCTGAAGAAGCCGAAAAGGCAAAAGCTGCTGGCGAGGGTGAACCTGGAGAGACATCGAGACAGGCAGATGACGAACAAATGACTTGGACGGGAAAGAGGATAAGAGGAGCTGGAGATGGCCGTGGCCCAGAAAGCAGCACAGGAGTAGGCAAGTATTTGAAAGCGGCACTGGCGGACCGCGCTGCTCAAGACGAGGACGAAATCGTGGAATATGTGGATGACGAGCCGGAGCCGGAGCCCTCACGAAAGAAGATGAAATCTTCTGGCGGATTTGGGAACTTTGATAGTTGGTGAATGGAATTTTCTGTTGTGCGGTGTTATAGTATTATACCTTCAGGGACGGATGGCGCGGGCTTTAGGACCAGGGGAAAAAATAATGACAATGTCATTTTCAAGTACAGCTATATCTCTATCATGTTCCCAGTGCTTTATGATACTGATTCCAGATGCATCAAAGATGCCTTTCAAGGCACTCTGCCGGTTACAACGTTTCCGCAGTGGAAGACGTAACACTGTCTTCCACATGTTTCGCGGGATGTTATAGTTATTCCCAGCTCTCATTCATCTCAACTGTTTGCCCAGATTCTTCCGATGTACTTTCTGAGTCTTCGGGGAAGTCTGCAGCAGGGCGTCGAAAGGTGCCCTCATTCATCCAATGCCCTTGGAACCATGGGAACGAGGCAAGTTCATGAAGCGTTGGCCGCTTTTCCGGTTCCTTGGTGAACATGGCTCTGAGCACGTCGACACAGTCCTGAGACAGGTTTTCGTCAATAGGAAGCTCCTCGTTAATGACCCTGTCACGACGTTCCAACATTCTCCACCAAGACTCCTCATTGCTTTCTGCCCGTTTCTGGGCCCATTGTCGAATACCGCCGATCCTGTGATCAAGTTTTCTGTCTTCCCACGCCGAGTAACCGTGGAGCAGATCGTAGACTATGCAGCCAAACTTCCACAGGTGCTCCACGCGGGCGTCGTGAGGAAGATACACGATCCTTTCTTCCTCTACATCGTACTGACCTTCCTTCCACATTTCCTTGCTGAGTTCGATTGCGAGCTCAGGCGATATCTGATACTCCTGATATGGGAGCCATGCCCAGCGTGTAACTTGGAAGTCATGCTCGCCATCCAATGCGAATATCATCAGTCCAAAATCTAGGATCTGAATCTGTACTTCGTTGTCAGCTTTGATTACGCACAATAGGTGAAAGAATCGAGCGGAGAAAACATACATTGAGATATTCGTCCACAACATAATTATGGTGACTGAGGTCATCATGCGACATGTTCATATCCATCAAGTACATCATAGCCTGAAGCATTTGCCATGCGACCTTGCACACTTCAACTTCGCTCAGTAGCGGTGTTTTCCCCTCTATCAGCTGTGCGCCCAAGAACGAAGGAAAATAGTCCTCGTCGTCATCGGATGTTCTCGTTTCCCTCCTTGGGTCATAGTCAACTGCCGCGGCGCTCATAATTGTCGTTTGATATAAATCGTGCGTGTAAACGGATTCGATCACGGGGAACCTTCTGCTTCCTGTGACAAAACGCATCATCATGGCTTCGGTAGGAATGTAGCGAATATTGCCTCCTACATCATCCCAGCAAGCCATCGTGGGACCCCTTCCTCTCGCAATGGCCTCCATTTGCGTCATGTGCGGCTCGACTTTCAGAGCGTAATGCTTGACATTTTGAGGATCTTCTGGGTATTTTTCTCTTGCTGCAAATACTACCCCGTGACCTGGAAGTAATATAGTCAGTTAACTGTACCATTGACTCTTGCTACTCAATCATGACATGACAAGAAGACGCTGAACAGGAAGTAAAAAACATATCAATAGGGTGGGGAGGGAGAAAACGCACTTCCACTTCCTATACACCCATATACCTCGAGCCGCTTATGTATCTCAGGACACAAGGACCGCAATAAATACCCATGATGTTGCATGTTCTTCGCAGCCTCCTCTTTGTTGCCATGAGTCCGGATGTGATTCTGGTACATGCCACTGTCTGTTCGAGCCCAATCCTGGGATGGAACCATGAAATCACAATCACAACGTGAGAGTTCGCCGTAAATCGCGCCCTCTTTTGCGCGTTCTCGGAATACGCGGTGTAGATGGGAATGGTCTTCACCACATCGACTAGGGGCCATGAGGCTGTGGATGTTGGTTGCGAATTTGTTCGTCCATCCATCGACGTAGCGGTATGAGGCAGAGCCGGAAAATCTCTCTTCTGTGGTGTCCATTTCGGTAGATCGGTCCATTGTGAAGCTGGATACGGGGGAATTGAATAGTCAAGATAATATGTATACCTAGTCAAACTTTCAGATTTGCGAGGTGGTGTTCGAAATGATGTAGATACGATCTGTATTATTATTTCGCTAAGGCAGGTATATACTCCTGGTCTTATATCATTTGCCGAGAGACCTTGAACTGTATAGTGAATTAAGAAAAAGGGCGGGCGTCATGACAAGGAAAGAAAAGAAGAAATTAGGATATACATTTTCATCTATGCATGTCTCAAGAAACTCCAGGATATAAAGCAAAAAGAATACAAGGTAGGGATTGTTTGCTAATCTTCTGGGGTGATAGATCTTGGATTTGGACAAAGGGTAGAACATGCTTTGAGAGATTTGAAAAAGTGAATGTTTGCAATCAAAGAATAGTAGTAAAAGGGACAAGACACCCTAGTAAACAGAACAATAAGGTACATACAAAGCAGAAAGAGTGAAAGCATACTGTTCTTCATTGATCCCGTCTCGAGCATTGTTTGCCTCATTTGGCATTGTCACTCCATTGTCACTCGCTTGTCTATTCTTTGGTCTGATCTGCAAGACGTATACGAAAATCTGGCGCCTGTGGTTTGTTACCTTGAACGTGCTTACTAGCTATTTTCTCTAAACATAGTTACGGCCAACAGATGTATGTATATCAGATCAATAGCATAATGCTTCGACAATATTCTAAGATAAAGTACAAAGGAAAAGCCACTACCTCAGTATTTTCTGCAAGAGCCCTGCATTTGTGTAGCGTTGAAGTTTTTCCACTTTCGCCTCCAAGTCTGCATTTTCGTCTTCCTTTTGATGAAGTTCTCTTTGCAAAATCTCCTTTTCAGAACGGAGCTGCTGCATTTTCTGCGCCATCTTTTCCCGATACTTGGCATTCTCATCGAGCATACCTTCGATTCTATTCCAAGTCATAGGGTCGGTGCTGGTTGAGGGCTGCTGCTGTATCTGGGGTATCCGAGATAATTCATCCTCTTTTTGTCTCAGCTGGGCCTCGAGATCGCTCACTCGGGCTTGCCAGCTCTGCCCCAGCTCTGGAGATGCACCCTCTAGCTTCATAGCTGCCATCTGACGTTGTAAGTCCTCATTGGCCTTTTCCAGCTCGAGGGCTCTTTGTTCCAGAGCCGCCGTCCTTGCGGCCTGGAACAAGTCTGTGGTATTCTTTGGCTCGAGGGTATCTCTTCGTTCAAGAGTATTTCTCCGCTCCGTGCTTTCTCTGGCAATCGTGCTCCTCCCCTCGATAGAAACGATACTTCTTGGTCGTCTGGAAGGTGTTATCCTTCCGCCGGACTTCTCAAGACTCTCGATCTTTCGCGTGGCTTCGGCAAGTCTGTTGCGCAGAGAAATGACGTTTCCAAGGTCGTCATCACGGAGTTTTCTGATATTTGCATGTTCCCATCGCTCTTCGGCCAACAGAACGCGGACCTTGATGAGATTAGCCACATCTTCATCTCGAAGAGCGAAAAGTGCCTCGTATCGAGCAGCCATCGCTGCTTTTTCAGCTTCCAGTGTCTTGATCCTGTCTTGCATGGCCTGATACTCTTCTGGACTAACGGAAATCGTAGGGTTTTCACGTTCCATGAATATGATCTTGCGCATCAAGGCAGATAGTTGCTGTTCAAGGGGTCCAGGGACACGAGTGTCGGATGCCTGATATTCTGAGACTTCATATTGATCCGCCTCTTCTGTCTTTGGATGAAATTCATTCTGACTTTCGACATATTTCGCTGCTGGTAGCAAAGTCGGCGTCTTCTCCGGCTGTTCATAGTCCTCTTCCACATCAAGTGTCGTGGCCTGAGAGTGCGTCTCGCTTTCAGGTGGACTATGATCATCTTCCTGGTTCAGACGAGCCATGGTGATCAAGGGTCGAGGGTATATCTCGGCGAGTTTCGGCGATTCTTGTTGGGGCTTCCTGGGCAATCCGTCCTGCGGATGCCATAGTTGACGGCTGGTCCGATCATTAAACTCATTAAAGGCATCTGAATCGCTACTGCGCTCAGAATCGTAACTATGAAGAGAAGAAACGGAATGTGAGAGCGAGTGGACCGAAGCCGAACGAACAGACGAAGGTCGCGACCACATTGTGAATCGTGAGTGGAGATATACAGCAATAAGAGTGGATAACTAAAAAATGAAGAGAAGGAAAGAAGACCAGCTTGGGAAAAGAAAGAGAAGGGAAAAATTGACCGCGATGTTTTCCAGCAGCTAATTAATGTATCCAGAACCCAGAAAAAGGGTCCAAACAACATGAGACGTCTAATACGCAAGGGCCTTGGCTGTGACAGGAACGATGATGCTGAAACTTGCTTATCCTTCCCCAGGCCCAAATAGACCGGCAAAGACCGGAGAAGAGCTCAATTCGACATATTTTGGGGTATTTGGAGAGCTTAAACTAAGTTTCATATTCCAATCTCTCCAAGTTGTCTATTTGGCCGGTGTCGCAGGAGACGCCAAGCGCACGAACAAGGCGGAGGGAAGCCAGCTAGATAGGGTCTCTCGACAGTTTCTTAGGCTATACAGAAAGCCCTGAACACGACGTGGATGAACTTATCAGCTAATCACAAGATGGTTTTCTTGGACTTAACTCGGGTGATGCTCAGCCAGGAGAGCTCAGTCGCAATTGAAAATACAGGCGAGTCCCCGACTGCATGCATCATACAACTATTTGGACGCCACCAGGAAAAAAGAAAGACGCGCTCAGGCAACGACACCCGCAAAGATTGCTGGACCTAGTCCTATCCTGAAATGCGCCCGAGATCCGTTTCTGTCTTAGAATATAGATAGGACTTCTCCGCCCAGCAGCGGAGAAGCTATATTGCCTTAGGGGATCCTTTTTCCGGCGTATTGGCCAATTGTCCAATACTCAGACAGCATACACTTCAACCATAGGATCGAACCAGAACCGTTCTTTCCGATTCTATGAAAGCATGGAATTTCAAAGATAAGAAGAACCCCTGAAGATGGTTGATAATATCGATTCGAATATCTAGCAGACGCACGCGCCAGCGAGTCAGGAGAAGCGACAACGATCGTTTCAGGTTGGGCTAGACACCAGGAGCTGCCAGACTAGGAAATAATGGCCGTTACGGACTGCCATTTATGTATCGTTATGGTGAGAAGAATGTAGAAGTGGGTCATGATTCGTGATAACAGGATATAGCACTGAATTGGATTGATCGCTTCTCAAGGACTGAAGGACACTTGGCAATCAGCAACAACTTGATGTTAGGTAGTAGTAGGTAAGTACTGCCACCATCTACCGCCTTGGGTCGGCTGCATGGATTTCTTTGAATTTCTGTGTTGATTAGCGGTGTATGGTATTATTATAGTAAGTGTAGTAATTATGATTATTTCAATAATTGACTTGTGGAGTTCTCTTCGGTTCAAGCCGAACCTTTTAACAGTAGGTAACTTTTCATACCTGAAACTTCGAGCCAGATCGATCACGTGAATATGAGCTGCAGACTATGTATGTCCCATTCCGAAGCTGGGAATAACTATCGAGGTGATAATAGTCCTTAAATCCATGATAAATGCCATGGGAATTTGTACAACTCCAAAAATACACTCATTCATTCATTCATTCATTGCAGTGCCATACGTCAATATAGCAAGACGCATTAACGGTCCTAGGTCCGACCAGGAGACTAATATATATGGTAACGGAAATATTAACAGGCCACCGTAAGGATGGCAAGAGACCAAGAAAAAGTGCGAATATCCTAGATTATCGACATCAGTCCAATAGAATTGTAATCTCCCCAATCCCTCATTATATGTACCGTTAGCTCTGCCCAATAATCTATATTCCAATAGGTCCAAAACTACACATATATATCTATACCTCTGGCCCTCCAGCACAGAAAGTGTGTCCATATCTATAACGAATCTCTAATCTTGATGAAGTCCAAGTACCGCTCCCGGGTCCAGATTCTGCACTTCTTCCCCCAAATCATCATCGGGATCGTCATCATCACGAAGAAGAAATCCAGAGCAGCGATCTCGATGAATGTATTTCTTGTCCCCTGAGCATCGAGCCAGTATTGTGTCGTGAACGTCAGGATACAGGCAATCGAGTTGTTGATGACTGATACGCCGACCATGCCTTCGAGGACCATCTCTGGATAGGCGTCCATTAAGTACGCCATGCTCAAGTCTCCGGTACAACCCCAGCCGAAACCGATCAAGCCTAAGCCAACATATGGTACGTGCCAAGTCCAGCCGTATGCTGTGCCAATTCCAAAGAGTAGCATCCCCGCAGGACTGATGATTCCACACGGATACAATAGCCAGAGTCTGTGCTCGGCTTCTTGAATGCCTCCGTTTCGTCTTGCAAGCCAGAGTACGAATTTGTCGGAGACGTAACCACCGTAAAAACATCCGATCACAGCGCCGATGATGCAAGGTACGTTCATTAGACCGACTGCAGCATCACCGTAGTTCCATGGTGGTCCGATCCACGTACCTTCTTCCAGTGTGAGATAGAATGTCAACCAGGCATCCTGCGCGCCCCACTGGATGCCCGAATAGATCACAGCGGGGAACGAGAAAATGCGCAGGGTGTGGAAGAGGCGCGCGAAATACTGTCTGAAACCCGTTCCAATGATGTTTGGAGCTGGGGTGATGAGTGCAATCCGCTGCCAGTAAGACTTGGGTTTCAAGTCCGAAGGCGATGGTGAAAGTTCTCCAGCGGTGTATGCAGAATCTTGGACACGAGTTGACACCGGCTCTTCCACCTTCTTGAATGCCAGCTCCTCGTCTGCGGTACCAGTGGGAGTCCCTTCCCCCAGAGCGACCTGAAGAGCACCTGTTCCATAGGCCGAACGGTCGAAAAGGGTCTCTTCAAGGGTGAACAGGCATACAATAATTGTGCCACCTGATATAATCGCTCCCCACCAGCCAATCCAGCGCCAACCCTGGCTGCTGTCTGCTATATAACCCGCAATCAGCGGGCCCAAGTACGTGCCAATGCTAGTGGCCAAAACGTAGATACCGAGAACGGTTCCACGTTGGTGTTCGTAGAACAGATCGGATAGAGACAACTGGACAGTAGCCTCCGCACAGGCCTCGGACGCGCCCACGAAGAGCTGATTCCAGATCGAGTCAGCTGTTGTCTGGACGCGCGCCATCCAGATCGAGCCCACCAGACCTGAGGTCAAGCAGATGAGATAGGTGCTTCGCCGACCGTAGAGCCAAGCACCAGGCGAGCTCAGCAACGTCCAATAACCGATACCGACAAACAGAACACCTGCACCGGTGTTCATGGAATCATAGGAGATTCCCAAATCGGCATTCATGCCATCCTGAGCGGATCCGGCATCGTTCGAAGTCGCAGCAGTGAGAGCCGTTATGAAGCACACCAGGAAAGCATGCCAATATTTACGGAACGATGACCAGTTCAGAGGGTCATTGGGGGAGTTTGTCGGCTGCGGAGACAGGACAACATCGCCGTCGTCGACCAGCCTGATGGTCCCCGGGAGGCTATCTGCATGCATTCTAAGAGCAACTCCCACACCCCCCGATAACTGGCAAACGTCGCTGATAAGGGATCAAAGGGAGGCGAATATGTTGAACAAAACACCCGCCGCAGGGTTATATATCTCAGCACAGACCGGGAGAGAAACGGGACCCCTGGGGGGAGGAATACTGCGGACTCATTCCTGTCCCATTTTGACAGAATTTCGCAGCTATGAGAAGTGGTAATGCCTGTCTGATAAGAGCGATCTGTCAAGAGTGCGCGTCGCCGCGTCCAAGGGCAATGCCCCCAGAGAAGGTCAGGAGCTGATCAGCAAGTTGACTAAATGGTTGCCAAGTCCTCCGTCGAGTTGTGGAAGTCTCAGGATTCAGGCAGCAATTGTGGCCTCATGTCGGGATCCCTGGCTCAGAAATGCATGACCCTTCAAAAGCGATTTGAGCGCCTCAAAGTATTCGACAGCTGACGAGCGTCCTAGCAGCAGAAACCCGGAGAGTTAACCCACGCGACAGCTTGCTCGTTCGCTCTCAGAAATTTCGGCTCTCACCGCCGCCACGCACTAGGGCCCATATTTAAAGGCTTGTGAAGATGCGGTTATCTTCGATCGGCAAATAAAAGGGGTGGTTTGAACATGCCAGAGATAACAAACTTCGCTCTTCATCCCGTGTTGCCGCTTATTGGGCATGATAGATTGGTCCACAAAGCTTCGCCAGACGCTTGTCAGATCTCGGGCTGTGGCTGGATAAACCGGATCGGGCTTAGGATGCTGTCAAAGCTGTCGACATGGGGTTGTGGCCAGTGATCAAATATTCCTGTATGCACGGCGCCTCTAACCTCAGTACCTATCATATTTCTTTTTTTTCTGTGCGAAGCGTTTAGCACCAAGCGAACTGAGCTTGGCACATATGTGCAACGACAACCCGTCGTGAGCGACAGGCAAAAATTGTCGCTTTTGCGACATGGACAATGCCAGTCGTTTCAATTCGTCGATTTGTATTTTCCAGCCTCTCTGATACCTGATTCGAGAGTGTTGCGTGTAAGATCTCGAAGATCGCTTCGCGCAAACAAGGGAGCCGATCGTCGGATAGCTCGCACGGTGACCTAATGGTAGGAGAGGCCAAACCACAACAATATTCCTTTTATCTCGCAAGGTGGTATTCTGTTGGAGTCAATGAAGTGGAATGATCCCAGAACCGGGTTCCAGAGACATTGAATAGAGGGCTTGATCAAGCTCTGCCTCTAGAAAGGCAGGTAGCTCCAAGATAGGTACTTCTGTGGAGATGATGTATCCTCTCACGAACATCGAGACCCTAGTTTTCCGGGTTAGTTAGCATTTTTCTGCTATCGAAGTGCTCTGACTGTGGCAGTATAAGTAGTAGAAGCTCTTATCGATGCCATTGAGCAAAGTGTTCTACCGATTGCACATTTAATGTCCGCCTGCCTTAAGGCAACTGTGCTCTTCACCGGCACTTACAAAACGTCTACTCTAGTCCAAGAATACGAGCAATGTGCCCAAAAAGTCTGTCTAACGGCCGAACATCAAAGCCTCGTACTCGCAGTCGTCTTGCCTGCCATTCCTTGGCATTGACATTAATTGATTGCTCAAACGGCAGACTTTCCATATGAGGACTAACCGCCATCGAGGAGGAGCTTTCGCAGCACCTAACCCAGAGAAATGGGGCCTCATTGCAGGAGTGAAGCGAAATAATATGCCAATTCTGCCCAAAAGTGGTAAGGGTACATGAGGACAGCTGGGTCAAGACTCGAAAGGCCCATCTAGGCTGTGGTAAATAATGAGGGTCAGTACACGAATTGACTTCCAATATGGGAAACATCGTTTCTTTTTTAACGTTCCTGCATTCAAGAACCGTGCCATGTTATGCGTACGACTTAAAATGGTTCGACATCCTGTACCGGGCAAGATGTTTGTGGCCAGTCGTTCAATGCAGGGCCGTTAGTGAAGTATATGCTCGGTTTGCCACGAGATATGACGACCGATCCACAGTGGCAAGGGAAATAACAATCAGAGACATAGTGACCAGAAAGCCCCATCGCGCATTGATGCCCAATGATGATGAACTAACGAACCTTGAGATGGGAGGTTGGAGTTTCGGTTAAGTATCAGACCTGCGGGGAGGATACTTGAAAGAGTCAACGCTTATGCAGCCTCTAGAATCGGATTCTTGGAGCCGCCAGCGTTTGCCAGGACATAATCAGTTGCTCTCGGCATCAGACGGCGATGGGTCCCGGCAAATAGAACCCATGCGAGTCATGGCCAAGTACCTAATAGTCAGTGTGTAGGTACCTGTAGGCAAGTACTGTACATGTTGTAGGGTCCCCCTTCAACGTCGATTATGCCAAGAAATGCGTGCATGTATGCTGCATGTTTTTTAAATATCTGGACAAAGTGCGTGATCAGAGTGCTCTTTTCCCCACAAGAAGCAAGAGTGTCGTGAGACCTCCGTGAGACATGTTGAGTTGGCGTTCCCTTGATGTTCGAGCAAACTCTATGGGAAGAGAAATCGATCATGATGAGACATTGAAACCGTACGATAGTTACCGGTAGCCAGATTCGAAATAATTCTGCCGCCGGACGCGCAATCCGTATGCGACCAATGTTCTTTGCTGTCCATTGGTTTCTTTGACTGACATGGGACAGTCGAAAACGTAGGGAGAGGTTTTGATCAAAATAGAGAGCTGCAGAGATGAATTGACCAAAGACAGGTGAATGGTAGATGGGAATCCAGCAAGCACTTCAATGTCGAGAAGATAATAATGACCGGGGGAGTGCGCGCCTTGTTTGTATGAGGACGGTGAATGGACCTGACCGCTAGTTGCCTGAATCTCTCCCGACTTGGCAATGGCTGTGTGGGATCGACCACTATAACCGCTGCTACCCGAAGACATTCCTACATAGAGTATAGCCAGGGTTCAGCCATTTCTGTATGCTTCAAAGGGACGTAGATAGTACTGGTAGTCCATTGTCTCTGCTCCAGCAGGTACTATGGATCATGCAATAGATCGCGTTCTGCTTTGGGTGCCAAATGAGCTGACAACAACAGGGTTCCACTTGATCAGCCGTTGGACTTCCGTTCTGACTGCAGAGCACCACAAAAGTCAGTGCTCACGATCCACTGGTTCTTGGTGAGCGTTGAACTATGTGTCCCTGCATTGCATTATTCTTGCAGTGTCCAGACTTGATAGTCGGCGGAGAAGAAATCCCCTGATCGGGCATGAGCTAGGGCTAGGGCTTAGGGCCTGCTCTTCGCTCTTGGAACTCCCCGCATATCTCCGCCGATACGTCTAGGATCATGAAACGGTTAGTAGTCGGCTTCGATGGGGATGAGGGTCATGAGTACACATCAATACGAATCCCATTCTGCCAGGGTCTGTCCCTATCTACTCCCATTTCGTGGTCAGTTCGGGGAGGCTCTAAACCGGGGCGTCTCTAGCGGAAAGACTGTTATACAACGGTGCGGCTTCAAGGCAACAGTCTTTGAGTCAGAGGGCTCAGCTGCACACTGACGACCACTTCCGTGTCAGGCAATCTTGTTAATGTCTTGATGCTTTTTGGCCAGCGCGCACCTTCATGGATCAGAACAATGGCCCACAGATCGATGGGCGAGAACAATCAGTAGATGTGTGCTGCAATAAAACGGGGCCAACGTGGTGCTACAGTGCAGAAAATACAGTGCTTTTGTACTGTCTGTGGGTCTCCTGCCGATATCTGCAATTGTCCCTAAATGGCTGTCTGCCACAGATTCGTCTGGAGTCATCAGCACAGGCTTATGTGGACGGCTCGTCGCCGATGGGATATCTCGGCGGAATGCGCGGCCACTGAGAACTTGGGTTTTATTTCCCTGATGCCTGCTTTGGCTGAGCCAGCCTCGTGGGGCGCGCTGCTGACGGGGCGTCCAACCTGAATAATGAATCGGGCGCTGCTAGCTCACAAGGCAGACACGCGCGTTTGGTTGTTCTAGTGTATAGCGTGCAGTCGAGACAAAACATCCCCGGATGGTGATATCGCCCGGTCTCGACGACGACGATCCAGGCTGCCGCACTATCTGGCTCTTTCTCCTGCAGGGAGCTCTTGACTACATATACTGAGAACAGCTGGACCGGTGGACCGGAAAATAGTCGATTTTCCTGCTTCACGATTCCATCTCTCTTGTTACTTTCCAGTCATCAACTCGTGTAGCTTACCTATATCTCAGTGCTGAATATCACCTTTCCATTTCCTGCCTCATTGCCTTCAGAGATCTACTGGCTTAGATCTGTCACACTCCGATATAGATCGTCTTACATCCCGGAAAGAGCTTCCAGATCCCATCTCTTGGGCGTCGGCTCTGCCTTGTTTCTCAGAGGGGAGAACCCCCCTGTGACTCCTAGCAACCATGAATCCTCACAGGGTCTCTCATGTGTCCCCAAGCCAGTTCCTCCCTCATGGACGCAATGCACCTCCTATTGTATACCGCAACCCACCACCCCCACAGCCAGTGGGTTATCAGCCAGCGCCTGTTCTGTCTCCCGGATATAGTCCCGCTCAAGAGAGTCTCCGGACGCAGATGGCCAAGCTCAATATAATGAACAACATCAGTTCTACGAACATGAGCTCCACGAAAACAGAAAAGCCTGCTGAACATGGACAGCCTTCGAAGACATCGCCCTCGCAGGGCAGTGACCCTAATATGCCTTTCTATGAGGGTTGGACCCTATATCGGGCCGATCCCCAGTCGGAAGATCAAAAGCCTAGCTGGAGGCAGGCTACCAGATCAAAGATGAGTCTTTCGCAGACGGATCTCTCTGACATGGTCCAAAAGCGGAAGAAGAAGATTCCCTTGGCGGAACAATATCAAGACCTGGGTAAATTTAAACGAGCCCACGTGGATCTTTTGATAAAAGACCGCGAGACAAAGGACGACGCCCGTTTCAGCTGGACCTGCGTTTATGTGGATGTCGTCAACAGGCCAGCAAAGGGGAAGGGTGCCCGGCGTGGTGACTACGAAACCATCTCCATGGACGTTATCATTGTGCGCAGACTACGGCCTGGTACTCCGAACCGGTCTGTCGAGAGGTCTCCGTCCAGACCTGCCCCCGGCGAAGTGATCTATCTGCAGTCTCCCCTCCCCTCTCCTCTCCCGATTCAGGACAGATTGCCGGATCAGCATACCCTGGAGTCAACCACGCAGGCCGTGTTTGGAAATGGACAGCAACACGCACCCAGCTTCGCCAATGCCGGTCCTTCAGGTGGGCCTCATCAGCCTGCCACGAACCCGGCATATATGATGGGCAGTCAGACTCCAATCAGCTCTCCAGGTGCACCTGTATCAATGCTGCCCACACTCCAAGCAGTCAACCATCCTGCTACTCCGCGCATGAATATGGGCGTACCTGGCCCGGGACCTCATCCGCAATTTGGTAACCATAACGGAGCACAGCTACCCCATTTTGGAGTGCAGCCACCTCATCCAGGAGGACCACAATTCCATCCAGGAGCGCAGCCGCCTCATATGCAACTACCACATCCCGGAGATGCGCCTTCATTCCGCGAGCCTCAAGGCAATAATCATTCTTCCCCGCAGGGCTATTTTGATTATGTGCCCCCTCAGAACCCAGCCGCACATCCTCGTACCCCGGTGTCTCCCTCTCCCTTTCCAGATGTTATCAAGAGACAGCCACGGGGCCGATCAAGCGTCTCGGGGCCTAAAGTGCGCAACGCAGTATCCAAGTCATCCAAGTCCCGCGCTCCACGGGTTGAACTTGACTGGCCTCCAGAGGATAGCAGCGTTGGGGACGATGAGTCTGTTCTCTTTGAACTAGACTACGACAGCTCAGCGACTGAAGATTCTTCCGACGGGTTCGAGAAGATCTCAATGCCACGCGGTAGCACCCGCCACGGACAGCGTTCTCCCAGACACGAGCGATATCAGAAGGTCTACCACTCTCATTCGGACCGCTCTCATTCCGCAAAAAGACCTTCTAAGACCGCACATCGAGACGACCAGAGACGGAAAGGTTACAGGGAGGATGCCGTTGAAATTATTCCAGAGAACAGTCTGCGTGCGCGTCGACGGTCAAGGTCAAGGAGCCGTGCAAGCGCCGGAACCGTCGCTCTTTCTCGCCCCAGGGTTACATACAGTGACCGGGAGAGTCTCCGCGACTCTGTGCTGCTATCGACCGCTCCTCTTTCATCCATCAAAGCTGAGTTGGCGTACCTTGAGATGCTTCGGGACCAGGAGCGACGGCTCCGTGATATGGAACATGTCAGCAGCCGAAGACTCCAGGAGCGAGAGGACCTACTTCGGATGCGCGAGCAGGATCTCGAGTATCGTGAGAAGGAAGCTGATGACAGGGAGCGGTTTTCCAGTGGCCGTTTCACGCCCCGCCAGCCTTCACCTCGAGGCCATCCTCGCTACCACCAGCCTTCTGGCTACCAGCACCCACATCCTCATCCTCATCCTCATCCTCACCCTCACCACCTATACTAATAATGACTAATGTGTTGTTTTCCTTTGTCTGTCATAATTTGATTGATTTTCTGCAGATCTGGATTTGGGATACCCTGGGTTTTATGTGGGTTTATTGGGACTTTGGGAAGCGTATCGGTCAAAACGGTCAACCCTCTTCAGATCTCGAGCAGCCTCGTGATTATGTATCAGACGGGCTGTTGTATTCTTTTGTAATATGCTCATCCACTATGCTAATTTGATGATGATTCCATTCTCGTGCTTGATCTCTGATATCGCTGGGTGGTTCTTGTAGTAACATCGCTTGCATCCTTTGCCTGATGAGGACATTATTATTGCATCTGAAGCATCTGGGTATGGTAGAGCAAATGAAACTCCACTATGGAGCCACAGGAATGACAGGATACGACAGGCGTCCAGGACCAAGAACGGTTCCACTGCCAGCTGGGGCTCCGTGAGTGGCCATCGCGACAGCTCTGGGAGAAAGGGACGGTTAGACGAAGCGAATGAAATAATAATAATAACTGATCGGGATGTGGGATGAGACAGTGAGGCCAAAGGACCTCGGTGACATCACGGCATCTCCGTCGAACCGACCAAGAGAGAGGCTGATGATCTGCTCCTCGATCGAATAATAATATTAGGATTAAGCGGTTTTGAGGTCTCCCGGTCAAGAAAAGCCCCTCCGTCCGGTTTTCGCCGCCCCCAGCTATTTTTCTGCCGAAACGGACCACATCATCATCATCACCATCATCTATCGTCAATCTCTCAATCCTCATTCTTTCACAGAAACAGCTGCACAGCTTTGTCCCCAATTGACCTTTCTTCCTTGACATCTTGACTATCCTAACATTTCACACAACCGTCAAAATGCCGCGCCAGTTCTTCGTCGGAGGCAACTTCAAGATGTATGTATTAAGGGAGCTTGAACTCTGCCCCGCGTTTACCCCTCGGTCGTCGAGATCATACCACCAACACCACATCTTCCGTCTCAACCTCTGTAACGACGGAGATAGCTGACGAGACTGTCTTCGATGTGATCAGGAACGGTACCACCGAGTCCGTCAAGAACATCATCAACAACCTCAACTCCTCCAAGCTCGACCCAACCACTGAGGTCGTCATTGCCCCGCCTTTCCTCTACCTGCACCTCGCCCGCGAGCTCGCCAACCCCAACATCGCCATTTCTGCTCAGAATGTCTACGACAAGCCCAGCGGTGCCTACACCGGTGAGGTCTCCGTCGACCAGCTCAAGGACGCCAAGGTTACCTGGACCCTCGTCGGACACAGCGAGCGCAGGACGCTGCTGAAGGAGACTGACGACGTATGTTTGCGCTTTCCCGGTGGATAAATCCTTACGCCGCCAATTCTTATTTACTTCAAATTCTTGACAATGAAGGCTAATTGAAATTATAACAGTTCGTTGCCAGCAAGACCAAGGCCGCCATCGATGCCGGACTGAGCGTCATCCTCTGCATTGGCGAGAGTCTTGAGGAGCGCGAGGCCAACAAGACCATCGACGTTGTCACCAGACAGCTCACCGCCGTTGCCAACGTTCTCTCCAAGGAGCAGTGGTCTAAGGTTGTCATTGCTTACGAGCCCATCTGGTAAGCTTCACAGTCGAGTTCTGCCATTCAATGAACCCGCTAGTACAGTGTACTAACGCTCTGTTTTAGGGCCATCGGTACCGGCAAGGTCGCCACGACCGAGCAGGCTCAGGAGGTTCACGCCGCCATCCGCAAGTGGCTCGCTGAGAAGATCTCTCCCGAGGTCTCCGAGAACACTCGGATCATCTACGGTGGCAGTGTCAGCGAGAAGAACTGCCGTGAGCTCGCTAAGCAGGCTGACGTTGACGGATTCCTGGTTGGCGGTGCCAGCTTGAAGCCAGCCTGTAAGTTCCGCTCTAGTCCTCGAATCATTTTTTCTAGTTCTTATTACTGACAAATGGCTGTTATAGTCGTCGACATCATCAACGCCCGTCTGTAAATGATTGAAAGATACCCACCGCCTTTTCCGAGTAGTGGAAAACGGAGAGATGCGGGGATGAATGTCGACATACCTCTTCGCAGTTACCATGGCAATAATGTGATAATGGCGTATGTATAGACGAGAAATTGAAAAATAAATTCCGTTGAAATATCCAACTGTCTATGAAATATTGGATATCAATTTATCGATCATGATTAAGCTTTCATAAACTTATTATCCGCTAAGTATACAACCCGCACTAAATAACAAGGGACCAATGATCATAACCACGTTTATAAACATTCGTAATCTAGTTTATTTGCCGTAACTAAATGACAATGTATCTCAATGTCTGTATGCTAAGAAAGCGAGAGATAATAAGAATAATGAAAAGAGGAATTCAGACTGTGATGTGACGGCCTTCCACCTTCGGTTACGTAGTATCTAGTCCTGCCTCACGAAGCATACAAGACCGACACCCCAACACCCCGCCAATACGACATACCCGGTGCACCACCGCCTGCGCTCTGCCCACTAGCCGAACCACCAGCATACGATGGCGACGGCGGAGTAGACGGGGAGATGGAAAACGAACCAGGACCAAGCCCGACTCCAGCACTGACGAGGAGGTCCTTCACGCGGCCTTCCCATAGAATGCGCACGTTCCAGGACTGATCGACGCGGATCTTGACCACGGATTCTGTCTCTTCTTCTTGACTATGAGGAGGACTTTGGTCGTCTGGCATTACTGTTGCACCGGAGAGTGTGGGCGACATGACGGCCACAGGGGGCCCTGGGGGGGATTTGCTGGAGGACGGGTGATTCCCATCTTGCGACGAGCCCATTCGAGACCATCGTCTTCAGGTGGAGGAGGGACCCGGCGCGTTCGTCGCCACAGTTCACAGCCAGCTACCATTTCGCTTTCCCAGCTGTAGACGTTGAAGCCGAAACGAGAGCTGAAGGCCAGGTTGGGAGAGGCGCGAAGCGAATAGGTGGTGGACAGAGAGCCCGTCAGCGGCGTTAGGGTCAAAGTCAGTGTGTAAGGAAAAGTCGAGATCGGGGATGATGACGATCCTGTGCCGTCGGTTGCTGCAGGGAGAGTGCTGAATCTCAGACCGGTGGACATGCCCACCAAGGACGATACGGGAGAGTAATAAGCCTCTCCACCGGCAGAGAGAAGCGATAGGGGGGTCGGCGACGACCCATGCTTCTTCTTCTCTCGCGGGTCGGGGCCGAAGTTCCATAGCCCCCTCCAACCGAATAGAGTATTGTCGGTGCTGAAGAGGTATTCATTGCTGTATTTTCCGGTGTCGTGAGACAGTTGTGCGAGGACAGATGCCTGCGGCGCAGATTTCGACATCGGAGGTCCACGGGTCGAACATAGCGCGAGAGACAGCTGCGTCGTGGGAGACAGCCGGCGGAGGAACAGCGCATTGAGCGTCGACGGAGGTGGTAGGTGTAGCGTCGCATGGAGCAGAGTCGCCTTTTTCTGGGCCTCCTCTTCCTTGCTCACTGGTATACTTCCCTCCAGCAAAGCATCCCAACCCCAGTCACGGACCGGCGCAACTGGTGACTGAACCTGACGGTAGCCCGGAACAAGTTTCCGCAGGGGAATCAGAGCGCTTTTGCTGGGTGTGCCATTGAGAGGGAGAGTGCTGAAAAGATATGACACGGAACCGTCTATCAACCCAACAGTGCCTAGTGTATATGTCGTTGCGAATTGAGGCGTGGACAGCGATGAGAGATGTACGCGCAAACGCTCAGGGGTGGAGAAGTCTAGCAGAGCTGTAAATGGAGTATGCGTCAGAATTAGACATGCAGTAAGAGGAAATATATAGATACAAGGCACGACATACACTGTGCAGTAGCCGTCAGCGAAGAATAGGAATTATCGCGATTCCAGTTGGTCGCATCGGCGAAAGCGACTTGGATATAGTCCATGAAATCAAGCATTGTCACCAGGACGTCGGGGACGGCGGAGATATAACATACGACATGCTCTTGGAAGATAGAATAATGAAACCACTTAAGCAGACGAGGGTTCTTCGCGATACATCCACTCCATCGTTGACCTGATGATTGATACTTTGACGTCTCTCCTCTCCGCAAGCTGATTCCCAACTTCGGTTTAGCGCAGTCGGATAAGGCACCGCATCAACATTCCTCCATCCCCGCCCGCCGTTATCAAAGAGAAAAAAATCACCAAAATTCCATATCGGGCTCAGGCGCACGGTGGATTCCATCGATCTTTCTATCCCGCCATCCGTTTCATTATTTTCCTTTCCTTTTCTTCCATTTTCTTTTCCCCATATTACTTGAACACGGTATATACTTCGGGAGAGTAATACACAAGATCAAACACAATGCCTCTCTCCAAGCGCGCAAAGATCGTCCACGAGACCAAGACTGCGAAGAAGTCGCACAAGGAACAGACTCGACGACTGTACGCCAACGTCCAAGAATGCGTCGAGAAATATGATCACCTCTTCGTCTTCTCCGTCGACAACATGCGCAATACCTACCTGAAGGATGTGCGAACGGAATTTTCTGATAGCCGGTTTGTCCTCCCATTGAATTTCCCCAATCGAATAACAATAAAATCCGATCATCGCTGTTCCTTGACCTTTTTACCTTTCTTCTTTCACTCTACGGTGGTTGGAATTCTCTATAAGAATGATATGAAGCTAATACGCAACCTCTCCAGTCTTTTCTTCGGCAAGACCAAAGTCATGGCCGTCGCACTCGGCAACTCTCCCGAAACCGAATGCGCTACGAACCTGCATCTTCTGAACCCATACTTCACCGGCGCCGTCGGTCTGCTATTCACTTCCCGCGACCCTGAATCCGTCATTGCGCACTTCGACTCGTTCCGACCCCTCGATTACGCCCGTGCGGGTACTGTCAGCACGAGATCCTTCACGATCCCCAATGGCCCCGTGTACTCGCGTGCTGGTGAGATTCCCGAATCGCAAGATGAGCCCCTCAGTCACACGGTGGAGCCTACGTTGCGGAAATTGGGCGTTCCAACGCGGTTGGTGAAGGGCCGTGTTGTCTTGGAGATGACCGATGGAAATGGCTATCAGGTCTGCAAGGAGGGAGAGGTCCTCGACTCGAGACAGACGACTTTGTTGAAAATGTTTGGTGTTGCGACTGCTGAGTTCCGTGTCGGAATGAAGGCCTACTGGAGCCGGAAAACTGGCGAGGTCAAGGTTCTCGAAAAGAAGGAGGGTGAAATGGATGTCGATGGACAGTAAAATCGACGGGCTTGCTGGTCGAGGCTGGTAAATATTGATTTTCTTCCTTTTTTTCCGTCTTCTGCAGCATATCTCTGGGAGTAAGGGACTGGCGTTTTCTTTGGTTTTATACTAGATGAGACATAAAAAGTATATGTTCTCCAGACTCAAAAGAAATGGATACCGCTACTTCTACGTTTGCAGATCAAATATCCTACGCAAATATCTTCAAATTACCTGGCAATAATGAAATTCCCATGAACACATATACGACGATAGAAGCTGCAATTACCATCGTCGCAAAAGATCTTTTGCACAGATTACCTGTGCATGGCTCGTGCCTAACAGCCTTACCTGATCTTACCCGCGAACTGAAGGCCCTTTGCTCACAAATCTCATCGACCTAGAATACATTCATACTTACCCCAGCAACAGAAAGAAAATAGGGGCGGCAGTAGAAGAACAAATACAACAATGAGAAACTGGCAGATAGTCGAGTTATGAGCCGGGAAAGTGGATATGGACCTGGACAGCCGTAAATCTCGGGATAAAGGACATCAGAGAATCAAGGTAAAAAGTCGCGTAGGCGATAAAAATGCTTCTTCCTGGTTCGGGGAAGGGTAGTCCAGAAAGTTTCTCGGCTGTTGTGAGTAATAGGACGCCGCGTTCATACTCCCGCTGGAAAGTTGCTGGCGCTGCCTTACCCTTGGCGAGCGAAGGGTCAAGACGAGCTCTCGTGATAATGATATACCCACCCACAAACCAGACTGAAGTGACATTTGGTGTCTTTCAGTACCTGCGTTTCGAACGAGGGTCATCGTAGCCATCGTCATCGTGGTGTCTCTTCCGGGAATAGTCGTCTCGGCCGCCGTACCTGTCGCGGTCGCGGTCTCTGTCCCGACGATCGCCGTCACGATCCATATATCTGTCTCGGTCTCGGTCTCGATCCCTATCCCTATCGCGATCACGTCTTTCGCGATCCATTAGGCTATGTCCCTCTCGCGGCCTTACCGGTTCCCGGTTGCTACCAGTTGCGCCCCGGGGCTCACGGTCAAATCTACCCCCTGCAAAGCCACCGCGTCCACCTCCAGGACCTGACGGTGCGTTCGGCGGAGGCTGTCCTCCAAAGCCATTACGGCCACCTTGGTATCCGATGCCACCCCTGGGAGGGCCATATCCACGATCGCTGCGATAACCTCCACGAAAGCCCCTACCGCCATATCCGCCACGGAAACCACCTCCATAGCCTCCAGGTCCTGAGGGAGCATTGAATGTGCCAGGTCCCAGTGGGCGAGCTGGCAGTGCCTTCGTGTAACCACGGCCACCAAGTCCACCCCCAAAGCGCCTGGGCTTCCAGCCTTTCACCGTACGGCCGCGTTCAACATCCACCAAAACTCGTCTGTCCTTGATACGAATACCGTCGGTTTCCTTGTAGGCAGCTGTAATGAAATAAGTAGGGTAGTGTCAGTGGACTCAATCCATTACCTTGACCATTGTTTTTCGGGGGGAGGGGATTAGGGTCAAATAGAGGGTTCCAGGCGGGGGAAATACCCTTCATATCCTTCTCACGCTCGTACACGATAAATGCATATCCTCGGTGAGGCTTCTTCGGGTTCGGGTTCTGGTCCCTGACGATACGGATCTGAAGATTGTTAGTGTCCTCCAGATCAAATAATTCATCATACACTCTGATATCTTACCCTCTCAATGGGACCATAGCGACCGAATTCTCGCTCCAGATCGGATTCCGTCACGTCGTAACTGAGACGTGCAACAAAGAGAGTCTTGAACGCGTCTCCGCGAACCTGCGGGTCCTTGGTAGGGTCATCTGAAAGCAGTAAGTCAGCATGAATTTGTCAAGAAGATGGTATCGATTCGAAAAGACAGAGTACGTACAATTCTTGACTTCCTCTGTCAAGTAATGCTCCAGCTTCTCTTTCTTTTCCGCCTTCAAGCGTGCCTTGCGCTGGAGCCAACTTTCCGTAGGATGATAAGGAACCTCCTCATCATATTTCTTCAAATCATCGAGAAATTGCGCCACACCAGAAATAGTACTTTTCTTAATGTCATCTGGAGCGCGATCCGAGGGAGGGATATAACGGAGAGGTGGGCGCGGCGCGAAGAGCGCGAGGAGGTTGGGAGGGAGCTTGTCCGTCATTGTACGCGCTCACTTGATGACGGTGAGGATGGAAATGAACAGAGGGGATAAACTAGAAAGACATGAGGTGTGGGTTCACTGAACGGCGCCGTCGAGGTTCCTAGTTTGACCGTGGTTCACTGCAAGCAGGCTGACAAGGGGACGCCCAGAGTTTCTCGTTCCTCCAGCTTTTCGCGTCTGTCAGCCGCGTTAGGCGCAGTTGGCGCCAGCCAATCATAACACGCATCGACTCCCAAAAGTTCCCGACATTCGCAAAAGGCTCGGACAAGTGAACAGCAGCTTGATTGTCGGCGACAACCAGAAAGCAACAAGCCGCAATGCCAGTACAAGGGATTCGAACAGTGGCTAAGGCCAGGGTATGGTTTTGTCTTATTTCTGCAATTGCTTCTATGTCATTTTCGTTCCCAAGCTGACAGGAACTTTTTTCCTTCCAGAACGGCGTTGGCGCCTTCATCCTACAATGCAAACGCCTCGACTTCCACTACTGCGACTGGGCTGGTAGCTCAAGAGGGATGCTGTATGTTCTCTATGCTTACTATCTTGTGACGATTTCTCACGCTCTGCGTGTTCTAGGGCCTTCCTCAAGCACTCCCTCCCCTCCTTTGCAAAGGCCAACCCCCAGATCGAGATCCGAGTCTCCCCACGACCGCACAAACACCCCGTCATCAAGGGCCACTACATCAACGGCAGAGAGAAGGCCATCTGCGTCCGAAACCTCGAGCCTGAGCAGATTATGCAGAAGGCCAACCTGCTCAAAGAAGCCAGCGGAGAGAAGCTGAAGAGGACCAAGAAGCCAGTCACAAGTTTGAACGAGAGTGTGAGAGGCATCTGGTCTCCTTATCACGGAGATCTCAAGACGGTTTAGAGTGTTGGATCCGTCCATCGGCACCTAGGTGCAAAATCCTCAGCACATATTAGAGCACCTGTTGGGCTAGAATGCTCTTTCCTCGACTACCCATGTACTTTTCATGAACATGTATATCACCTTTCTGGCGGCGTAAAGTTATGCTTATCGGATTTTTCTTTTACAACGAAGGTTCTCTTTGGGAAGAAGCATATTATGGAGACATGGATCAACAAAGGAGCTGTTGATACCACCAATGGTGCCACTACCGTTCACGAGGGAAATGTAGCAGCAGCGAGAGCACTGCTGCAGTGTGCTTGATATAATATTGAAATGCACAGTCATATCATGTCCAAAATTAGAAGACTGGGAAACAACCGGCACAGGAAGATGGCCAGGCATATCGCAAATATGCGGGGTATCAGAAAAGCAGCGCATGACCATCCGTCCAGCCATCCAAACGACACCCGCGATATACCAAGAAACGCCGACGCCATGCTAAAAGAATAAGAAAGAAAAGGTCCCTTAATGCGCATTTCCGGACCAGACAGGTCCTTCGACCCTCACATGTAGATTTGGAACATAGCCTTGGACGCGCTAACGGGCTTGCCGCAGTCCTCGACCTGGCATTTCGAAAATGGTTTCGTCTTTGTATGGGACGATTGCAGAGCCTTCTTAGATTTAGATAACGACCGATATTTGGCGCATGTACCGCAGTAAACCTGGCGAGAGTTAGGAGTTAATAGGGAGGAAATCACGGATGGGCTCAAACGAACATGTCCACAGGGCTTTGCCACCCAAATTTGTTGTTTGGTCTCGTCACCAGTGCCCAGCTCATCACCACAGTTGGGGCAGACCACCATTTCGTCCTCTTGTGCCGACCTCGTGAAACCTTCTGGGGGCGGAGTAGGAGGCTTGTAAGAAGACACTGGTTGCGACGGATTTTCCACCGTAAACCCTGCTAGATGATAGTCCATACCCAGTGGAACATCCACATCTAGATCCACTGTAAGATCGATTCCTTCATTTGGTGCATCTCCTATCCAGAATGTCTCAACTCCGTGCGGTACCGGCCGAGCTAGATTCCGTGCTCGTAGCGCAACCTCATGACGAAATGCTTCCTCTCGAGACAGTGCGTTAAATGACGGTAATTGAGACGATCGTAATCGCATGATATCGAAAAGATTCGAACGACCCATGAAACCCGAACTGGCTCTAGGTGGCGGTTGCGGCCGCACTGTAGCTCTCACAAACTGCACCTCAGGGCTACTCGGAGGATCTCCTTGGGGAGAAGGTTCAGTCTCTTCCTCCAGATCTACGACATCTGCCATGATATTCCTCCCGAAACGAGGAGGCCTGGAGCTCCCCCCTGGTCGTGCAGGGCCTTGGTGGCGAGACCGCCGAGAAGGGGGTGAATCAGGCTCATTTGTCAAATCTATCACATCTTCCGTTGGCTGAGGGCTCGACATGACCGGCCGCCGATAGTCGAGACCATCCCCTGGATATCTCATCTGTGGCAATGGGGGAAGGGTGAGGCGGGAAGTTGGACGGTGAGGGGTCGAAGAGGATGCTTCGCCATGACGGTCCCGGGGAGTCTGGCTTCGTCGACCATGAGATTCGGACATCTCACGATGAGTTCGCTACAAGAGAAAGCAAGATCAGCACTATAGGATCGATCGAGTGAGTTACCAGTGAGCAGCGGCATCTTCCACCCCGCCCGACCCTGGATTGCTTCTCGTACCTTTCTTGACCTGGCGGCCAAAAACTGGACGCCGGGATCGTCGTTCATATCAAAGCTGGGAGCAATGGGGGGAAAAGTATTAGGAAATACAATCACTCAGAAAGAGGAAAACGTGTATGAAGACAGAGGAGAAGATGTGTAAGAGGAGTGGTGTAGGAAGCCCTAAGGTTGGTGGAGGTGGTTAGTGTTCCGAGTCCGCTGCCACTCCGTCTTGGGAGTGGCACTGGTGGAGATGATATCCTGACCTCTCATAATTCTTGACCATTCGGCATTGGCAGCGAACATGGTGAAGTCAATCAGGTCACAGCAACCTGGCTAGATCTAAAATATCTATCTGTGAGGAAAAGTGCCTCTGTGGCCGATCACAGGGATATGATGAGTGTGCAAAAGTGATCTCATGCTTTTTTTATTCAATCGATAGTCTCAAACCCTTAATGACACTGATAATAACACCATGCAGGACAAAGATTGCTAAAAGTACAAAGAGTCAAGGTATCATGATTTTGATGCCAACACTGTAATGATTCCCTCCTCATTAGTTGCCACGATGCTTTGTGCACCTGGTCCCCACGCGACGGCAACTGCAGGGACTGCGCTGCGCAAGGGCTCCGACCATTCCTTGGACGATTTAGAGTAGTACTGGACGCTCAACCCATTGGGGCCACCGGCCAGGAGGAACTGGCCTGTATAATCCCAGCTGAGAGAGTTGATTTTGCCACCGGTTTCCAATACCTTGATCTCCTTCGCATGACGCAGGTCCCAGACGGAGACGGTTGTAGAGCCCTCAGCGGCCGCGGCCAGGAAAGTGCCATTCTCAGAGAAGAAGAGAGTCTTAACAGGGCCAGACATAGGAAAGCTTGCCGCGGCTGAACCGGACTTGACGTCGAAGATCTTAACCTGTCCATCAGTGCCACCTGCAGCAAGGAGGTGACCGTCGGGATGGAACATTGCGGAGATCAGGTCTAACAGAAATCAGTGAACTTGTTTCAGACATATTATGTCGGGAAGAATAGGAAACTTACTGGAGTCGCTCCAGACTTGAGTGACAACGTGAGATGTAGCGAGATCATAGATCACATAGCTCTTGTCAACGCCTACAGAGGCAACAATATCGCCAGTGGGGTGCACAGCCAGCGCAGTAGCTTCGCCTGCATGAAGGTTAAAACTCGCAACCTCGGCTCCATTCTCGAACACCTTGACAACTCCCTTGGAAGAAGAGATAACCGCCTTGTCGCCAGCCCAGACAGCATCGGTGACCGCACCATCCGTCTTGAGCGTCTGAACGACCTGTTTCTTGGATAGCGAGTAGACCCCAGCAACGCCGTCTACACCTCCGACAAGTGCAAGATCACCGGTTGTGTCAAGGGATAGCGACTTCCCTCCAGGATATAGTGCTTTCGAGGTTTCGATAGGTTGATATCCCGAGATTGTTTCAACAGTAGCCCAGCCTTCCGGCACCGGGCGCTTACGACGACCCTTGGAAAGTCTGCGAGCAGATTAGCATAATCCTTGAACCAAGCTAGGAGATGTAATACACACGTTGCCTGTGTACTTTCGATTCTGGCAAGAATTGCCTCAGGAAGTCCAGCGCTGTCCACCTGCATGGCATCATCACCACTTGGGCCACGGACAGCGCCCACAGAGACCTTGGACAGCGCATCGCGAGCCTCATCCCGCTCCTTCGTCAACCGTGCGATCACCCGAACGGCCGCATCGTGCTGGTATAGAGCCGTGCTGAGCTCTTGCCTCGTCTGAGCCAGAGTCTGCCGCAGTGTGTATGTCTCCAGAGCCAGCGCATCCCATTCCTCCTGGAAAACACCGAGCAGCGAAGGGATCGAAGTGAGCGTAGGGGGTCGAGGTCGAACAACGCGCTGGGTCTTCAACTCTACGAGATCGTCACTGCTCAGATCCTCTCCTGTCACCGGGTCCTTTCCATGCTCCGCAATATACGCTTCGATGAGCCGTTTCTCGAAAACGTTGCCTAACTATCGTGAGAACAAGTCCCGCTCATTAATTCACCATGGCCACTTACCACTCTTGCGTGATGCGACGGGCACCTGTGGTGCCTCTCCGGAGACTAATAAAGACACATCAGCTTTTGACGATCCAACTGAGTATAATCGCTCATAGAAACTCACTTGCGCACAGCATGGTGTGTGATGAGGTGGGGTGATCGGTAGTCCTGGCTGGACGCGAAAGCTGCAGCTCTGGACTTTGATCCTCTCCGGTGCTGCTAGAGCCTAGCGAAGACTTTCCGCGCATTTAGCTTTGCCGCGCGACAAGAACCGATCGGAGATCGCTGCAGCCGCCGGGCCTACAGCATTATCACTTACGCCGCGATCGACCTCGACTCAAGAACTAATTATGTCTAGGATCCCACGTCGAGGCATTCTTTGCAACGGTGTTATCTTATTTTCTACTATCGCCTCTATTTACAAAGCTCGGCATAATCTACGCCGCTACTCTCTGTTAGAGACAGCTGCCAGGCACAGCACATCCTAGCTATGGTTTAACCATCAGTGATGATTTGAACCTAACTCTCGTTTAAGGGCCTTCGATAGGCTACTGATCCTCAAGCAATTGCTTGCTTCTATAATCCCTCAAGACGCCCTAACTGCTGGCTCACAGTCGACAAGATGTCTTTCAAATCCAAGAATCTCAATTATGGTGAGCGACACCTGATATGTATCTTACGGGCTCTGTTTTGACTTTAATGAAAGAGGCCAAAGAGCCGCCTTTTTTGCAAAGGCTGAAGAGCCAGTATGGTGGCGCAAATTCCGGTCGTCATGAACGAGCCATACCACGCCCTCGCAGACTACAAAAGGACGACGATGAGGACGCCCCGACGTATGTCGATGGGGAGACCAATGAGGTTATCTCTAAGGAGGAATACGAATCCCTAGTTCAAGGCGATAAAAATGACGGATCTCAAGATGAGACTAAGGAGGAGACAGCCTCTGCGCCGGCGGAAGACGAGGCCGATACAGCAAATCCAGAAACTAAAGCACAGCAAAAACAGAACATAGCTGAAATTGGAGGCCCTAAAAAGCGAAAACAGGGAAGAGTGGTTGGTGAGGAAGATACTGCAGATAATGCCGAGCGACGGCAAGAGAGCTCCTCTTCGCGCAAACCAAAGCAGAAAAAAAAGAAGATCAAGCTCTCGTTCGATGAGGGCGAAGATTAAACATCTTACAATATATGAAATAAGAGATACCTACATGATTCAGTACCGCGAGGATGCCCTAGCATGAGTCATTATTAGTTGTTACTCGGAGTAATTCACAGTGCTTAATGTTGGTTAGCTTCACCAGACACGGCCTAAAACTCAATGATAAAGATTTCAGCGATGAGTAATACGATATACAGTAACTAGTGAACTACTACTAGTTTCCTCGTAATGGTGTGTCATTTCAAATGCAGAATGTATTGTTGGTGACTGAGCTCTAGATTTCCTCTGCCCAATTCTTTGATTTTCCGAGCATATAATTTTTTCTCCACCAGGCTCCGTCCAGTGACGAAATAATCCCGACCTCAAAGTCTTAACTGTCACCACGCAGAGCCCTGGGACGACAGTTTAGATTTCAGACGTTTGAGGCGGGATAGATTGCTGAAGATGCCCGTCGTCAACGTCGACGATCTGGTGCGCCTGCAGCGCAAACCAGAGGATATTCGCAATGTGAGTGCCCCTCTGAACCCCGCCACAAAGTTCTAGTCCGGCCTTTGGGGATATGGCCCAATACTAACGCTTCAAGTAGATCTGTATTTTAGCCCATGTTGTAAGTACTCCAAGAGATTACTTTTGGCTCGTGGCATGCATTCTGATCATTGTCTGTTCAGGATCACGGCAAAACGTCCTTGACAGACAGTCTTATCGCCACAAATGGCATCATTTCACCAAAACTGGCGGGCAAGATCCGTTATCTGGATTCCCGACCAGATGAGCAGCTCAGAGGAATTACTATGGAGTCATCAGCTATCTCACTCTTTTTCTCCATGTTGAGGCGCCCTGCTCCGGACGCTGCGCCAGTGCCGAAGGAGTATCTGATCAACTTGATCGACTCCCCGGGACATATTGACTTCAGCAGTGAGGTATCAACTGCTTCGCGGCTATGCGACGGTGCAGTTGTTCTTGTGGACGCTGTCGAAGGTGTCTGCAGTCAGACAGTAACTGTCCTACGACAAACATGGGTCGAGCAGCTTAAGCCGTTGCTTGTGATTAACAAGATGGATCGATTAATCACAGAATTGAAAATGAGTCCTGCTGAGGCATACTCTCACTTGAACAAACTTGTGGAACAGGTGAATGCTGTTATTGGAAGTTTCTACCAGGGAGAGAGAATGGAAGAAGATCTTCTCTGGAGAGAACGAATGGAAGAGCGTTTGAACGCTGCAGCTAGCAAGGAGAAAGACCGTTCTAAGAAGCAGGCGCTGGAGACAACTGCTGAGGCTACTGCTGAGGCCACTGTTGAGATTGCCGAGTTTGAGGAACGAGGCGATGAGGACCTCTACTTTGCCCCGGAAAAGAACAATGTTATTTTCTGCAGTGCCTTGGACGGATGGGCGTTTACCATCCGTCAGTTTGCAGCAATATACGAGCGAAAACTCGGCATTAAGCGTTCTGTTTTGGAGAAGGTTCTCTGGGGCGATTTCTACTTGGATCCCAAGACCAAGCGAGTACTTGGCTCCAAGCACCTAAAGGGGAGAGCACTAAAGCCCATGTTCGTCCAGTTGGTCCTGGATAGTATCTGGGCCGCCTATGAAGCCACGACTGGAGGTGGGAAGGGCAAGGGGTAAGCAACCCGATGGAGGCAGCATATTAGACATATGGCATGAACTGACGGGTATGCAGTGACCCAGCGCTACTAGAGAAGATCACAAAGTCTCTGAATATTACGATACCCCCTCACATTTTGCGCTCCCGGGATCCCAAGAATATCATGACAACATTGTTCTCACAATGGCTACCTCTTTCAACAGCTCTCCTCGTAACAGTCATCGAATATCTTCCTAACCCTATTACCGCCCAAGCTTCCCGGTTGCCCGAGATGATCGAAGATTCACCAGGCGCCAACTTTATAGATCCAAAGGTGCGAGAAGCTATGATTAACTTCAAGACTGGACCCGAGGACCCGATAGTGGCCTACGTGAGCAAGATGGTTGCCATCCCGGAGAGTGAACTTCCATCCAACACGAAACGCACTGGTGGCACTATGACTGCAGACGAGGCGCGAGAACTTGCACGCAAGAAGAGGGAAGAGATCGCTCGACTTCAGGCCGAAGCGAATGGAGAGCAGGGAGACTCTTATTCCCAAATTACATCATCTCTTGCGGCTGCAAGCCTGGATTCGGAGCCTGCCAATGGCACTGAGGAGAAGCAAGAGCGGGAGCACTTGATTGGATTCGCACGGCTTTACTCTGGAACCCTTTCTCTCGGAGATTCGATCTATGTTCTTCCACCAAAGTTCTCTCCAGCTAATCCTCATGCCAGTCCGGAACCGAAGAAGGTCACTATCACAGGTCTCTACCTTCTGATGGGAAGGAGCTTGGAACCTCTGAAGTCGGTGCCCGCAGGTGTTGTCTTCGGAATCGCGGGCCTTGCAGGCCATGTTCTCAAGACTGGTACTCTCTGCAGCCAACTGGAGGGCAGCGTCAATCTGGCTGGTGTGTCCATAACAAGTCCGCCTATTGTGCGGGTTGCTCTGGAGCCCACAAACCCAGGAGATCTGAACAAGATGATTACCGGACTCCGTCTTCTGGAGCAAAGTGACCCTTGCGCCCAATACGAAGTCCTTCCCAGTGGTGAGCATGTCATCTTGACAGCGGGAGAACTGCATCTTGAGCGCTGTCTGAAGGATCTGCGCGAGAGATTCGCCAGATGCGACATCCAAGCCGGTGAAGCTATAGTTCCTTACCGCGAAAGTATCGTCAAAGCACCAGAAATGGCAGTTCCAAAGAACCCAGAGCTTGGCAGGGGTGGTGTTATAGCAGTCTCTCCATCAAAACAGCTGACGGTTCGCTTGCGTGTCGTCCCGCTGCCTGCAGAGGTTACTGAGTTCCTGAGCAAACATGTTGGAACGATCAGACGCATACAGTCTGATAAACGAGCCAAGGCTGGCGTAAAAATGGAGCGCGAAGAGTCTAACGAACCCGCCGAAAACCAGGCTGAAGCGGATAACGATGAAACTCGAGAGCGGAACACCTTGTCCCTTGAGGAGTTCAGGAAGGAGCTGCAAAAGCTCTTCAGTGAGGTCAAAGATGACAAGGAACTGTGGCAAAACGTTGTCGACAAAATAACGGCATTTGGCCCTCGACGAGTAGGACCCAATATCCTCGTTGATGCCACCGCAGCCAACACATCAGAGAAGTTGTAAGTTTCTCCCTCGTCACTAACATAGACTCACCGAAGAACACGGACTCTAATACCACTATAGCCTCCTCGAGGACCAAAGAGAACAATCCAACGGGCACAGCCATTCAGAAGACGCGGCCTTGGAACACCAAGCCTTCAGTGTCAGAGACTTTTCCGACAAGATCTCCTACGCATTCCAACTGGCAACGGGTCAAGGCCCTCTCTGCCACGAACCTGTCCAAGGAATCGCTGTTTTCCTCGAAGACGTATCCGTGAACGCCAACGGCGAGGAACTCGACGTCGGCCGTTTAACAGGCGAAGCCATCAAAACAGTTCGAGACTTGATTTGGCAAGGATTCCTAGACTGGAGTCCACGCATTCTTCTAGCCATGTATAGTTGTGAGATTCAAGCATCAAGTACGTTTCTCCCCCCCCTTCTCTTCCCCACTTTTCACCCCCTAAACATATATATATACATATACATATCCAGCGAAATGAGAATCAAATCAACCCACTAACCCATCCTACCCTCCAAACAGCCGAAGTCCTAGGCCGCGTCTACGCCGTGATCACACGACGCCGCGGCCGCATTCTATCCGAAGTCATGAAAGAAGGAACACCATTCTTCACCATTCTGGCCCTCCTTCCCGTCGCCGAATCATTCGGATTCGCCGAAGAGATCCGCAAGCGTACATCCGGCGCAGCCTCTCCACAACTCATCTTCGCAGGCTTCGAAGCCCTCGATGAAGATCCCTTCTGGGTTCCTGCTACGGAAGAGGAGCTCGAGGATCTAGGTGAGTTGGCTGATCGTGAAAATGTCGCGAAGAGGTATATGGATGCGGTGCGGAGTCGGAAGGGTCTGGTTGTTACGGGTAGAAAGTTGGTGAAGGATGCGGAGAAGCAGAAGACGTTGAAAAAATAGAAAGAGTTGTGTGTTGTATCTTTATATAAAAAAAAAGAAAGTCTTTATAGGTTATATATATATATATGTATCTCTGTCGTTCATTTGGATATGTATTGGAAGACTGGAGTAAGTGAAACTATTCACAGGAGTGATTTTATTTAAGAGCTATCAATGAACTCCCTCGACTCTTACATGAAAGGACTAGAGTGAGGATATGGTACTGATGTTTATTCGACAGAAGTAGAGCCCCAAGCGCATCGGGGAGTGCTTTTGTACGATAACTGAATCTTGCATATCCAGAACGGAAAGTTATATTGAATGTCCCTCTGTACAGTCTACACTACACACACATGGGGCGAGCAACGATTATAGTTGTACTATGTCGAGTGTACCCTCTTTTCCCTACTTGGTCTTATCCATGGAAATAGGAACAGGCCAGAGGACAAGAGGGCCGTGGAGGATGAGAAGCCCCCACGGAGACGATTTTCTTCCTCCCGTGACAAACACAGTCCGGCCATTGAAAGGCAAGACCATGTATACTTGAGAGGGTGGTTGGGAATGAATGGTGGATACTGCAGGAGCTAATGTGATATGATATTGGATATTGGAAAAGTGGGTATCATTGATTCTTAGATCTCGAATCGCAACGGATCTATGGGATCTCATAAAAAATTAGGTTGGTCATGTCATATTCCTGACTTATACGCTAGAAGGCGTAATCAGGCGATGGCGACTCTGTAGCTGGACGAAAGTCCTAGTATTCCTGCTGGTAGACTCATAACCTGGGGTAGAGTCTCGTGCAGAGCACATGGACACCATAACCTACTCGATAACAGTCATACCTCTCATACTCGAGGGTTGGCGTTTGATCCGAAGATCAGATCAAAATGTCGTCTAAGCAGACAACTTCGAAAGCACTTATGTGCTGCCACTGAGGAACTAGTAGTGTTCCGAAGACCAGTTTTGTCTGCGCATAATCCTGACGTGCAGAGAAACGGAAGTCGCCGAGGTTCCGATGGACCAGGTCATCCTTGGGGACGGGAAAAGCGGGAATGCAAGTTGGGTTATCTCTTTAGAGACACTCAGACAGGAAATCCCGCATGCCGAATCCTGATAGGAGGCAACGCGAGAGCAACGGAAAATAATAAATAATCCGTGCTTATGTTCTCATGACGAAGTCTGGTTGGTGATTCTTTAAAGTCGCTGGTGACTTTAAAAGGGTCTCGCAACTTTTCGCGGCTCACCCACTCCAGTGATAGGGTCTCTCATCTCCCTCCAACTGACGGGGAACATCATATTTCCAGCCTCGCTGCGCGCCATAACTATCCCAAGATCATTTCGAGCAGTTGTAAGATAATAGAAGCTCTGGTCACCCAGAGAGATGACTTTTCCACGCACAATGTCACCAACACGGAACATCTCCTCCATCACGACGCGGTCTTTCTCGACGGCACGGACGTCTTCCTTGCGAATAAGAGCTTGGAACCGTAATTCATCCGAGTTATTTTGATTCTCCAGATTGGCAGGCGAGGCTAATATAGAGGCAATATTGTCATTATCCGAAGCAGTTGCGGAAGGATGCGCATTCTCGGCGGTGGCAGTGTCGTCGAGAACGACGAGGATAGAGACGGTTGCTTGGCGCTTCTGGACTCGAGTGACGCGAGCCAGCACGATCGAGTCCACCGCAGGTAGCGTATTGTACCTCAATTTCCCTTTCGAGGGAGCGCCCGTCGTGGGTGAAGACGTAGATGCGCCCGGTTTGACGCCGAAACCGCTCACGCCGTTGACCTGGCTTCCTGTAGGGAGCGCGCTTCCGGTATAATTCCGCGACACAGTGATCAAGGATTTCGCCTTAGTTTTATCCTTGGCAGGATCTACCACCACAGGTCCTCCAATCGAGGCGCATATGAAAGCGTCTTGGATGTGCGTTCCTGGACCGGCTGCATAGGTGGATGTTGGTCCAAGCCGTTGGCCTGGAACCGCGAGAGACGGCAAAGCAGCAGACATTGTGCTGGAGACACTGACACTCAGGATTATGACAAGCCCCAAGGAGAGGCCTTTGACGAGCCTCACACGTTCGGGATCTTGGGCAGACTTGCGAGAGAAGAAAAGAAAAGTCCCGGCGGAGTGGGGAGTGAAAGTATTCTTAGCGAGGGACTTCCGCTGTTAGTTACCGCCTTCCTGTCTAAGAGAGCTACAAGAAACATGATATACATACAAAAAGAGTTCCCCCGTCTCAAACTGTCGTGTTGATCAATGCCTGTAGCCACATTGGATATAAAATTAGATGCAGCGTCTTATAAATCACACAAGGTATCAGTGCTATTAAAGCTGTATAAGTAAATCTAGCATGATCAAAGCCGCTTATGCGGAGGTACAGAGGCAGTAACAGCTCCATATTGCTGGCCACGCAGCAACAGAATGAAAATCCCAAGTGAGAACCTCATCACACCAATGCTCGCTCATTACAATAAAATGAGAATAACCACCAAAATCAATGCCCGTTAAACACCCTGCATCAATAGATAGACAATAGGAAAGCACGAAAAGCGAACGGAGTATGTTGACAGAGACAGCGGACGTAAAAAAAAAGACAGATACATAATGAACGCAGCTCTAACCCTCGACCAGAGTCTGCTTGGGACCCTGACCGAGCAATTCGAGACATCGGCGTGCCAGCGCGATGACCTCACCTTCACCATCTTCGGCGTCCTCGTCATCAGATTCGATATTCTTGTCGGATATGGCCTTGACCATCTGGACAATGTCTTCGGATTTCGAGATGTAGCCGATAAGTCTCTTGTCCTCGGACTCGAGCAGCTGGAGGAGAGTCCAGATAGCAATATGCTGGAACGTCGGATCACCGCTAGCGAGGAACCTGCTCAGGTAGCCGTGGATTCCGCCATTGGGATCCGCCCAGTCCCGAACAAAGATAGAGTAGTCACCGACTATAAAAGTCAGCATTGGAACCGAAGAAGCTTATTGGCACAGATAGACTTACCTTTAGAAGATAGATTTCCCAACGCAGCAGCACTGTTTCCTTGTACCTCAATGCTTTCCGAAGCAGTTAGGGGGATCAAAACATCAAAAACACCCAAGTTCAGCAGATGCGACTTCAAGTCGTCGCTGAGAGCCAGAACCGCAATCGCGGCAGTCATCTCGGACTGAACGCTCAGAGGAACCTGTAGAACCAGATCCTTGCACTTCTGCACCGCTCCAGCCTGAAGGACAAGCTCCTTGTTGCGGTCCGAACTAGCCGCAAGGTTGCGCAAGGTGGAGATAGCATGACACTGGATTTCTTCATTGTCTGTGGAGCCGAGAAGGTCGACAAGAGGCTTTAGGAAACCAGCCTCGATGATTGGAGATTCGTTGAGCGGGTGGATCGAGATGTTGCGAATGCAGGCGACAGCAGAGAGGATAAGGGGGAGATAGGAAGATTGAAGAAGCCGGAGCAGCGGTGGAAGACCCTTTGCTCTGACGATCTCAAGCTGATACTTCTCGTCGGAGGCGAGATTTCGCAAGGCCAGGGCTGCTTGGCACTGGACCTTGGGAGTAGAAGAGTCCATCAATTGGACGAGTGACTGCACCAGGCGCGACTCGGTCTGTGCAAGCCGTTTGCGGTTGGCAGCGTCAACTGCGATGTTGCTAAGAGCGGTTGTGCAGTAATATTGAACGTCAACATCGGGGGACGAGAGCAATTGCACGAGCACTGGAATAGCACCGGCGTTGACAAGTTGTTGCCGGTTGTCATCTGCAGACAAAGTTAGCGCATAGTAGCAAGAACTGACCGTACGAATCGGAGCATACCCGAATGTGTCATGTTCAACAGCGCGCCTGTAGCATTTCGCTGTACCCGCATATCCTTCGACTTTGCAAGTCGCGTCAACGGACCCAGGGCGCCCGAACGGGCGATCTTGGCTTTGTTGTCTTCATGCGTAGCCAAATTTGTGATGCATCCGACGGCGTTGCATTGTACTTCCACATTGGGTGACATCATCTGTCGTATCAGGGGCGAAAGACCTCCAAGGGCCACGATCAAGACCTTGTTCTCCGCTACTCCATGTCAATAACTGCCTTCCTCACGCGCAGGGTTCGGGACGTACTGTTCACCGCCAAGTTACCCAGGGCAGCACTAGCTGCCCGTTGGACTTCGATGTCGGGGCTCTGCAGCAAGAAAAGGATCGGTTCGAGGGTATCTCTGTCGACTTCGCGGACATCTGTAACGAACAAACAATGGTCAATGAGGTCGACGACGCGTGGTCCAGAGCACTCCGTAGGAGTAACGAACCTCGCTCAGTGATCTCTGCAAATGTCAAAGCAGCACTACGCTGTAGATCCACGTTATCTGAATAGACCAGCGTACTCAGCGCCCGCAGTGGTTCGCCGGAGAAGAAATCAGTTTCAGCACGCTACAGTAGCCATTGTCAGCAAAGGGAAGGGCAGAGTCGAGATGGAAACAGAAGGGATGAGACCATCAACATACATTCTCCAGATACTGCAGCAAGTCTGCGACAGCCTCCCGCTCACTGTCGGCCAGGGTTGTCTCATAGATTCCATCCCTCGAGCGACCTTTGACGGAACCCAGGCAGGCAGTGATATGGCACCACCGGTCGATGGCCGCCAGACAGGCCAAACAAGCGTTTCCTATTTCACCCATGCCTGCATGCAGTCCCGGAGGACCAGAAGGCGGACCAGCGACCGTTGGGAGCGATAGAAGTTGAGATCCAGGAAGGTCGGATGGTGGAAGGACAGCTTGGGGCGGGACGGAGATCGAGGGCCGGGAATTCAACAGGAAACGGGACGCGAGTTTAGGATCGATTGGTGACGAGACAGAGCGAGACGATCCGCATATAGGGCCGGTGGGACATGGACCGTCGCGTGATAGGAAGCACGACTGGCTGTCAGGGTTGTGGGAGAGATCGATTGAGGAGCGGGGGAGAGTTGGATTCTAGGGTGTTCTTGTGATTCCAATCGAGGTGGTTGGTGGTGGTGGTGGTGGTGGTTGTAGTAGTAGTGGTGGTAGTAACTACTGGTAGTGGTGGTCTAGAGGAGGAATACTAAGTTACCTTCATGTTAGTTAATTAATTACTAACCTAACAGGCCATCCAACAGTGTGCCTTGGGACCTCGTCCGCCAGGCTGCATGTACGACGATGTTAGGGCCTGAGAGCTGTTCTGTCTGCCACTCCCATAATAATAATATATATGTATTGTATGCTTGCTCCCTTCCTGATCCCAAATATCTAACTAGATACTGCTGGAGCTCTTGCTGGAAGCTGGAAGCTCGGCCCAGCAACGGGTCTTTCTTACATAAGGTTAGATAGAAGCCCGCAACAACATCAACGCTCGTTGCGCATTGTTGCTAAATAACTAATTAAATAACGACCGACTAGCTATCTAACTTGCTTGGGTTAAAGAGCTGATTTCCTGCTCTGTCTTCTGATCTGCGATCTCCTCATCTAACAGCCGTGGTCGGCGGTTATAGGTCACTAATTCCCCTGCCAGCACGACCGATGCCAGTGTCATGTACAGAAAAACGCAGTCGAGCTGAAACTGCCATGGACGTCACAACTATTAACTACCCCTTTTAAGATCTGATGCTGGAAGATACTACAAGTCTACGACTAATACATGTAGTGTAGGAGTAACTGCTAACTGCACGCACACGCCAGCTGAATAACGGCCACAGATTCATCTCGCACGGCCGTTCTTAAGTACTGGCCATGATTGATTGATTTTTTGCGGCGCGGGTGATAGGCAATCGCTACGGCTTCTCGAGTGGTCAATGATCGGCGTCAAATGAAATGCAGGACGCCTGTCGCGGTTGGATCGAGCTAGATAGATATTAGTATTATACTATTATGGTGATATTATTATGATTATTACTCTCCGTACTCCCGTCGACTGTCTTCCGCTTCCGCTTCCAATATTCGAATTTCGCTGCCTGTCGGGAATCGGCGCTTAGCTGTCTCCGACAGCCGTGATTTAATATTATTATTGTTACTCCGTATTCACCGCACGTTCGCTGCGCATTGGCTTCGTTCGTGCCTGGACGTGTCATCTCGCAGCGTCCTCGACCTTAGAATCATATACATACTTTCCCGGATGCCGGATGGTTGATCGGCCTTTTGAAAGAAGGTTCCTCGGATTTTCGTGGCTGCCTGGGACGCGGAGCAACTAGAGTAATTAATTATATCGTATCTATTTTGGGTGTTTGTTGATCGATTAGAGGAACCATGGCTCATAGATAATAAAAGTCCTGTTAGTTAGATAGTTAACTTAACCAATATTATTATAAATAAATCAATACATAAATACCTAAAGCTGTCCCCTCAAAACGCAACTGTCACAGCGCTGTGCCAAAACCAAACGGACGGGACCGGACCAAAATCGTACGAGACCATCACGAAATCTTGTCAAAGTCCGCTTCGGGGTCAACCGTAGCTCCGTCCGGCCTTTTTTGCCTCATCGACGACTTGCTTTGCTTGGGGGACATTATTATTCCAGCTGCTGTCCCCAGAACCTCCTCGGCATCTTCAGCATCTTCAGCCCAATTGAACTTGCGTTCTTCTCTTCCGGGGTTCGCCGCAGAAGCACTGACGCTCTTGTTCGCTGCAATCACCTCTTGACTCTTTCTGGGCCCACCGGGTTCATTATTCGAATGCGTCTACTAAGATTGATATCGCCTCCTGTTGCCTCCTCATCTCTAACCGGGTTCGAAACCTTTGCGCTTTCACGACACCCGTCCGAGACAGCTCCTATGAGGGCACAGCTCCTGAGGCTGCACAATTATCCCCGATAAACGAACTGATAACGGACCCCGCATCTTCTGCAGAACGCCGCCTGATCTAATACGCTTGCTTTCGCCATCGGATACATTTTTTTTTAAACCACGATCACATAAGCAATACTGGGAAGAATGGAGGGTTTCGGGGACGATCCAGATGGCATGGGATTTGAGATGCCCATGCTGATGAACCAGCCGCCCCAGATCTTCGGCGCATACAACCCAGATCGCTCGCCCGTGCCTCCGTCTCTTTCTGGACCTCTTTTCCACGATGACCCAAATATGCATACAGGCGATGAGAGTAACGATGCGAAGAGGAGAAGGATAGCTAGGGTGAGACGGTCATGTTGATGGAGACTGTCCAATCCGCATACTGACCGACATTCTGTATAGGCGTGCGATATGTGCCGCAAGAAGAAGATCAAATGCGACGGGAAAATGCCAAAATGTTCGCATTGCATCAACTACAAGACAGAATGTGTTTTCACACAGGTGGAGAAGAAGAGGAATCCTCCTAAGGGGTATGGTTCTTATACCCCCCGATCTCATGCGTGTGGCTAAGATAATGACATTGTTGGATAGGGCCAAGTATATCGAGGGTTTAGAGAACCGCCTGGGCAGGATGGAAACTCTTCTGAGATTGTCCGGGCTGTTGGGAGAAGACGATGCTGGCAAAACAGACCTTGGCACGTTAGAAAAGCGCCTCGCAGACCGGTCCTTTGCCCAAGGCAAAGCGATGAGAAACTTGAATCGATCCGGTTCTGTGGGTGCAGCTGCGGCGCCTCAAGCATCTGGATCGCATCAGTCCACCCCGCGCATGGAGAGCCAGTCTAGTCCGCGAAATTCGGTCGCGTCACCGTCGTCCCAGAAAGAGTCCGAAACGGAAGTTGAGGCGCTCTCTGATATGATGTGTTCTCTTGTTACGAATAACTGCGGAGAGACGCGCTATATTGGTACGTGGCATCAAACATTCTCTAACGAGTATAAACTTATGCAGTCATCAACAGGTTCCTCCTCCGGATTCTCGATATTTTCGCCCAAGGGCATCCAATGGGTCAACGAGAAGACCGGCGATTCTTCCTTCCAGGACATGATTTCTTCTGCGTACGTAGACGATAACAAATGGATATACTGGAAGCCGGAGATCTTCAGTGATATATTCGCCCGTCGTGTCTTCAAGCCATTACCGCCGAAGGATGAAGCCTTATCCCTGTTCAGGGACTATTTTGACAACTTCAACTGCATGTTTCCGCTATTTCACGAACCTACATTTATGCACCTAGCTGAACGGCAGTACTCGCGCGACCCGTACGAAGGATCTGGGTGGTGGGCAAGCATCAATGTCGTCCTGGCGATCGCACATCGACTTCGGGTTATGAGTAACCTGGTACCTCAGGAGGAGGATAAAAAGGCTTGGCTTTACCTGAAGAATGCCATGGGAGTCTTGACAGAGCTTACAATGAGGAATACGGACTTACTGAGTGTCCAGGCCTTGTTGGGAATGGTAAGATTTTTGTTTGGCTAACCAGGTCTCTTCATTGTATCCTGACGTGTGTCCAGTCCCTATTTCTGCAAGGAACTCCTAATCCGCAGCCCTCCTTCTTCCTCGTGGCGGCAGCAATTCGACTTTCTCACAGCATCGGCCTTCATAAACGGGGTTCTGGCTTTGGCTTGAACCCGGTTGAGGTGGAGCAGCGCAAGAGGGTATTCTGGATCGCTTACCTTCTTGACAAAGAGTACGTGTGCGCGTCTCCCGACCAAGCTTTTTTCGTTATTGACTGGTCGAATATAGTATATGTTTGCGTTCCGGTCGACCCCCGGTACAAGACGACGATGACATGAATGTCGAGCTTCCCAGCGAAGATCCTCCAGACAACATCGGTAATATCCCGCTGTCTGACGGCAAAGGAAAATTCAACCTATTCAGAGCGATGTGCACATTTGCCACTATCGAGAGTAAGGTGTATAAGCGGTTATACTCCACGAGAGCAGCGAAACAATCTGATGGAGAGCTCTTAAATACAATTGGGGAGCTAGATAGAGAGCTCGAAGAGTGGAAAGAGAGCATCCCCTTGGATTTCCGGCCCGAGTACGAGATCAAGGCATCCCATACTCCGTTGATTCTCCATCTCGTTGTCCTCCATTTCTCCTATTACAACTGTCTTACAACCATCCATCGGATGTCGGTTCATCATGGATACTGGACCAGCAGGCTCTCCAACTACGCCATACAAGGTCTGAATGCCCGGCCACTCAACCCCAGGGTCTTCTCGTCAGCAGTGCTCTGCGTTGCCGCAGCGCGAGCATCGATAAATCTGATCAAATACATTCCACAAGGAGATTTTGCCTGCGTATGGTAAGTGTGGCACACATATAAGAAAAATAGAGATAGCAGCTTGCTAACACGAGTAACAGGTTGATTCTGTATTATCCTGTCTCAGCGCTGGTTACTCTCTTTGCCAACATCCTCCAGAATCCCCAGGATGCTCGAGCTCGCTCTGACGTCAAGTTGATGAACTTGGTCGTCAACTTCTTGTCGATGTTGGTTTCAGATGAGTCGAATGGCAGCGTGAAGCGCATGCTTAGTGTCTGTGCTGAGTTCGAACGAATTGCAAAAGTCGCGCTTGACAAAGCAGAGAAAGAGTCACACACGAAAAGAAAACGCAAGGTCGGCCCGGAGGAGAAGGATTCCCAATCTCAGCCCAGTGCGGCAGAGCCCCAGACACCGACTTCCTCAAGGCCTTCCGAAGCAGCGCAGACTTCCTTTTCACCTACATCTCTTGACAACACTAATCCGAGTGCTTTCAATCGGATGAACAATGGCATAAGCTCTCCGTCTGCCAATCCTGTAAACGGCGGTGTCCCTCGCGGATCGAACGGCGATGACACCTCGAACATGCCGAATTTCAGTCAAGAGTTCCAGGACATGCTCAGCCCTAACGGCCTGGGACAGGTTGGATTTAATGATCAGCAGCCGTTCTCAACCTCTTCCACGGCAGGGATGAATGTTCCCTCCTTCCAACAACCGTTTGTCCCCCAGGACCTATGGCAGATGCCTATGACTCTCGAATGGGACTGGGCGGATATGGCCAATACTAATTTTCCTATATTTGAGAATGGAGATGGACCAGGTGGCCCGCAAGGAAATGGGCCATGATCACGATGATATGAAACACTGACGACAATATTACCGGATTTGCGTATGGGAGTCAATCGGACGGTTTCCGGCGGTGATCACAGGAGTTCAAAAGGGACAAAAAGCAACATCTTATTTCTGGAAGTACTGACTAATCACTGCTACCCCCCTCTAACTAGTTGACATTAGGCGACATTGCTGTGAGCATGATTTCATTTAGCTTTGCGTAGATAGGTAGCTACTCCTTGGTCTTCTGTTGAAGCCATCTGCGTTCGCGCTGTCGCAGCGAGCGACTTGTATCAGTAGTAATATGTTATTACCACGGCAATGCCAAACTATGGAGATCTGCTCTTTGGATGTAAATTCAAGATCGTCCTGCCAACTCGCTGTTGAACAGTTCGCTGGGATTCTAGACGCGCATTGCTTGCTAAAGCGATTCCGTGGCGTTGGGCCGATGAGTCAGCCGGCCGCCGGAAACACCGAAAAATCAGCCCCGGCAAGTCGATAATAATTACTCCACTGGCTGCAACTGGCGGGCAAACGAACGTCAGTAACAATCAATAGCTTCCAGGAAGCTCTCATCCTCTCCCATCCCCCTCCCTGTCTTCTCTTCGATGCAATACTCTATGGGTTCTGCAATTAGCACCCGTTACTGATTGTTCTACGACCTTTCAATATACCGCTAGCCTCCGGGCTCACCCTCGACCATGGCCACCTTTCTCCGACGGCCAGGCAACCTTGCTCGATACTCGAGGAGAGCTGCAGAGTGCTTGAACCGTTCGAGACCGCTATCTGCGAACCTTTTACAATCGCAACTCGCATCATTCATCCGAGCGCGCCAGATTCGATCATACGCGACGGCCAATTCGGGCGGTCCGAAGCCTCCGAACGAGAATGAAGACCACAAGAACGCGGCCAGCAGCTCAGATGGCCAATCGAAAGGGCCCGCGGGCTCTTCGCCCGGACCTTCGGGGGGAAACAACGGAGATGGGAAGAAACCAGGTGAACCCCAGGTGAAGGTGAGCGAGGAGGAAGCAAAGGAGATTGACCGCATCATCGACTTCATGAAGGACAAGATGCCTCCATCCCAACATCAGACGATGGAGGACCTCCGGGTTATCTTCAAGCAGGATGGCATGCCGCAGGATCTCAAGGACATAATCGGATCGCGTATGGACTCGGACAAGCCATTGAGTCTCGGGGAGTTCGCCGCTCTTGCCCGTATAATGACGAAGCATTCGTTCGAAATCGCAGGGAAACTCGAGAAAATGAACCGGCATAAGGAAAAGGGCGACGACGAAGCTACGGCGGCCAAGAAGGCATCAGAAGAGCAACAGCAGGATCAACAACAGCGACAACAGAAGGGAGGCAAGGACCAAAAGCCTCCGAACCCCCGCATTTTCGAGTTCAAGTTTGACCCTGCCAACTTCTTGATCACGGCTTTCCTGTCATACTACGTCTACCGAAGTATCTTCCCGGGTGAGAGCAGCCGGGATATCACTTGGCAGGAGTTCCGCACGACCTTCTTCGACAAGGGTCTTGTCGAGAAGCTTACAGTCATCAACCGCAACCGAGTACGCGTTGAACTGAACCGCGAAGCTGTCCAGAGGCTCTACCCCGATTCACCGGCGGCTCAACCGAACTTCCATTACTATTTCACCATCGGCTCTGTAGAGGCATTTGAGCGTAAGCTGGAAGATGCACACAATGAGCTTGGAATCCCCAACCACGAACGGATTCCTGTTGCCTATGTTGATGAAGTGCCGTGGCTTGCAACTGCATTGTCATTTGGACCCACGCTGCTTTTGATCGGTTCTTTCTTCTGGCTCTCGAGGCGCGCCGCCGGCGGTGCAGGTGGACAGAGTGGGATCTTTGGTATCGGAAAGAGCCGTGCCAGACGCTTCAACCACGAGACGGATATCAAGATCAAGTTTGCCGATGTGGCGGGTATGGACGAGGCCAAGGTTGAAATCATGGAGTTCGTTAGCTTCCTCAAACAGCCTGAGCGATTCCAGAAACTTGGTGCGAAGATCCCGCGTGGTGCTATCCTGTCAGGTCCCCCTGGTACTGGTAAGACCTTGCTAGCAAAGGCAACTGCCGGAGAGTCCGGTGTTCCTTTCTTCAGCGTCAGTGGTTCTGAGTTCGTCGAGATGTTCGTCGGTGTTGGTCCCTCGCGTGTCCGTGATCTGTTCGCAAACGCAAGGAAAAACACCCCCTGTATCATCTTCATTGATGAGATCGACGCTATCGGTAAATCCAGAGCCAAGCAAAGCTTCGGCGGCGGTAACGACGAGCGTGAGAGTACCCTGAATCAGATCCTTACCGAAATGGACGGCTTCAACACTAGTGATCAGGTCGTTGTCCTTGCTGGTACCAACAGACCCGATGTGCTGGACAAGGCTTTGATGCGACCTGGACGATTCGACCGACATATCGCCATTGACCGACCAACCATGGACGGACGGAAGCAGATCTTCCGTGTCCACTTGAAGAAGATCGTCACGAATGAGGATATGGATTACTTGTGCGGTAGACTTGCGGCGTTGACCCCTGGTTTTGCTGGTGCTGATATCGCAAACTGTGTTAACGAGGCGGCTTTGGTTGGTAAGTTATTTTCAAACATTTATCGTATATATTATACTAAGTAGTCCTGTTACTAACGTGTCTTGTAGCGGCACGTGAGGGTGCTGACCGTGTTGTCATGAGGCACTTTGAACAGGCCATTGAGCGTGTCATTGGAGGTCTTGAGAAGAAGTCTCTGGTGCTTTCTCCCGAAGAGAAACGTACTGTTGCGTACCACGAAGCTGGACATGCCATCTGCGGTTGGTATTTCCGCTGGGCCGACCCTCTCCTTAAGGTCTCTATCATCCCTCGTGGCCAGGGAGCTCTGGGTTATGCCCAGTACCTACCCGCGGGAGGCGATACTTACCTCATGAATGTCAATCAGCTTATGGACCGGATGGCTATGACGCTGGGTGGCCGTGTCAGTGAAGAACTTCACTTCCCCACCGTGACGAGCGGTGCCAGTGACGACTTCAACAAGGTCACCCGCATGGCTACGGCAATGGTCACCAAGTTCGGAATGTCCAACAAGGTCGGTTACGTGTATTACGAGGAAGACCAGAACCAGCTGCACAAGCCGTTCTCCGAGGAGACGGCGCGTAACATTGATGCCGAGGTCCGCCGCATTGTCGACGAGGCCTACAAGCAGTGCCGTGAGCTCCTTACCGAGAAGAAGAAGGAGGTCGGTATCGTCGCCGAGGAACTTCTGTCCAAGGAGGTCCTCAGCCGCGATGACCTTGTTCGACTTCTCGGACCCCGTCCCTGGCCTGAATCAGGCGAGTTCGCCAAGTACTTCGATGCCAGCCATGGACAGACGATCGCGCCCCCGGAGCCACCAGCGTCTCGCGAAGAGACAGAAGGAAAGGACGGACGGGATCAGACGCCCAACCCTATCTAAAGCACGTATACCAATGTTTTTGTCCTGTACTTTCGCGGAGCATCTCTCCTCATCTTGACTTTTTCCATTCGACACCCTGCCATAAATATTGGAAGTCTACTATCATCTTCCTTTTGCTCCTCGAATCTTGAACCCTCTCACACAGTACTGTAAAGTAGTCATCCACCTATCTATCTATCTATCTCCTTTTACGAATAATCAACCGAGATCTGATTTCAAAACTGAGTTACAAAAAACTGAGCGAAGCTGTGTGGTTGATGCATGAAGTATTGGCCACACATCTAGCTTTGTCTTTTTATTCTCTTCGTTTTCCTCTTTTTTTGCATATTTAGATTTCACTATGAGCTTACATCCTCTTTCTGCTTGGATGTTCCAGGTGGCCTTTGCATCTATACGCGCAAATGTATTCTATATTTCACTCCACTCTTGCCTTCATCTCGGACCTGGTAGCTGTTGTGGTTGCTGTCTGAGTGAGGTTTCAATTGCGTGGGATCATTTACTGCGCGACATTGTATATCAGCAATGGCGTGGTGAGGATGGTATGCATGGCATTGAAAAACAGTATTAGCTAGATGAATGCCATGAAATGTCTGATAAGATATCCGAAAGTAGGTACCATAAAGTAAATCAGGAAGTCGTAGTAAACGTCCTACTCCTGGCTGGGTAAATAGTCAAGATATATAAAGTCCATTTTGTAGTAAAGAGGAGGAGAGATGGTATCAAGACACATTATATGTGTAGCTGAATAATCATGGCACAAAAAGCTAATTAGATCTTGGAAAATATATCAAACTATTCCAGCATCTTGGAAAATTCCCTCTCCCATTTCTCTTTTCTTTCCCGTCTACTTGCTCTTCCGGTTCTCATTGTCTGTTTCGGTGCTATTCCTCTTGCTTTTGGGGGCTCGTTTTGAACCTCTGGGCTCGACGGACAGACGGGGAATGAATCTTCCAACGCGAGCTTGGTAATCCTTGTACTCGGGGTACTTGTTCGCGCTGATTTCTTCCGTCAGGTTCGTGCTGCCCTGGAAGAGCAGCAGGTAGGATAGGGCGCCCGCGCCACTCCAGTTCACATACGTCTGCGTGCAGTAGCAATCCCACAGGTAAAGCGTGAGCCAGATAGCCTGCTCAGCAGCAAAGTTCGGGTGACGGCACAGAGACCACAAGCCAGACACGACGAAGCCCCGGTCCAGATCCTCCGCCGTGAACTGACTCTTGTACTCGTCAGGCACGCGCGCCGTTTGCTGGTATGACTTTTTCGCCTGGTGGAACTTCCACTGTTGCTGGTCTGCAAAGAATTCTATGATGACGAAGAAGATGAGCACGCGGGAAAAGACGAGGTCGGGGATGCCGAACGTGCTGCCTTCGGGAAGGCGGGAGAGGACAATGAAGACGTAAGACGGGGCAGTGATCAAGTTGAGCAGAACAGACTGCACGAGGGAGATGAAGAGGACGTTGAAGAGGAACCAGACAAAGCGGCTGGGTACGCGAGCGCGAACGATTTCCCAACGGTAGTCTTCTGATCCGATCTTGTAGCCGCCTTTGCGCCAGTAGTTGAAGGTCAATCGAACCTGTCATGAGTTAGTGGATGAGTGCCGAAGAGTGCGCGCACTGAAGGCTCGATAGATGTGATACTTACACTCCAGATCAAGCTGAAGATTGCAACGGTCTTCACTTTCTCCGTGGGAAGCCCCGCCAAATGCGCCCAAAGCGCGTAATGGACATTGTAGATCGAGGGCAGGATACTCCACAACCTGTCCACCTGGGAGTAGTTGCGGTTGAGCTCGGATACGATCACCAAGATCGGGACCAGAGCAAGCGTGAATGCGATCGCGGTGACGAAAGGATTGGTTGCGAGATAGACCTCTTGCAGGCTCTCCCAGTCGGAGCCAACTTCGATGAGCGTCTTTGGCAGCGAGAGAAGCTGCGGGACGAAGGGCCAAACGGTTCGACCAAACTCAGCAGCTTCAGAGACTGACACGATAGCGGGGAGTGGAAGCACCATGATGAGCAAGGAAGCCGCTGGATGTGCTCCCAGTAAAGGACCTGTCGAGCAGACGATGGTTGTTCTTCGATCGAGTCTGACAGCGGATAACTAGTTAGTTAAGTTAATGAGGTGTAAACAATGCAGCCTTAGGCAGAGACTATTTGGCGCCTGAGGAATCAGGCAGAAGCTCTAATGCCTAATAGGGATTTCGCTTCTCGTGTAGCGCGTTTCCGCCTTCATGCTCCAGGACACGCGTTCTTCGCCTCGAACTGGCGACTATACGGGGTTATCAGGTCCTGCCGGGTATGGCTACTGTCTATGAGGTTATTTGATTGTCAAGATGGCTGGCACCATCCTGTGTGTGGCCGAAAAGCCCGCCATTGCCAAGGCTGTGGCCTTGCATTTGTCTGGAGGTGCTATGCAAACAGTGAGTGCTCTTCTATAGAGGCTTCATTGTCTCCCGTGGCTCGTGACTGTGTAGAAGGCATTGGAGCTAAAAGATAAGCGTAGAGAAACGTTCCAGGCAGCCAGTATGTGAAGAACTATATATTTAATTTCAACTTTGGAGGCTCTTGGGGCTCGTGCTCCGTGACGATGACCAGTGTTATCGGCCATCTGATGGAGCTGGAGTTTGAGAGAAATTACAAGACATGGCTGGCGTGTCCTCCGGGAAGTCTCTTCGAGGCCCCTATTCGCGAATCAGTGTACCAGGTTTGTATGCTCATGGATGACCTGGACAAGAGGAATTGCTGATGCTGATTCGACCAATAGGATAAAGTGGCAATTGCGGAGAATATCATGAAGCAGGCGAGATATGCACAAGCTCTGTTCATCTGGACCGACTGTGATCGGGAAGGAGAGCATATTGGCACGGAAGTCCGGCGGCAGGCAAAGCTGGGAAATTCAAGGATCCAGGTGAAACGTGCCATGTTCAGCAACACGGAGAAGGCGTATGTATCCCCCAAGTTCATGTTTCACTGTTAAAGTGGCTGTCCTAACTCCATGTAGTCATGTTATACAAGCAGCTCGCAGACCTATTGATGTGGATGAGCGCCAGGCAAACGCTGTGGCGGCGAGGATGGAGCTAGATCTCCGAATTGGTGCTGCCTTCACACGTTTAGTGACACTGCAACTTCGACCAATGACTCCCGTGCTAGAGAATAAAATCCTCAGCTACGGTATGTACTTTAAATGTCCGCTCAGATGACGCAACTGACACTGCTACAGGGTCCTGTCAGTTTCCTACGCTCGGCTTTGTTGTCGATCGGTATCTTCGAGTGAAAAAATTCAAGCCCGAAAACTTCTGGGCTATCAAGGTCATGCACGTCCGCGATGATATCAAGGTCAACTTCAATTGGCGTCGTGTCCATCTCTTTGACAGAGCGGCAGTTACGGTGATGCTGGAGCGATGTTTGAATGCTAAGACGGCTAAAGTTACCAAGGTTAACACGAAGCCAACAAGCAAATGGAGGCCTCTTCCATTGACAACAGTGGACCTCCAAATGATGGGAAGTAAATACTTGCGCATGAACAGTCAGAGCATTATGAAGGTACGTGTCTGCACGGTCCTCCTGAGTTGGCTATATCTGACCTCTTGTAGGTGGCAGAGGCTCTTTACACCAAGGGCTTTATCAGCTATCCGAGAACGGAGACCGACCAATTCGACAAGGCGATCGATCTGAAAAAGCTAATTGAGAAGCAATTGCCGGATCGAGATTGGGGTGGATATGCACGGGAGTATGCTACATTTTTAACCTGTCAATGTTGTGATCCTCACTAACGTGATCCTGTCTTGCAGACTACTGGATGGCAGATTTAGGACCCCACGGTCTGGCCGACATAACGATAAAGCACATCCTCCAATTCATCCCGTTGCCTGGGTCGATCCTAGCCGCCTCGATGCGCAGGAACGGAGCGTTTATCAGTTCGTTGTCCGTCGATTTCTCGCCTGCTGCTCCGAAGACGCGAAAGGTGAGACCTCCGAAGTTGAAATTCTGTATGGCGATGAGACTTTCCACGCAAAAGGACTCATCGTTCTGGAAAAGAACTATCTGGAGGTCTACGTTTACGATAAGTGGGAGAGCAGCCAACAACTCCCGAACTTCCAACTCGGTGAGCAATTCGAACCCACAGAGGCCAAGATTGTCGAGGGCAAGACTACTCCGCCTAACTATCTCACTGAACCGGAACTTATTGCCTTGATGGATGCGAATGGCATTGGCACAGACGCAACTATGGCTGAGCATATCGCTAAGATCAAAGAGCGTGAATTCGTTGCGGTCCGCTCCCGTAGGAACGGGCGTAGTTCTGTACAGGAATTTATCCCCACACGTCTAGGCATTGCGCTTGTGGAGGGTTATGATAGCGTATTCGCGGATATGCCTGATGGCCCATCTCTGAGCAAACCGTTCCTACGGAAAGAGATGGAGTTACAGATGCGCGATATCTGCGCGGGCACTAGAACTAGGCAGCAGGTTGTCGACGAGGGTTTGGATATGTACCGCGGGCTATTTATCCGTACACAGCGACGGATTCAGATGTTGAAGGATGCATGCAAGAAATATATCATTGATGGAGCTACATGCTAGAAGAGAAAGAAAAGAGGGGAGGGAAGGACCAGGCTTTGATTATTCGGCGTTCGTGATGGGCTGGCTGTATCGAGACTGGAGTTTGGCCTGGTTATGGAAAAGTTATGGAAGTTATACCCTTTACCTATCTGATTTTGGGGGGAAGGGGCGGTGCAAGTCGCGGACCATTTGACTGGAAGAACGGAAGTGAATACTAGTATTTGAGCAGAAGCAGCCCTTCTTACTTAATGGTCCTGAATCGTCAGATGCTCCATACAAGAATAACATTACTGAATCCTAGACAACTATATCAGAGATACGGAAATGCCCCGAAATTTCAATGTCGAGAACAGATATCATCCAGCCGACTCCTTGAGAACAACATGACTAACAACCCAACATATCAGAGAAATCAAGTAACAAGCAACGGTATAACAGGAGGAAACAGGCTTAACATGCTAAAAGGTCACAGTGGATGACCCTTTTCTCATCGAGTAGCCAGTAGCCCACTATTTCTTTCTTTCACGTTTGTTTGAGGATAGACTACGAGAGAGCTCAAGGATCTCGTCATCTGTCAATTGCGGCCAAGTTGGCTTGTCTGTCGCCCATCGGCTAGCACTGAGTCCGGGTCCTTTTGTCTCAGGAGTCTCCTTGGCGGAAGAAGGCGAAGGATGTGGCGGTTCATTCTTTGCAGACTCCTTCTTACCAGGTTCTTCCTTTTCTTCTGACGTCTTTGCTGGTTTCTCAGGTTCTGCCTTCGGTGACTCTGTAGCGGCAGACATAGGAGGAGCATCAGACTTTTTCAATTTCAGCATTTGGTCAACATCTTTAGCGACGCCACGAAGAGCCCTCTGCTCTTGTTCGAATTTCTCTTCCAACTTGCTAAGCCTAACACCGTTCCTGGAGAACCCTTCGATAATGGGATTGACCCTCCGTTCCAGGACGGTCTGCCCATGCTGCAAATTCTCAATCTTGTTTTGGGTGGCATCCAGCTTGACTCGGAGTTCCTTGAACTCCTCTTCTTGGATACTATGAGAGCCCAGAGCCGCAGTCCTGGTCATTCCGGTGGCATTGAGTTTCTCAATCTCTGACTTGGCGAATTCAATATCTGCAGCCTTGGCATGCAAGTCATCCCGGAGAGATTCGAGAGAGGTATTGCATTCGGCCAGCTTCTTTTCCATTTCTTCTTTGAGAAGCGCAATCTGCGTGGGGACCTGATCCATGGACTCCGTTCCTACGGTATCCTTCAGTTTCACCTCCATACGTTTCTGTAGCTTGACAACCTCGTCACAAAGCTTAGAGAGATTGGCTGCTAGATCATGTGCCGACTCCTTCGACTGAAACTGGGCCAATCGTGCTTCCATTTCCGCATGGAAGCTGTTGAGATCATTTTCGAGCCTGGATACCTCCTGTGCATGATATTCCGAGCTGTAGACGTGCCTTTCCGACTCGAGGGACCCAATTCGCTTATCAAAATTAAGCAATGTTTCGTCAATATGATTGATAATAAAGTTGATATTTTCTTCTATTTCCTTGACAGACTGAGAATCTGCTTTCAAACAGATAACAGTCACGAGGTCCTGCCGCAATTGAGTAAGATCATTGTATATTTTGTTCCGCTCAAAATTACCAACTCTAACAAGGTCCTGGAAATCTTGCGCGGTTGGAAAACCCCTTATCAAGGTTTCGACCTTGTCGCTTAGGCTTTCAAATCCCTCGTTAAGTTGTTCGGCGACACGTTTGGCTTCTCCCTCCGAGAGATTCAAGGAGTCCAACGACGATATGATTTTCGCAAAGCGTTCTTCTGTGTTCTTTTGCAACGCGTCCACGGAACTCTTGATGTCAATGAGCTCTTTCACGTGGAATTCGGTGAGCTGTTTGATGTTTTGTGTATTGGCATTCTGCAAAACTCCGGATATGTCTTCCAGTCTTCCATTGATGTCCGTGAACTTAGAATTCAGATACGATTGCAGCTGATCCAACAGAGGCGTGTTGGCAAGTCTCGTGTTGAGCTCGCCCATCATTTCAGTTGCAGTATTCTTGAACTCGGAGATGATATCCTGGTTCTGTTGACATGATTTCTTGATGCTGTCTATTACCTGCGAGGAACTGATGTTTTGTCCCTGTTTATCTTCGCGTGGTTCACTTTCAGAGCTCCGAGCAGATGCCATCGAGACGATGTTATCAATTTTGCTGAACTTCTCCTGACACTCCATTTCCAGGCTTATGAATCTCTTTTCGCATTCTTGAAACCGGTCCCTAAGCATCGCGTCCATGCCTGGTTGGTTGGATAGAGCTGAAGGGGTAGGGTAGATGTGCTTTCTGACTTCACTCTGAAGGCTTTCGATATCTTTCTGAAGTTGGGTGATCAAGGCCTCATGATTTGGGTCAGATACTTGTGGAGTTTCCTTCGCTGCTGTCTCCAGAGGGCGACTATCTAGATCAGATTGCAAGGCCTCAAGTCTCTTCTGGAGACCCACGATGTCTGCTTGCATTTTCTCTTCAAGTTGTTGCACGTCGTCTACCCTGGCACTATCTTGATGGAGGCTCTGCGTGTCCTTCCGCAACTGTTCGATGTCATTCCCCAATCGAGCACAGTTCATATTGAGCTTTTCATCGAGCTGCTGGACAGATGTTGTCAAGGCCACACTAGCGGGAGCATCCAGTTTGTTCTCTACCATCTTCAGACGTTCCTCGAATAGTCTTTCGACAGCGTCAATTCTTGGCCCAAAATCTTCCTGTGGCTTCCACTGGGACTGCATAACCTGTAGTTGACCTTGAACGTTGCTCATACGATCTGCAAGGGACTTGTTCTCCTTCTGTAGACTCTGAATGTCACGCAGAGCACGTTCTAACAGAGATGTATTCTCTTCCTTTTTCAGATCGATAAGTTCCTGGATTTTTTCTTGGAAATCGTTGACGAAAACATGTGTCTGGCTCAATTTCTCCGAAGAGGCTCTGATATCCGTCAAAGGCAATTTCTCGTATCTGTCGGTCATCTCATCGATCGCCTTCAAGCATCTATTGATAGATTCCGCGCTCTTCTTGATGGGATCCGTAATCGTCTCTGGAAGAGTATCAAATACCTTGCTCTGATCTCGCTGCGAACCGTTTCGTGCATGTCCCTGGTTGGCGTTCATTGCAACTATGAACATACAAGACACTGCGACAATAATCCAAGGGAAATTGCTCGGATCATCCAGGAATGAACCCTTTCCTCGCGGTCTAGCTGGGCTGTCGATCACAGTATATATTCTGCGCTCGTAGACCTTGTCGTCTGATGCTTGCCGTGGCAGGGCCGTGAATGAGGCATTTGTAGGGGCCACAGAGGTTTCTGCCTCTGGTGGAAGAGACACGAATATGCGTCTTCCGTCTGTATATTGTCCTGCGGCCTCTTGTCCGTCACCGATGGCAGAACCATGCCGATAGGTATCGCCGCCCACGCGAGGGACATCATCTGGTAGAGAGTGGACGAATTCCCCGACTTGGGCGAGCACATAAATCGAAGATGTCAACTGCAAGGAACCGAAAAACCTTTCGCCGATCGTACGCGTAGGGTTTATATTCGTTCCCGGTATGCCAGCATAAAAGCCCCAGGCGTTGAAGACCGTGAAAAGCACGGCTAAAACCGGGACTGACATCCCGGAGCACCGAGCGAATTCAACCTATAGAGAGATGTCCTAGGAGTAGAGAATGTGTTAGCGGAGTTTTAAGAACAGACTACTCTTGTGCGAAGGAAGGATCACCTCTCTAGACACTTCGAGAAGAAGATGTATACCTGATCTGTGGCTTCTAAGGGCAATGTTTCGAAAAGACTATCCCGTAAAATATAGCTGTCGTGCCGTCTGAATAGTCTGATAAGAGTAAATTTATGGAAAGAAGGAGCTATACGCTATGCAAGTTGAGAGTTTCTTCAGCGTAGTATATGAAGAGGATGTAAAGTTGCAGGATTAGCAGACGGTATATAAGAATAATATAGAGGAACTGCAAACCCACGGCAAGATATAGGGGACAAAGGACACCATAAAAAGAATATACCCGTCAATCGTGGCTCAAAGGAGATAATGAAACAACATGCCCTACGAAAGATGTGTTATAGCCATACTTTGTCTGAAACCAGGCTGTAATTGCTGAAAGCAGCGTGGGCGTCAATGACAAAGGAATCCCAAGCCGATCTGTATGTTCATTGAGGTTAACATTCAATGCTGCCTAAATATAGTGGGTAGATACCGTATGAGATAGCAAACAGTTCTCTAAATAGGTTATCAGTATCATCAGTAGCCTGGTGTTATGCTTTGAGTTACTATTGTCTGGAGTCATGGAAAAGTCTGGATTCTTACAGTATCACGTCTGCGCTGTTCTGCTTCCCTCCGCCCTGGTCCATTTGGGCGGAACCTCTATGCGACATGGGACTCCTGTCTATACTGAAATGGTTCTCAAAGACTGTAAAAAGTAAACTCCATCCTGTGTCATTCTCTTTGTCAACTGAAAGAGAGCAGTTTATAGCGCTCTGTACATGGATCAAGAGCTGATATTCGCAGATAGAGGGAAGGTATCCGATATGGAGCCTTACATATCGTAGCTGCCCTGGTAGAAGTTATTAAATAATCGAACGACAGTTACTGTATCTAGTAGAAGTGAAATATATATTAAGCTTATTCACCATTATATAACGGAGCTGAGAGATGAAGACCTGGGAATAGCATTAAACATGAGGAGAAGAGGATAGTTATTCACTATTCTCATTCACTGGCGAGGTTAACCATCCTGCTAATAGACTCGCATGTGTACTATCTATGACAAAGATAGTGCTGCTAATACAAGGAGGATTAAGTTCTGTATCCTAGGGAGGGAAAAATGAAGCTTTTCCTCCGTGGTATGAGTTCATTCCGGCGATCTCCATCCAATTCTTCCTCTTTGCACTGGCATAGATCCTCTTTCAAATAACTCGATATTGGTTGGCATTTGCGTTAGTGGTTTTGTCGGTTCTTCAGGGTCTCTGGTGCTCATTACTGGGCATTACCATATACCATCGTCGATCGCCGAATTTGTGAGATCCTTTGACGCTTAATTCCTGATTCGTTCGAAGGTTGGTTTCATGGATGGGCAACGAATAAGGATAGTATTTAACGTGCTCGACAGAGGTTATATCTGAAGTGAATGCCATACTGATTGCTCAGGTATGAGTCTCCGGGCTCATAACCTGTCGGGGTCTATGATCACGAACGCAAATTGAGGAATACAATCTCGATGGCTTCCGTGATGCTAGATGGGTGGAAATAGGTGGCTTCATATTGCTTGTTCTATACCCTTTGTGTAGGTTAGTAGTGGCGTTTTGCAGCTCGCCTTCAATAAAGCAGTTGGGCGCCGACATAAAAAGATTAGCCTATAGAATTTCCTGCGCTGAAATACTTGTTCGCCTGACATGCCCTATTTATGCGCCGGTGTTTACATCGAGGAAATGGGGATGTAGATCTTCTTGAACCTTGTAAACTACTGCATACTGGCCTAGGTCTACCTCGGGTCTCGATAGTGGGCAACGCCTGCTCCAGTTACTCGGACACCAAATCTAATAATTAGAGAATATGACCATTAACAAAAAAAGGCCCTTAGATGGCTTGATTGGTTGGAGACAAGGGTTGATGTAGGCTCACCATCTCTCCTGTTCCCGACTTATTTGTACCACACATAGCCATGATGCCGCTTTTGAGCCCTACTTCACTGTAAATTACATCCGTCACCCAGTTCCTCCCCTCGTCTGACTCATTCTTGTCCCAGTGATTGTATCAATTACTCCGCTCAATGTATGTCTATTAAAATGAGAATGTCGTTAAAGTGAGAATTGTTGTTCACACATTAGGCTATGCTGGATAGGACAAAAGTAGAAACTACTGGGCTATATATCTTGTCCTAGTAGGCGAAACCGCATCGGTCCGCCTCAATATGTCTCTAGCCCAGGGCAGTGATGAATGAAAATGGAACTTACAGTGTTACCAGCCACGCCTATACAGTAACCAATTCCCAGCTTACCTATTTTGACTATACGGCAAGTTCTGGTGCGAAAATTGGCAACTTCATCAATTTGGTGTATCAATTGCGTCGCGAAAAATACTGTATGGCTGGATCAGGAAACAGATGTCGATTCCGTATGTAAACCATTCACTCACTTAGATTGCAATCAGTATAGAACCTAATTGTTCACACAGTTGGACGGTTTTCCAGGATTTCGTCCATGCAAATTATATCTCAAATGCAACTGCTGCCACAGTATCTGATTTTGGGGGTCGTATACAATGTAGATATCACAAGAATGCCCAAGGCCAGATAGTCATGATCCCAGATGCAATGGAGGTGGGACGGTTTCTGTAAACAAGGCGGGTGGTGGAACCGTTGATGTTGGTACCTCGGTGTGTAATGGGAAAGGGAATGCAGCGAATTTTTCGGCCTCTTTCCGAAGCTCAGTGTCATCCGCGTTTGAGCTGTCAATCCTTTAGCCTAGTCAATGATATTGATCATGGTAGACTTACAAACAGTATCTCAGATTATTTCGATAGACCCGATCCAGCATTTGGACATGACGTTCTAGTTCCTTATGACTCTCTGTCTTCGGCGACAGATTGTCCAAAGCCTCCAAGAGCTCTTGAGAAAATTCGTAATCATGTTGACGGGCAAAAAGAAGGCAGTAAGTTTCAAAAACCGTAGGGTAGAATCCTGCATGCTCCCAATCCAGAAGGCAAAAGGACCCATCAGGACACAATATGATGTTTCGACGCGTCAGATCAAGGTGGCAGAATCTGCAGTCGGACAAGTCAAAATTGAAACCTAACTCATCCTTTTCCAATAGAAAACGTTCGTTCAACCATTGATTAAGTTTAGCCATAGTGTTCAAAGTAGTGCCAGCTCCATCTTCTGAAAACAAGGAGCCGCGAGGAATGCCGCCATTTCTAGGCCCCGGTGAATCAACCGGCATTTGTTGAAAGAGATTGTGGATTGCCGTTGCTAGACGCTGAACAAGGCCAGAATGCTTATGGAATTGAATTTTCTCGAGAGATGTTCCCTCAATAAATTCCATCACAATATATCCTATATTGCGCATCCTGAAATACCGATATATCTTTGGTACCTTCAGATCACAAGCATAAGAATACTTGTAGGCAAATTCCTGGTTAGCGGTCTCTTCAGGAGTGACACTCCATCCGCATTTAACGATAACATCGTCAGAAAGTTTCGCCAGGCAACGCACGTCGGGGTCACCACTGATTATAATATCCGGGTTACGGCAACGAAAAGCAATGTCACTATCTGAAAGAGAATTGAGATTAAGGGACATAATCCAGAATGGAACACAGCTAGACAGACATATGCGTTTCAGTGCGATGGAATAGATGATTGATGGTGATTCATTTTGTGCTTAGCAACATCCTCAGTCCGAGTTTCGAAGCACGATTTAAGTACTTAGACTATCCTGGTAGAACTAGGGCCGGAAAATCAACATTCCACCTTATTGTACTGTCCGCCTTCTTGATCCATCAAGTATCTCCTCTCGCCAGTATCTTTTCTCGTCCATTCTGCTAATACCCCCTTTGTTGACTCTAGGAGAACCAAAATTTCCAGACTTAATCAAGGCTAACCACGTCCTTATTTTGGTTTGGCACGCGAAGACGCCCGTCACCTTCGTATAGTCCCCAGGTCTCTGCAGCCGACAGAACGAAGTAGTACACTTTACTCTGGCGCATCCATTCACACCTAATTGGAAATCTGCACCACGGTACCTGCTCAGGATGGATCACTTGATCAAGAGCCTATGCAGTAACATCGTTTGTCGCTCGCGTTCGCAGTACCCTATTCCAAAGGACCCTACTTGGAAAGAAAGAGGAGCAGAGACAGGGATTATCCAAGGACGCAAAGAGACATATCAATGAACGGACCGCAGTAGTCCGACGGGAACGGACTCGCAAATCTTCAAGCTAGCACGCAGCTGACGTCGAATCACTGGATGGCACGCATGTCGGGATATTCTGCGTGCCTACTAGCCTTCATACGTCCCCTAGTCGCCAACTCCTGAAAGCTGACACGAGCCCCGAGAATATAGACGCCAGGGCCATGCGAGAAACTGCGGGGTTTTAAGCAAAGTGATGGGAGCCAACAGGCCTGGGTGTTAGATGTGCTCATCTTACCGCAGTGGCTCACCCTAAAAGTACTGTATTTCTGATTATGATCCCTGTACCCTATGGTCTTTGGGCGGAGCATCATTCATTGTTACACTCTAGTACGCCCTTTCTGTTCAGCTGCGGTCGAGGGCCAGATAGTCAAATGCTAATCGGGCCCATGAATCCAGGCTGGGCAGTCATCAGCGGCGTTCTCAGTCCTCCATTTCTGGCTAAGTGTGCGCCTCCAAGCCACCAGGCGTTTGCTTCAAACCAAAGGGGTGCCGGAGTTCGGCGCCATTTCATAAGTCTCGCATCAACCGCACGGCAGGCTTGCTTCCTTGCCGTTGACGCCGCAACTTTGACAATGCTTGTGTTGAGCCAAGGGCGCCACGCGCAGTCCCACAACGGCTAGGGAAACAGTAGCGAATAGTTATCGATCTAGCAAGTAGTAAGCAGAAACTTATGCAGTATAAAAACGTGAGAGCGTGGAGAATCTGGGGAAACATGGAGATAATCTGGGGTCTGAAGGCGTGGAGAAAAGGAGACTGGGGAAGAGGACTCCCCGATGACGAAAACTGCGGTGATCGATAGCCGCGATCAGGAGACTAGAGCCGGGATGAAACTGGATCTGGGGCTCTAAGCGCTGGATAGGGTTGCGATACGCTCTGTCCTATATGGATGGCGGTTGGATTCCGACATCGAACTGCCTCAACCCCGGAGACGACGAAAGAAGCTTGCTCCAAGATCCCGTCTTTTGCTGCCACTCCTACCGAGATCAGTCTCCACATCTGTCCCAAAGAAATCTTCTATTGGACTCGCAATCTTTCCGTACACATGGGCACTTCTATGTCGCATTTGTCCCTTGCTCAACCCTTTCATTGAGAGTTCCGCTTCTCAGAGAGCTTTTATCCCGCAGAATAGAGTTCCCCCACACATGCTAGTTGTCTAGGTGTGAGGAATGCCTCGTATCATTTGCCTTTGGATGCACTGAGTGAGGTGCTCATCCTATAGGGATGCCGCATCACTGGCTGAACATGGATTGATATGTTTGATTAAACTGGCAATTGCTTTCCCTTAGATGTCCGCAAGCGTTGCAACGATCTTCCATATGTGACTGGGTGTGGGGAAGATGGCAGGTATCCTGTGGATAGCCCACAATACGATCATGTAGGCACTGGTAAGGATAGACCCATAAAATCACCAGAGACCCCCTAGTTCAACGTTAGAGGAAAAGGAGCACGAGAGCCCTGTGAGCCAGGAACATGCCGAGTTGGCAAGGGAAGGTCGAGGAGTTTTTGATATCGATGAGAGACCCACTAATAAATTGAGCGCTGTTTTCGAGAACCCCCTAGCCGGTGTACCTCGCGAGCGATTATTCGAGGACGTGGAGAAATTCTGTAAACAGTTTGGTCTTGAAGAACATGTCGAAACCTTTCAGAAGGGTGCTCTTGTCTCGCAGAATCCGTCAGGGGCGCAAGACCTCGTGGAGCTGTCACAGGAGGAAAAAGAATTCCTGCGCCGAGAATATACAAACAAATGGTCGCAGCCATGGCAACTTTATTTTATGGCCGGTAAGTGCGAAGCAGGTTCTTTAAGAAAACCTATTGTCTGACAATGCGGGTTATAGCTATGTGCTCATTAGCTGCTGCGGTGCAAGGAATGGACGAGACTGTCAATAACGGAGCCCAAGCAATTTATCTCAAGGCATGTACCGGCCAAATGTGTGGACACGAATATAGACGTGCATCGCTAACAATGGATAGAGACTGAACGTCACTACCGAGCGATTTTCGAAGAACATGGTTGATAGTCTAACTGGCCTCATCGTGGGAGCTCCATACCTTGCTTGCGCAGTGCTGGGTTGCTGGCTTACGGAACCTCTGAATAGATATTTCGCCCGGCGTGGAACAATATTTATATCTTGTGCCATAGCCGCGGTGGCTTCTATTTGGGAAGGTGTGGCCAACTCATGGGTGAATCTCTTCATAGCTCGTTTCGTCCTTGGTCTCGGAATCGGCTCGAAGTCATCCACAGTACCAGTATACGCAGCAGAATGCTCCCCTCCGCCTATTAGAGGAGCCCTGGTCATGATGTGGCGGATGTGGACTGCTTTCGGTATTATGCTTGGGAACATCATGGGTGTGGCATTCATGAGTCTCTCTGATGATCTCTCATGGCGTCTTATGTTGGGTTCCACCGTGGTTCTGCCCGTAATCGTCTGCGCCCAAGTTTACTTCTGTCCTGAGTCTCCCAGATGGCTTATCGAACATGGCAAGATCAACAAAGCCTTCCAGTCGTTCCGAGTGTTAAGAAACAGTGATATCGAAGCTGCGCGTGACCTCTATTATGCGTATGTTGGCGTTGAGCTTGAGAAGAATGTCAACAAGGGCAAGAACTTTTTCACCATGTTTATGGAGCTGTTCACAGTTCCCCGCAACGCTCGTGCGACATTAGCCAGCTGGATCGTCATGTTCATGCAGCAGTTCTGTGGAGTAAACGTGATCGCGTACTACAGCACTACTATTGAATGTGATGATGTTATATATAACTTCAACAAAAAGCTTTTTGTGCAAGTTATATGAAGCATCATCACATTTGTCAGTCGGGATATAGCATCCAATCGGCACTCCTGGCCTCAATGGGGACTGGCATACTCAACTGGGTCTTTGCCCTTCCGGCATTTTTCACTATTGACACCTGGGGACGGCGCAATCTGCTACTGTTCACTTTCCCCTTCCTTGCGATCACCTTGTTCTGGGCTGGCTTCTCCTTCTGAATCGAGGAGGGTATACGATATAGCAAGAAGAGACTCGCCATGGTCACGACGGGAATGTATTTATTCGAGGTGTTTTACTCACCGGGAGAAGGGCCCGTACCATTTACATATTCAGCCGAAGCCTTTCCACTACACGTCCGGGAGGTAGGCATGTCATGGGCCACAGCCACGACTTGGTGCTTCAATTTCGTCCTATCATTCACGTGGCCCCATCTTGTGAATGCGTTCCAACCTCAGGGAGCGTTTGGATGGTACGCTGCCTGGTGTATTGTGGGATGGTTCCTTGTGCTGCTGTTCGTCCCAGAGACGAAAGGTCTGTTCCTCCTTGCCTTAAATTGTGGTATGGAAGTTGCTGACTATTTTTGCAGCTCTCACTTTGGAGGAATTGGACCAGGTATTCTCTGTCCCTACAAGCAAGCATGCCGCCTATCAGGTTAGAAATGCAATCTGGCACTTCCGTGTTTGGGCCCTTCGTCAGAAGCTTGAACCTCTACCTCCATTCTATCAAGGTGCAGAGAATCTCAATGATTCATGAGAACATTTTCTCTCAGCTTCCTTTATTCGTGAGTCTTTCAGGAGGTATATCTGGTGCCGAGTCTCGTCAGGTGCCTCTCTTACAGCGTCCATCGCTACTCCAAGGTTATGAATGCTTGGGTCGGCCATAATATATTGAGTTGCAGTATTCATGTTTATATGTTATCAAGTATCTATCTAACCTGCTCGTTAACTGAATATCTTTGGCAAGTGCAATGCCGTTGCTATCATGTCTGTGATTACTTATGACGATGGTCGTCGATATTCTCCTCCAATCTAAGGAACACATCATGCAGTTCAAGAAAATACGTTTCTATCCTGGTACTAGCCGTAAATATTGCAGAGACAGGGATTCATGGTTTAACTCGCCTCTAGCAGAAATATTTCCGGCAATGCTACACGGAGTTGCATAAGAGAAGTAGGGGCACACATACAATCCAAATATAAGCATACAGAGTAGAGAGTGTTACATATGGTGAATAGTTTGCTCAAGATGTTGATCAACTTCGAGTAAGACGCATCCATTATCTGATTTAGTAGATCCGCTTTCCCAGGACGTAGCCATAGGAGATCGTCGCCAGAATAGCGGCAAGATTGACAAGAGTCGAGTAGCCATGAAGCTTTCCGAATCTCTTGTTGAGAGCAAGCATCTCCTTGGAGTGAGGAGCGGGATCGTAGCTCTTCTTGCCATCTATAGCCTCTGCAAGATAAGAAGTCAGCTGATTACTTGAAGTAAAGAAGGACTGCTATGTCAGAATATAAGCTAACCTTGCTTCTTTCTTTCCTCCATGATCTTGACGGTTTGCGGTCCAAGGAATGCCAGATTCGTCAGTCCGGTAATGAACACCGTCGCAAGAGGCAGCAAGGTCGACAGCCGATTTTCGGGGGCTAGCACTCCAGCAAGACTAGAAGGTCCATTCCCGAGCAAAGTTTTCTCTCCGGGGTACGTGAGAGCAGCTACAACTGGAAGTGCCGTCTGCAGAGAGAAATAGATGGGGAAGATATGGCTCTGCAGTAGGGAGAACTGCGGACGCGGGAGGACCCTGAAGGAGACGATGCCGCCAATGAAGGACTGCGTGGATTGTCAGACAGACTATATCAGACAACTCATATATTGGGTCCAGATGTATTTACCTGGAAGACCTCCACTCCCAGGAGGGTGCCATAGCTGTAATTATAGTTAGCATGGACGTTCTCGATAAACCATAGGTTACGCGGATAACCGATGTGCATTAAGCACGGGGAAACTGACCTTAGAATATGGAAGGGTCCGAGATCGACCATCGTGAAGAATTCTGACTAAGGCCTGTCTTCTTATTCTTCGTTGATCCTGCTATTTGTGAATAGTATAGAGGATGTAGTTTAGATGCTGAAGCAGAACTATCCTGAAGCGATGGAGCTCGGATCGAGTGAGGTCAGTCATGTTTGGGCTCGGTGGGGCTGCCGGCGAATGGAGTTGATTGGAGTTAATTGCCACGTCCTCGGTGATTGGTATGACCACCGCGGTCCCTACGATGATGTTAAGTAGCAAGCCTTGGTTAGCTGTTGCCTGTAAGCTAGTATGTAAACGGGCGAAGATCAGAGATGCGGTGAGGAATAAGCTTATCTCTATAAATCATAAACTTTTCAATGTTGTGGAGTAGGTGTAATATTTATACTCTTTATACCTATCTAATAACATTGCCATTCTAATACCAGTCTAACATTGCAAACTCAGCGGACTGAATCGATCCTACAGGCCAAGATCAAGTTACTGGTAGCTGCATGCATGAAATATCATTGGGCCGTGAGCTTTTCCATCCAACGTATTACAAGGCTTCCACTAAGTACCTAAGTACCTAGGTAGGTAGTTGATATCGCGCTAAAGTAACCCGCAAAGACCATCTTCCCCGCTTCCGCGAGTGGTAAGACGTTCGAATCATCTCAAACATCACAACCATGGCGAGTAATTTGGCAGAACATATCTCCATCCAGAGAATCGATAAAAGCCAGTACATCTCCAAAAGTCCTCCACAGCACATCGGAAATGAGGCAACCTTAGCGTATGGAGGATACGCAATTGCGTACGGCATCCACTCGGCATGTCAAGAGGCGCCAGACGCGTTCCACTTATACTCTGTACTTGGAAATTATCTTCGGGCTGCGAATACGAAAGAGAAGCTCATATGCAAGACGACGGCGCTCCGCAGATCCAAAAGCTTTCTCACCTACCGCATTACAATCGAACAGAAACAGCTCAGTGGTGAAGTCCGGCCGTGCATGGAGCTGCTTGCGGATTTTCACAAAGAGGAACCGTCTCTCCTCACCTACTCAGCATCTCCGACTCGGAAATACAGTCACTGGAGGGATTGTATGCCCTGGGAGCAAGTAGTGATGCGATGGTCCGATTCCGGCAAGATAACTCAGGCACAGTCTGAAAGCATCCGTCCTAATTTTAAAACCTCAACAACTCTCTACGAGTGCCGTCCCTGTCCCGAAGGTGTCGCATATCATAATTTGATGGGAATTTTCAAAGACGCCAGGACAAATCAGGAGAAGCTGCCTCCTACGGAAAAGTCCTCGGCTGATTGGGTACGCGTGGAACAACCTCTACAGACCGAGGGAGAGCAGATGGCATCTTTAGGTTTTATAATGGATGGAATGCTATCTCTCTTGCCTTTAATACATAACCATCTGTTTTATGATGATGTTTCTGCTTGTTCAAGTCTTGATTTTGCGCTGAGAATATTCTCTACACGAATCAATGTGAATGATTGGCACTTAAGAGAGGCAATTGGCCATCATGCCGGTCATGGTCGCTCATACAGCGAGAGCAGAATCTGGGATGAAAAGGGAAATATGATTGCTTCTATGACGCAGCAGTCGATTCTAAGAGTCCCCGCGCAGACTTCGAAGATATGATAAGTCCGGAATTCAGGATGTTGCACTTACATGGCTGGAGAAGAGAGAACAAATTGTCAAATTACGGTTCACTGGCCTTGTACAGGGTCCAGAGAGTGAACTATGTAGTTCAGATATCCCTTGACGACTACTGCATTAATGCAAGGTACATCATTTTAGAGCTTTCGAATAGTAAATCCACATACCTGGCGATATATCGTTGGGTCTTCAGTCGGTGCTTCGCGGCTTCCGCCATAGAAACGCGCACGGCCCAAGCTTTCCGCAGCCACGCACCTCAACAACGTGATGTCATGTGCCTTCGCGTCTGGCCTGTGCCCAAAATGGAAATATCGCGCGTCTGCCTGGAGCGACAAGACAAAGAGGTACCGTCTGTCCTCCTCACAGCATCAATTCCTCACCAGTTTCTCTTAGATGCCATACTTCAACTTCGAAAATGGCGGACAAAGAGGCCACGGTGTACATTGTCGACGTCGGAAAGTCGATGGGGAGGAAACGCAATGGGAGGGATCTATCTGATCTGGATTGGGCAATGCAATATGTCTGGGACAAGATTACTACGACGGTATGTTCATATGAGAGCCCAATATGTTGAATATTTACTGACTACGGGCTTTTTAGGTTGCTACTGGACGGAAAACTGCAACAATTGGTGTTGTTGGTCTAAAGACAGACGGTCAGCATAGCCCCGAGATTCCGCCGAGGGGGGAGTTCTCATAAGTAACAGGTACCGACAACGAATTGCAAGATGATGAAAACTTCTCGCACATCACAGTGTTCAAAGAAATTGGACAGTAAGTAGCTATTTCGACATAACACTCATTAACAGTACGACAATTGACTGATAACTTCCAGGGTTCTCATGCCTGACTTGCGCAACCTACGTGACCAGATCAAACCCAGCAATTCTGACGCAGGAGACGGTGAGTATATTCCGTATATATTCATAATCCAGCAAGTCTGACTCTGAGATAGCTGTCTCGTCCATCATTTTGGCTATCCAGATGATCAACACGTATACCAAAAAACTGAAGTACAGACGGAAGATCGTCTTGGTCACCAACGGAGAAGGCCCAATGAGCAACGAAGGTCTTGAGCAAATCATAAGTAAGATCAAGGAGGATAATATTGAACTAGTAATTCTGTACGTGCACATTTACGAACATGAGATTACTATCTAACCACCATACAGCGGTGTCGACTTCGATGACCCTGAATATGGCTTCAAAGAAGAAGACAAAGACCCAGAAAAGGTATGTCTGCTTAATAGCTCTACATTCTTATATATACTGACCGATAAAGGCCAAAAATGAAGAACTTCTCAAGAGTATGGCCGAGGACTGCGACGGAGTGTACGGGACGCTAGAACAAGCTATTTCAGAACTTGACATACCTCGCGTAAAGGTTGTGAGGGGAATACCATCGTTCAAGGGCCAGCTGCGATTAGGAAACCCCGAAGAATATGACTCAGCACTTTGCATAGACGTTGAGAGATACTACAGAACTTACGTCGCCAGACCGCCGCCCGCCAGCTCGTTCGTGTTTCGTTCAGACCTCACCGCCGATAACACACAAGCTACTGCAACCGCAGCAGCAGAATTGGCTGCGCGAGAAGGAGAGAACCCATTAACATCTGTGCGAAACGCACGTACTTACCAGGTCACGGACGAGTCTGCACCAGGAGGCAAGATTGACGTCGAGCGAGATGACCTGGCTAAAGGTTATGAATACGGAAGAACTGCCGTGCATATCAGCGAGTCCGACGAAAATATCACGAAGCTGGAGACATATGCTGCTCTCGAAATTATCGGATTCATTCAAAGTGACCACGTATGTCTCCCACTCCTACGTAGGTGTGGCTACTGACTCTGTCTAGTATGATCGATTCATGCACATGTCTACGACAAACGTCATAATTGCGCAACGCACAAACGACAAGGCTATTTTGGCACTCTCGTCGTTTATTCATGCTCTTTTCGAGTTAGATTGCTATGCCGTCGCTAGGCTTGTCACGAAGGATAACAAGGCTCCGCTTATTTCCTTACTGGCTCCTTCGATTGAGGCAGATTATGAGTGTCTGTTGGAGGTCCAGCTCCCTTTTGCTGAAGACGTACGGTCATATCGATTTCCTCCCTTGGATAAAGTTGTTACCATCTCTGGGAAGGTGGTTACAGAGCACCGCTATCTGCCCAATGACGATCTACAGAATGCCATGAGCAAGTATGTAGATAGCATGGAACTGGTCGACAGAGATGAAGATGGGTGAGTTGGATCCTGAGCACCATCAAGTAAATAAGCTAACAGCGGCATATAGGAACGTAACTGAAACGATGTCTTTCGATGATTCCTTCTCGCCTTTACTGCATCGAATAGACCACGCAATCCGATGGCGAGCAATTCACCCGAATGAGCCAGTGCCCCCTCCTCCCGAAAGGTTGACTAAACTCGCTCATCCGCCTGAAGAATTGCAAGAACGAGCGAAGAAGTACTTGGAGCGACTCGTTTCTGCAGCCGATGTCAAGAAAGGTTCGTGGCACATTACTCAGGCATATGTGTTTCTCGTCTCTGCTACATGAGCTAACAGTGTATAGTGCCACCGAAAGCTAAAGGACGCAAACGCAACCGCGAGGCTGACAAGCCCCTGTCAGGGCTTGACGTTGATGCGCTGCTCCACAAAGGGAAGCGAGCCAAGATCTCCCCAGAAAACGCAATCCCAGAATTTAAACAGGCTCTTTCAGCTACAGAAGACATCGAAGCTGTTTCCGGCGTGGTCAAGCAGATGTCAACTATCATAGAGGATCAGATACGGCACAGCCTTGGCGATGCTAACTATGACCGGGTTATAGAGGAAGTGGGTGTCATGAGAGATGAACTGGTTGCCTACGAGGAGCCTAAGTTGTACAATGACTTCGCCCGTCAGCTAAAGGACAAGATCCTGAAAGAGGAACTGGGTGGGGATCGACGTGAACTTTGGTGGCTCATCCGCAGAAGCAAGCTGGGATTGATTGATAAGAGCATGTCAGAGCAATCAGACGTCTCGGAGGAAGAAGCAAAGGAGGCAAGTTTCTTGCTACTCGATTCCCTATACGCTCCTGCTAACGGATACAGTTTCTTTCATCGGAGTAATAAATCAATCATTATTCCTGTCACTGCTAATGAAGTATGGATGTTGGTTTATTCAATGAATATGGGTCTAGTCAGAAAGCATGCTTCGTGAAACCGCAAATACGCCTTTAGGTACACAATAAGGGTATAATGGACTCTTTAACATGCAATGAAGAAAACCTTAGACGCCCGCTGAGAAGCTAAGGTTGGAATTCTGAGACGAAGTATAAAACAGTGTCGCGTACCAGGATTTCGATTAAGAAATCTTTCCAACCCTTCTTTTGCCAATGTCGATCTTGGATTGTAACCTATTTTGATCCGTCAGTAAGATAAAACCAAGAGTAGACAGTAACGAGGACTGACCTGTCCACGTCGTCATTTGCCATATCAAGAAGCTCTCTCTGGATATCCAATTCATTGTTGATAGCAATGCCCAGCTCCTTCTGCCTGGCGACAATCTTTCTGAGTTCCTCGACACTCAAGTCTTGGTCCTCCATAATCTGTTTCTGCAGTTGCAATACCCCCTGGTTATCAAGCTCCCGCGTCCTATCGGTCTCTTTCCCAAGTACTCTCCCAGAACGAGGCTTCTTGGAGCCCACCAGCGCCTCCTTATCCTGTACGGATGCGACAGCGTTGTCGAGCTTTGTCTTCGTCACCATAGCGTTGTGCAGGTTCTCTAGCCCATCCTTCTCTTTCTTCGCATTTGCGAGGAGGTCCTTTCTCCTCCTAACCTCTCCATCACCAATGCTGTTCCCTCCCCATGCACCCTTATCACTGATGTTCTTCAGCCCCTGCTCTAGAGCTCCGATCAAGGATCCAGCCTTAACGAGGCACGTCTTCGCCTGCGCTGAGCTCTCATGCTGCTTCTGCGGTGTTGTTGCCTGATCCCGTCTTGTCAGATGAAGTCGTGCATCGTGCAGATGCGACTTCAACTCTCTGTAGCAGTCTAGCCAAAGAGTCGGATCCGTTATGGGGGCGCCTGCACTACCTGGTTCTGTGATGGCCGCGTGGAGTTTCGAGGCGCCCGAACCGGTTGTGCTGGCAGCTGCGGTGGGAAGATTCAAGAAGGCTCTCCAGACACTGGAGTTGCGCCATCTGGAGTCTTCGGCTTCGTTGATGACACGCAGATAATTCTCGAGGCCTTTCCGTCTCTCTTCTCGCAAGTCAGGGTTCTTGTTTGTGCTCCGGAACCAGGACTTGCCAGGGAGCGCCGCTGGCGGCGCAGAACCGACCTGGCTGACCAGAGCTTCGTGGAAGGCCGCAAATTCAGAGTAGCGCTTTTGAACTGTAAATGAGCGTAGCGGCAAGCGAAGGGTGATGTTATAGATCGTGTATGGGTCAGGACCCTCGGAGATCGTCGTGGTCGGTATCGATATCTCGACCTTCGGGGCCATGGTGGATTATGGGCGGGGAAAACAAGGATAGAGATCAAAAAGAATTGTTTCACTGGCCATATATGGCCCAGGCTCCAATTTATGCGTGGTCAAGGAGATACTCTGGGAGATACTCCGCGGCTTTGCTCTCGAGACGCAGGGAGGTTGATCACTCGAGCTCCGACATTTAACTACTTAGACGGCTGACATGACGCAGTCCGGAAGCTTAAGTATCCACCGTTCTCGCTCCCCGCTTAAGGACTCTAAACCCAGGAGGATCTTAATAGTAGATTAAACCACCATCTATCTCCTCATGACCTCCAAGGTCACTTCGCAGTTTCTTCACGGCACTTCCATCTGCCATTTCTGAGATGGCATCCGATCAGGAGTTGTGCGTCGTCGAGCCACGTCCTGTGACCCCCGATCAGGCAATATCTCAACCGGATTCTCCGGACTTTGTTTCTTCGATTCCGCCGCAGGCGAGGCAAGATGCAATCCATTTAACGCCTTATTCACGGCCCCCTGAGTACGGCCCCAGAGAGAACAATACTGATCCAACGCACGACGACCCATCATGGACTGGTGAAGATCTGCGGTCGTCGTCCTCGCATTCTCTCCTGCCCGATAAGAATGCGATAGACGGACGACGGAAACTATTGTTGATCTATATCCATGGCTTCATGGGTGCAGAGATTAGCTTCAAGAGTTTTCCCGCACATGTGCATGGAATCCTAAAGGATTCTTTAAGTGAAACTCATGTGGTGCATTCTAAAATCTATCCTCGGTACAAATCTCGCGGAACCATGAGCATTGCCCGCGATGCATTTAGCTATTGGTTCGTCCCCACAGGTCTCCTTGCATTTGATGTACAATAAAAACAACAAGAACCATGCTGAACATTAATGCAGGCTGTCACCTCATGAATCAGAAGACACAGATGTCATTTTGCTCGGTCATAGTCTGGGCGGTATCCTGGCTACAGAGGCTGCTCTATTGCCCTCTTCTTGGTCAGGGAGTAACGAAATGTTCCAGCATCGCATTCTAGGCGTTGTTAACTTCGATGTCCCATTTCTTGGAATGCACCCAGGCGTGGTGAGCGCCGGTCTGGGGAGTCTATTCCGCCCAAAAGCAAAGTCTCCAGACTCTCAGTCAGGGAATAATAATAATACTACAGAGGGCATAACAGACACGCTTGCAGCGACAAGTTTACAGGGTTCATCATCATCATCTTCTTCTTCTATCCCCATTGATAGTAATTTTGATGCACCATTCGCCAACGACGTCCGTCTAAAAGAACGGGGCCAACTGGACGGGGCGCTTCATTTTATCATGAAACATTCAGATCGTCTAGCAAGAGCTACTAAGGAATACGTAACATCTCATCTAGAATTCGGGGGCTGCCTTGCAGACTACCCTGCGCTTAGAGATCGATACAGGCGGATCCGAGCACTTGAGGATGTCGACGAATACGCGCGCAAGAAGGATGCTCATGGTCGTCCTCTACGACGTATCAGATTCGTCAATTACTACACCGCGAGTACCGGATATATAAAGCCTACTGTTGCCGCAAATAATGAACAAAATGGCGTGTCTAATGTCGAACCTATTACGGTTGCAACATCAGAAGCGCGAATAGCAACATCGAACAATGCTACCAGACAGTCTACAACGCCGTCGAGCGACTTGAATTCATCCACAGAACCAACTTCTCAGTTTAGTCCAGCAGATTCTCCTCCAGACTATGAGACCAGCCAAGCCCATCATCAATTATCCATAGACTCCAATCTCTTACAAGAGAACACCGAACAGCAAACTCCAAGCACCTTCTCTGAAGGGCCAAAAATGGAAAACAAGCCAGAAACTACAACGAACGACCTATCTCCTCAGAATACGACATCATCCGCACCCTTTGCAGAGTCAGTATCCTCACTGCCATCGTTACTTCCTCTTCCAGAGGAGCCTGCTGCCTTCGACCCCTCTCAATACACGGATAAGGACACATTGAAGTTAGCGCAAAAAGAACACTCTCGACAGGTCAAGGCTTACGAACGTGCGAAGAAAGACCGGGAGAAGGCCATGAAAGATCGCGAGAAGCTAATCAAAAAGAGAGAAAAGGCCGCTGCCAAAGAAGCTGCCAAAGACACCTCCTCCCAGCGGCAAGTCACTCAGAAGACTGAAAGTATTGTCGTGCAGGAGACTACTGTCCAAACTCCTCCGGGGAGACCCCCGCCGCTCCCTCCTCGAGAGTCGAGTACATCAATAACGACAACATCCGCTGCTAGCTTTTCGAAACAGCCAAATCTAGACACTACAACCGATGCCAACAACAAAAGTCCTCCGGCACTCCCACCCCGACAAGGCGAGGCAAGCAAGCCCAAGAAAGACAGAAAATTCTGCACTCTCCCATCAAAAGGTCCCGACGGCACTCGGGATCCCCTATGGGTTAGAGTATACATGGAGGGCATTGACGAAGTCGCGGCGCATCAGTCGTTGTTCATCCCGAATAATGACTACTATGAGAAACTCGTCGGCGATACTGCAGCCAGAATCCAGGAGTGGGTACAAGAGGCTCAGACGACGAGAATGGTGTTGAGCGAGATAGAGGGGCTTGATTGATGTGTTAACAGCTCTTACTACGGCTTTTCTATTTGAGGACACATAGGGAGGGGTCATCCTTGATGAACTGCATATACGGGTTCTATGATGACAGTGAAGACTCATTAACATGATATAACAAGGCTATGCCGATGCAGCCTTGGATGTGCAGTCTAGCATACCTGCAATAGATCTCTCGTTGCTGAATCGAATCGCATGACTAAGACCTATTCTGGTTTATCCTAAGCTTTTCCTATGGTTGTAGGAACAACCTGGATTTAAGGCCAATACACAACGTATCACAGATCGATATCATCAAAGCTATTAGGGGGTATCTGTTATTGATAAGAATAATTATGCTAAGCATCATGTAACAATGCAGTGGCTTATCCATTATAAGCATACAATGCCTGTTTAGTCAAAGCTCTAAATATCCAACTGGCTTTACCATTCCATATCCTCTTCCCATGTATGCCGCTTTTCGAGAAGATCTCGCTGCCCATAAAACTCGCCGACAATGGTGATGATCATATCAAGCATAGCAAGAGTTTGTTTCTCTGCGTCTGTAGGCAATGTTTCTTCCGACATCTTCGAGGGCGCTTCCTCGTCCACCTTCTGCTCCCCCTCCTCCTGTACTGCTGTGATTGTGGCACCAGGGCGTTGCAATTCCGGTTCTAGTTCTAGGTCATCCTGCAGCCTTGCTTGAAGTCGAGCTTTTACTGCCTCCAAATATTCAGGTGTACCTTCCTCCGTGGGTTGTGCTTCTTGTTGGGATATGTCCATCGGATCACCGCCAGTGGCATCCGCTGTCTCAGAAGGTTCCTCTGCTGTAGCATTGCCAGGTTCACTTTCCTGAACTTCGGGTTCCTCCTCGTTCTCCTCTCCATCAGATTCTTCATTCCCAGTCTCAGTATGCGCCCCGCGCCTCACAATCTTCACCTCTTTCGCCTTTCTCATTCTTGCCAATATCGTAGCAGCTCTCTTTCCTAGCTCTCTGATCTCGCCCACCTCCTCACTCCCCAACTGGCCCACCTCTCGACACTTGCCTAGTAGCCCCCAAGCCCAGGCTCCGATCCGTCTCACACGAAGCGCGTCTCCGCTCTTGACGTTCTCAGACATCAAGCGGCCCATGATCTCCAGCACGCCTAGCACACTATCCATATCCATGCACGCTAGCTGAACCATTTGCGGATCGACAGATAATAGTAAATGTCGCCATTCCGAACGGGCAGCTTTCGATGAGCGTGGGAGGGAGATGGGATGTTGATCATCGAGGGCAGCAATAGCAGAAGCGGGAGGTTGGCATCTCAAAGTCGACCGTAGGAGTACGAAGCGATGACGGAGAAGGTTATAGTACGAAGATTGAGCGTCCGGTTCCGTTTCTCCGGCGCCAGTAGCGTGTCTTAGAGATGTTTCTTCTGTCGTATTGACAGCAGGCGCAATGTAGACACCATCGGTGTATAGACCCTCCGGGGGTTCACTTCCGACATCCTGTGCCTCGTTTTCGAGATGCGTATGCGTTGTCGCCTCGACGGTCGTCTTCTCAGACGTTTTAGCCGCGACGAATAGCGTAGGTAGGGAATTTGCTTCTGATCTAGGAAACCACACAAGACATGACATGTCGAATCAGTCTCCGACCTTGTAAAATGGTGTCATGTTCCGCAAGCTGAAAGGGACCAAAAGAAGGCGCAACACTTAGCGAGCGGGAAAAAAGAAGAATATAGCTGGAAGGATCAAGGGAAGATCAAAGACTCACCGGACCATGCGAAGGTACTCTAGTCCGTCTTCTGCTGGGCCATAGAAGAGCTCATCACCAGCAGGGTCGTCAAGACCTGGAAATGCATTCTTCATGCCATAGACAGGATGGTTACGGGGTCGCTCGTATGGGCTTGATCTTGAGGGCGCTTCGTCTTCATCGTCTTCTGCATATGATTGGCGCGTCCGTTTCGCGTATGGAGAACTGCCCGGTATTGAAGGAGTCTCTTTTCGTTTATCGGGCATTTTTGCTGGTGATAAGTATAGTGTGGTCCTATGGCAAAAGTTGAAGATGATGGAGCTTGGGCATAATTACAGCTCGGCGTGATCCGAAAGTAGCTCATGGAGCTTGGGCCTCCCAAAACAGAGATATGAATATGATGACTAATCAGGGCCTGGGCAAAACAACTAACTAACTAGTTAACTAGTAGTTAACTAACTAACAACGTTAAACTACGGAGTAGTCTAGATAACTAGGTATCTAAAAGAGTAGTTATATGCCCTAAACCCCTGATCCCCTGATCCATCGGAATGACCAGGACTGGGGCTCTGGGCTCTTAGAGAATCCAAGAAAGGGAGTTCAAGGAGCTCTGACTTAAGCTAAATTCTACTTGTAACAAGATTAAGAATTTGAAGTATAGGTAGACTATTTTAAAAAGGTTTTCTAAGGAGGCTCAGCATATCATAAGAGAAATTTAAATAAGAGCAGAGGGCTCTCTTTACAGCATTGCTACAGATACATTTGACCAAATGCTTAAATTAGTTAAAAAAAGTCCGATAATCTTGCTGAGCCTATTGCTATAAAACTGCTAAAAATCAAATCCCAAATAACTAGTAAAAACATCAGAAGAAAAAGAAGAATCTAGTAAGAAAGAATCTGCAAGGAAAGAAACGTCACACCTTTTGCCTTCTTCCGCCAAGGTAGCCTGCATCCTCCTAAGCAATCTTGTAGAATGTACTGGCAGCGTTATTGTTGGCCGATCTCCAGTGCTGTGCTTGCACTTGCAGACCTAAGTACATGAGACATTCTCTTAGGGATACCATGTCCCGATAAGCATCTGGGTTTTGTGCGTCCTGCTGTGAAACTGCTTGAGATACCGTGTCGTGAGTTATCACAGGGGAGATCCACAGTTCATACAACCCCGTTTGCGTGTTGGGCATCTGAGCACAGAATATGGTTTCGTTGTAGGTTGATAGGAAACCATATTGTACACCCGCACAGTACATATACATGCCAATTTGCCCTAAAGTAGAATAAACACATTAATATACTGATTGTAGATATGATCGAATAACATACCAAATAAGCGTGGTCGGTATGCTGGTTTTCTAATGCCTCTTATAAGGCTATGAGCCCAAGGCGTCTTGAACTCTCCAACAAGGAGTGCTCGCGTCCCGTTAGTCATTGTGAGGACATTATCCGGTATTCCCCCGCAATCTGTTCTCGTCGAGCGGCCGGAGCTGAACTCGCACATGATGCCTGATGATTGGAATATTGCTGCCATTACATTGCTAACGTTATTATTGAACCGCCCTTGAATATCTCCTTCGTCGGAACAAGCGTAGAATTCATTGCTGATATGGTGTCTGCTCAAGAAACCAGCAGGCCGGTGGTCTATAATGCTTCTTCTGAAGTTGACATTATTCGTTGCCATTCTGACCTGCATCTCGAAGCCTCGCCACAGCTTGATGGGAGCAACAATGTCAATTGCATGGATTGTCACAGATGAGGTCAATTCTTGGGAGAGTTTCAAGTCTGGAATCCTCTCACACACTAGCTGCCTCGCAGTCTTGCCGTTAGATGCACGTTTCTGTGATTGAGGCATTATCGTCGTCTGGCGATCGAGAAAAGGTTAAGGGTAAATGAAGTCGAAAACTTGATGGAAGGGGTTAGATCTTCCAGGGAATAAGGGTATTTCAGAAAAGGATTGGAACAACCTGTCACGCCTTGGAGAAGAGTACGAAGAGATATGAAAAGCTTTGCTTTCCACTTCTGTCAACAGAATCGTCGAAGGCGTGTTTTGCAGTCTGTGGATTTTTTGGTCCTCAGAGAATTATTTACTCTTATATGTCTCTACTTGCTCTCCAATTATTCTTTCAAGCATGCTTGATTGACCAACATGCGGTACTTTTGCGATTCAGCTTCCCACTATCGTCTTTGATAATCTGTCGGCGCTCATGGCTACTGTGGAGACGAGCTGCAAAGTCGCTGCTACTACCCTATACAAACCGGGTAGCAGCTGCAACGGGCAGCCACCTTGATTCATCCGTATAGGATCAAAGAAGACGGAACTGGGACCGTGGATTATCAGAAACAGTGTTCTAGATCTGCTCCAGGCAGTGGAGATACAGGATGGAGCCCGCGGGTATGAATGGCAGGTAGATTTCGGTGCCCTCAAGTCCTTCAAGCAATCAAGATTCTATTCCCGTAACAAACGCTCTTCCAAAGTCTTTGCTCCCGTGTTCTTAGATTCCCACATAGTTCAAGTAACTGTCTCAAAGTTGGTCTGCGTCGGCGCAGAAAGGCGTATGCAGTTGATCTGGCATATCATCCGTTTGCAGCATGTTCTTTGATCCCCTGATTATGGGATATGACCTACCGGATCACTAGGATCTAGATTCTTTGTATCTATGCCGTAGGAGCCAGCTAAACTCGCTCGTTCATATCGAGTGTGAATTCGGACCTGGTGCCCAGAGACATACGTCGGCGCTCAAGTCCTTTATGGCAACCCGAGCTGCAACGCGCCACGACTATCCTATACAAAGGGTATAGAACAAACAGCATCAGCCCCCTATTTCCACCTGATGTAGATCAAAGAAGACGGGCTGCTGTCCTGGCTGCATTAGGGAAATGCACTGATATTGTGGCAGAAGGGGCGTTTAGGTAGCAGCGAGGTACTCATGCACAAGTGAAATGCCCTAAAACTGGGCCTTGGATTGCAGTATACAAACAACAGTTGTTGATCGTCCGTATTGTAGTACGTATTGTACTCCGTAATTTACGATAAGCCTGTTCTATTTAGGGTTAGCGCTAGTGTATTATTATCTACCTAGGTAGGTAGGTAACTTACATACCTTTAGGTACCTACCGTCGTCCACGGTAGATACCTACAAAAAGTCCAAAACCAAAGTACTCCCTGCAACGGTGACTAAGATGTCCGTGCGGGGTGTGGTCATCTGCAATCTGCCATATATTATGACGAATATCCATCACGCACTTCTATCTCCTAAAATTTCCCTTCTCTAAGAGTGATCTGAGCTGTCAGTCAAACTTATTGCGGATTTCGAAAACAGCCTAGATGCTAAGATGAAATTCTTTCCCCCCCATGATTGGCTCGGAAAAGAGATCGTTTTCCCTGATGACATTGGGGTGACTTGGGTGTTGAGTGAAAAGCTCAGTGAAGATTCCAGACAGTTAACCCAGAAAGACTGCGCCGAATTTAATGCATCATCTATCGCGTGGGCCGTATTTTCATGCCACCGAAAAGATGGCATGGGGGGAAAGCACGCTATGAAAATCTATATGCAGTAAGATACAGTATCCCCTTATTCCACCACGTCGATGCTAACTCTATCGATTATCGAGGGTTCCCTGGACAGACACCGAATTTGCGAGCGCGGCGTCTAGAAAAGCACAGGCGGATATCAACCGATCGGATAGTATGGCATCTGAAATCAAGGCTCTTCGCTTGCTCACAGAGAATGGATCGACACATACGCCGCTTCTCATTAGCGATTTTCATACTACACAAGACAATGACGGTATAGTGCCTACCGGATTCATTTCTTATATTCTTATGACCTGGTGCCCTGGAGTCACGCTTGGTGACGGTGATTATCGCCGTAAGACCAAATCTGAGCAAGCTAGGATTTTCCAAGCTTTCAGAGAAGCGCTCGAGTAAGTACTTTTTATTGATTCTATAAATTACTAACATAGTTTCCTTTTCGACTAAACTGCTTCTATAGAGATACCAAACGATGTGGAGTAGTGAGCAATGGTCTCGGCCCGGGTAATCTCATATGGGATGCTGCCCACAACACATGGTAGGTTAAAGATATACTTCTAACTAATGTACGCTGACATCCTTCATAGCTACATGGTAGACTTCAAATGGTCGGGGCCACCATCAGAGTGGGATATCGCTGAAGAAGTTTGGATGTCCTGGGGGCTGCAGCCTGGTCCTCCCAGATTGGAAATGGAACGTTTGTAGCAGATCTCGCTCTCTTTTCTTCTTTTCCTTTTCATTTCTTTCTCTTTCTTGGCTTTTGTTGCAAATTTCCCATAATAACCTAAAAAATCTTGCTGATTATTTTCGGATATGAAGTGAAGAGCAGCCTCGTGGCGGGGTGTTGACAGAGGCAGTTATGTGCTTGTGCGGACCAAAAGGAAGGAGGACTCGACAGTCTAGATCACTCAATTCGATGGTCTACTCCTAGATATCAGTCCTATACTTTATGGTCTCGAAAAGTGGAATATCGATTCGAACTACCAGCTGCTACGAACTGTGTTGTGTCCTTTTGTACATCTCGAAATATGACTTTTCCTAACTTCAGGTATCATAAATTCCGTTATGCTCTACTGAATGAGGACTTCTCATCCAGACCGTCTATACCAGTACTGGATAGCGTAAAGTTCCAGAACTGTAACTAAGGGCGGAGACGCTGAGGATCACGAGGGAAGAGAGTAGCTTGACGGACGTTGGGGAGACCGAGGAAGAACATGACGATACGATTCAGACCCAAACCACCACCGGCATGGGGAGGACAGCCCTGTCGGAAAGCAGCCAGGTAATCCTCGAAACCTTCCTGGTTGGGGTCCAGACCCTTGGCTCTCATCGAATCCTCCAGCTCCTTAACGTTGTTGATACGCTGAGCACCGGACATGATCTCTTCACCACGCATGAAAAAGTCGTACGAGTTGGAGAAGGTGGGGTCATCGGGGTCAGCCTTGGTGTAGAAAGGCCGAACCGACATTGGGAATTTGTCGAGGACGTAAAAGTCAGTATCATACTTATTCCGGATGATTTCCCCTAGTTTCTTCTCCATAGCGGTGGTGAAGTCGTTCTCGAACCGCTCCTGTTCCGAGACGTCGATACCAGCCTCCTTCAGCAAGGCCAGACCTTCCATATACTTCAATCGTAGAGCCTTGCCGTTCTTCGGAAGCCTGAAATCACCAGCCTTGGGGTAGGACTTCTGGATGATGGCGATCTGGTCCTTGTACCGCACCTTCAGCTCAGACAGGATGAAAACTAGCAGGTCCTCGGCGAACTCGAGGACTTCGTGGTAGTGGTGTCGGAAGGTCTTCTCGAAATCGAGACCGGTGAACTACGTCTTGTCAGCCTGAACAATACCAAAAAGGGGCTGGCGTGATTGTTATACCTCAGTCAAATGTCTGTGGGTGTTACTGTCTTCAGCTCGGAAAACGGGAGCAATCTCAAAGACATTCTCCATATCACCAGCAATGCACATCTGCTTGTACAACTGTGGAGACTGGGTGAGATAGGCATTTCGCTTGAAGTACTTAATCTCGAAGACGTTGCTTCCACCCTCAGAGGCAGCACCCGCGATCTTCGGGGTTGAGATCCAGCGCGAACCACTCTTAAGCATGTACTCAGCGAAGAGCTGAGTGACACCACTCGAGATCCAGGTAATGGCCTGGCTGGTCTCCGTCTGGAGGTCGAGCACACGGTTGTCGAGACGGGTCTTCAAAGTAACCAGGGGAGTACCCTCGGAGTCCAACTGACCCTCATCAGCACCCTCTGGTGGAGGCCTCTCAGCGTCCTTAACCTGCATTGGTAGCATCTGAGCAGCCTCTGCAATGATGTAGACTTTCCGGATGTGAAGCTCCAGGTTGCTCAGCGTAGCAGACGAAACTGGAACACCGGGCTTCTTCACGATACCAGTAACCTGGACGATGGTGTTGACGTTTAGTCCACCAGTCCACTTGACCATTTGTCTCGAAATTGGCTCTGCGGCAGCCACGACGGCTTGGATCTTCGTTCCCTGTTCTCGGAGCATCAAGAACGCCAACTTGGCACTCTGCACACGGGCATTATCAACACGGGCAACGACCGTAACCTCCTTCTCGTACAGATCTTCCGACAGCTCCTTGACCCTCGTCACAGGCACCGCATCCTCATTCTTGGGGATCTTGCCATACAGATCCTTTGCCGTGTCATCAGCAGTCTGAGCCGCGGCCTGGGCCTTCTCCTGCGCGGCGCGCTGGGCGGCTTTCTCAGCCTTGGCCTTTTCCTTCGCAGCCTTCTTCAAGGCATTCTTACTGGGAGCTCCAGCACCCTCTGCAGCTGGGGCAGCAGCAGCAGCAGCTTCAGGAGTCTCTTCAGGCTTGGGACGGTGGGGTAAACCGGAGTCGGCCATGGCTGCTATGCGCGTCACAATTAGAGCAATGAACGAAAGGATAGGGGAAGCTGAAATTGGGGGAAGAAGAGGAGCTTCTCATTACCTGATATATAGGAACGACTAGATGTAGTCTCTGAGGGAGTCGAATGTTTCCCAAGCTACCTGCAAAGAAAGTCTTGCGACTCATACGACAGCCCGAACCCCGCCGACGATGGAAGCCCTAAGCCCTAAAATGGTACCTCTTTCGGATCGACTAGTCCGATCACGTGTGATAAGCTGCGATAAGAAGTTGAAGCATGTCTACATCCTACGTCCATCCTAGACACGATCGAAAGGATATTTTGATATAAAAAGGAGTGCGAATTTGCGGTGACCCATCACATAGGCGATCTTCGAGTCGCTAAGTAGCGAGCCCAATGCCACTTCAGACATAATGCCGCGACCATATTTAGGAACGGAAGTTTATGACTCCATGCCTTGGTCACACCACTGAGAAACATCCTGCCAGGATCATCGAAATACGGAGTTCCTTTTCGTTTAGATTTCATATCGTCTGCTCAGCTACGTAACCCATATCTATCCCTTTGCTTACAAAGACTACGTGCTACAAATAGCATATAGGTCAACAGTTGGATATTTCATCTCAATGATGTAGACGATGACGACCTCTGAGAACGATTCTTTCGAGAGATATATATTATATATATATATATATACAGATCAATTCAATATTCTATAATCCTACAAATAAAATCGCCAAGCAATCAGTCCTCCTTGATGGTCGGCCACTGCGAGGACTTCAAGGCCCATTCCACAGCCTTCTGTACATTGTCGACGATCGTTTTCGGGGTCCACGCTGGCTGTCCGCCAGTGTACACACCACTCCGAACAAGAATCGAGTGCCATTCACTGCCGTGCTTACTCCGGTAGGAGTTCGCTCCGCAGATATCAGATGCTGGATTATCTCCAACCATGTATACTCTCCGCAAGGGGCCTAGCTCCTGAGAGTGGAAGATCCTAGAGCGATTGCGGAGCAGTTGCCTCTCAGCAAACTCGTACGTCGACTGATGAGGCTTTCCCACCACTGTCTTTATCAACTCTACTCCTTTGCTGGAACCGCCAGTTGTAGCAGCCCAGGTTCCCTCCAGGGCTTCGCGGAAGCCGCCTTGTCCGAGGCGTGGGAGGTGGTAAGCAGCAGCCCACCACAAGTCAGGGTTCGAAAAGTAGATAGGTGGCTGGCCATCCTGTTGATATCCGCGGTTTGGAAGGCTGTCTTGGCCGTTCTTGCTCGATCTTGTACCCATGATGCCCTCAGAGGACAGCAAAACGTCAATAATCACCTGCATATCCAAGCCCCAGTCTCTCGGATCGTTGAACACGAGCACGGCATCGAATTTAAGGCTCTTTTCCGGGTTCTCCGCATCGATTGGTTTAGGAAGCGGTCTTGCGAATTTCTTATAGTAGTCCATGAAGTTCTTCGAAAAGGGCCAGATCGAAGGGTACGCCATGAAGATATCCCCGGGAGTCACGACATTCTTAAAGCCGTACCTAAGGCCTATTAGCCCTCCCAATTAGGATGATCCCGTCGGTAGACGTACCTCTCTGCCACTAGACGGCAAGCATCGCCATCTCCTCCGACGACCAACACGCACTTGTCTTCTAGCGGACCCTGCGCCTCCGATCCCCGGACCAGCTCCGCGAAGGGGGAATGACTCTGAACGATCACACTTGGGTCCAACGGCAGATTCAGTTTCTCGCTGATTTCAGCCACGCGCTCCGTCTCGTGTTTCCCACCGCCATTGGTGAGCAAGATAAACGGGATACCCTGTTCCTGTAGGAGGCCCAATGCTTCCGCAGCTCCGGGGATCGGTTTAGAGGCTCGAAGGAGGACACCATCGATACTGAGCGAATTAGACTTCCCAAAGTCAGGAAATAAAGAAGGGAACTCGAGAAAATATGGTCACTTACTCAAATGCAAAAGCAAAGTCTGGGATGTTGGGTTTCGTGTTGCTCGCTGTCTGGAAGCCTCTCCGCAGCACAGGGCCCGGGATAGCTTCTAGGTACGAGTGAGTACGCACCCGCTGCAGCAAGCGCAATGAGCGCAATACTCCTTGAGGTCTCATTCTGCAGAAGTACAGATTCAAATATCAAACAATATAAACACGTGGTAATGAGTGACTGTGTGGACGGTGTATATGTTGGAATTGTCGAAGGCCGTCGAAGCTGGTGCGGAGAGAGAGAGAGAGAGCGGTGATGCGGAGACGTCACAGCGGGTCTGACTGATACTTAACGGCTATAATAATTAATTATTTATTCTACACAACACCACACCACAACTACTGCGAGGAAGCCGCTTATCTCTTCTCAAACTACCTGGAGAAATAGATTCCTTCTACCATGGATGAGGCATGAAGTCATCACCGCACGCCGCGCAGGGTATCTATCTTCCCACGGAAATCGTCATTCAGATCGTATCCTTTGTCGCCTCTGACAATGCCCGCCGCCAACAGGATCTCCATGCCTGCTGCTTGATCTCTCGCCAGTGGTACTCTGCAGCAGTTCCTCTGCTCTACGAGAAGCCTAGACTCGATAATGGCTTGACATTTTCGCTGTTTGCGCGAACAGTCTGTCCGCCCATCAGCGCGCGTCCAAGCAAGGTCAAGCTGGGTAGTCTTGTGCGACGCTTGGATATGAGCTGGCAGGTCCACGAGAGCACCCATAGCCTTACCGCCAGGCTTCTTGGAAGAGTCAAGGAGAATCTGGAAGTATTTATTGCTCCAGCGGCTGCTTTTGCGTGAGTAAGAATCAGAGACACTTGTTCTGCGGATATTTTATCGTGGAGCTCCTTTTTTTTTTCTTTTTTTTGAAATCATATACATACTCTTGTACCATAGTGGCATCATATTGCAGTTTCACGTAGCCCTCAAGCGCATGTACTTCTTCGCCTAATGTTCAATATTGCATTCAACTACCGACTATACACCATAGACCAGACCCATAACTAATCGGACTCATACCACAGGATCAACTGCCTCGCCTCCCTTTCCAAATGCAACAACCTACGATACCTCGATCTCTACCTGGTCCGAGAATCCATCCCATTCACCAGTCTCAAGAAATCTCTAAGTAATCTCGAGAAACTCACCACCATTCGTCTTCCACGTTCTACATCCCTGAACGTTTCCGATTCCACCAATATCAAATGGCCATCGAATCTCCAACGACTCCAACTGAGCGGCAGTTTCCCTTCCTCCATCGGCTCCATCTCCTGGCCAGATCGACTGACCAGTCTAACTCTTCGGAGTTGCGAAGACCTCTCCGTCGCCCCCATGAGCAGTCTTCTCAGTAGTCCGCAGCTATCTCGAGCCCTGAAACGGCTCACGATCCTGGAGAATCGCCGCTTGGAGCCAGCGTCGATCAAGGCCATACCAATCTTCTTACCCCAGCTCAAGTTCCTTAGTGTACCAGGGGGGTTAGTCGACAATAGCTTTTTCGAAATGCTCATCGAGATGTCCACCCCGATAGCACTTGAGGTCCTCGAGTTCGGGCCCTGTGATAGCGATGGACTCCACTTCTCCTATTGGGCGCTTATAGATGCGCTCGATAAGGGACTGGCTAATCTCCGCACAGTTGGGTTCCATGTGAAATGGTGCACTGAGGAACGTATCACGGAAGACGAGTATATCGAACAAGCCCTGAAATCTCGGCATGAGATACCCACTACGAATGGCGATGCTGCGGCTGAGGCTGATGAAGATGTTGATGTGGGAGTCTATTATACATAATTAATGACAGATCACTCTTAGGCACCTCACCTACTAGCAACGAGTTCCCTAGTCCTGCGTTCAGTTCTAGAGACTTCGTACAGTATAGACACACCAAATGGCTAATCTAAACGAAACTCTAAAGACCCACTGGAAAGCTCGAGCACCAACATTCTACTGGCGATGGTCGCCTTAGAAGACGATAGTGATCGAAGGATAAGGGCAAATAAGCTTAGATTCTTTGATATACGATATAATGGGGCGGAAATGAGAGGATTGTGTATATAGAATTTACCCTTTGGGCGTCGCATTTAGAATAACATGCCCCGGTCTTTCTGGTCAGGTTTTCGCTCTTATAGAACGGTCTGGATATAATAAGAAGAAATTAAACGTCTGGGAATTCAGAACAGTTAAAATAATAAGTTCCTAATGTGAACATCTTACACTTTTCTAGCTGCACTGTAAGCGCGCATGTTTATTGAATCGCTTTTACCTAGGCATTACTTGAGAAAGACTGGATATTTGGCCTGGCGAATTTGATTTGTAAAGACAAGGTGCCTAAGCGAATGAAACAAGGTCTCAGCCAATACAATTATGAGCAACACGTGCCTAGAACATATCAATACCGCATTCTGAGTTCCTGCTATCTGCCAGCTCAGGCAGAAGTGCTAACAGCGCTACTGGTAGCAGTAGCACTCATAGGGGGCAAGCTACCCATTCCAGCCATGTTCATGCTGAAGTTGTCATTGACTTCAGCTCCCTCTTCAGTCCAATAACCCTCAGGCGAGAGGAAATCGTCTCTCGTGCTATTCACAGCGATCGAGATCCAGGCAAAGATGCCATCTGATACATCGTCACCCAGCAAGACGTATTCCACGAAGGGGTCAGTCGTATCAGCCTCCGTTGCAAGGATGCTGTCGTTAGAGTTCTCTGTCAACTCCTGCGTGTTGGTCGAATAGGGGGTGTTCTTCTCGACCTCGGTGATGAGATCCTGATCAAAGAAAATCTGACCGACATGCGACGAATGCGTGTCATACATGCCAGCAAGGGTGCCGTTAGGAAGAATCCTCGTCTCATTGGCGGGATATGTGACAACTGTTAAGAAATCGTCAGCAAGAGATCTATATAATAGGGAAAGATTCTAAGTTGTCAACGTACCATGGATATGCACGGCTCTGCCCGAATAGTGACCAGGGAAGATGCTCTCGAAATGGACCACGCCATCATTGCCGCTAGGTTGGATACCGCGAAGGAAAGTAGTATCGGCATTCTCAGTATCGTTCGAGTTGCCGTTTCCATTTGCCACTACACCAGAATAAACACCCTATGATGAAGTCAGGCATATAGAACAGCGTTTATTCAAAACAAGCTGGTGCACTGACCGTTGCGTTACAATGCCATATATCGGTATAGATGTTCGGCATAGGGTTGCAAGTATTCGTATCGACAAGCTGGATGTCGAGATAGAGGGGGACACCCTGCTGATCCTCAACCACATTCTTACGGATCAGCTCACCGGCAACGTCTATCGAAGTCAGTACACTTTTATTTGTGAATGCGGTCCTGGTCTTTCTCACAATAGGGTCCTTGCGTAACTTCAGGCTGTACGACACAAGTTCCTTCTGATGCGAACAGTATAGCGGGATCTGTAGAAGGGTTGACGTTGGTCAGGTTGGAATGATGGTTTTTGGCCAGCACAGAGTCCAAGTCGCGTGCTCTCAGATAGCGAGCATCTGAGAAAGGTTAGTTATATTGTGATAAAATGCCAGCCATTGGGTATGCCTCTTGATTTCTCGACGTACCAGTATTCAAGCCCCTCTTCTTGCGCAGCTGCTGCACAGCGTTCTCACGACGCGCAACGTTGGCATCCTCGACACCGCGGGCCTTGAGTTTCGAAATGCACTGCGAAATACCTCGCGAGTGGATGGGGTTATTGCGCAAGAAAGCAGCCCTCTCGGCAGCTTCTGCTTTGACATCGTGTCCAGGGTGAGCGAGTACAACACTTGCCAGGGCAGCAAGGCCGACAGTGAGAGTAGAAAGTTGAACCATTGCCAGGTCTCTAGAAATGAATCAATAAAGGAGCAATTGAACGGTATGAAGTTGGCTCTCTGCGAGGAGGTTGACTGAATGAGAAGCGCCGTTGTTGGCTTTCTCCTTCTCAATATATATCTTTCTATTTGTTCATGAGAACCGGGATGCAGGTCTACAAAGTATTTGGCTCTATCCCATAAAGGGTTTATAAGTACGAGCTGGCGCAGGAGAAGCTCTCCTCGTACCTCAAGCCCGACGTATCACCGTCGTTTGGTTTCTCATTCCATGTCTTCGAGGCATTGATCTGGTCTATTGGATAGGGATAAACAAGGTACATACTTCTCACCTCCAATGGCCATATTTTCGTAAGCCAGCTTACGGCGACGAACACTGGCCTCGTAATAACTGGCAAGGCACAATGATAACGGAGCAGAGATTATCACTGGGGTTGATCGCAGATCGTTCCCGGAAACAGCCGGATATAGATGTTTTTCTGCGTACTACGGATGGTCTGGAGGACTTGGCATAGCGGGCTGTGAAATGCAATTATGCCCCATGGTCAAATAGACTTATTATTATGATTATTATTATTATGGCTCCAAATGTTATGGAACCAGAAGGTCCTCATACGCTTGGCAATGATTGAAAACGCATACTCATCTATTGGCCGCGTCAGTTTCTAGATTCCCCGGGTTGTCTGTCTTTCAACTTTTAGTCTCGATGATCCTCCCCCGGCCTAGGGGGCTTTCTACTAAGCTTGTTCTTAACACCGTATTAGTGGCGTACAATATTCGTCTCGTATTTTGAATTAAACGCCAGGAGTTCTGAAGTGGCATTCACTCCGCGTATAGGACTTCGCGTGAGGTGGCAAGGTCATCCTGTCAACTGGATACATGTCGTTATCTTCTTATATGAAGAGGCAATCCCCTAAAATACCATAATGTTCATTGGTGTCCGTATAATCCGCAGATTGCGTAGCAGGCGAATTAGCAGGGCCACAAAGACCCATACGCAATGGAGCTGTAACATCTTGGCAGAGCACTATGAACCTAGGAGCATGGCAATGATGGACAGCTTTCGAGGCTATGCCGATTCCTCTTATTAATTCTAGCGTTGTTAATGCATGAAACAGATCGGCCGGATATCTACATTTGCGGTAAGTATAAACGATCATGTTTCGACGCGCGGTCTGTGCCAGAAACAGCACCACCTATAAAGCGGAGAAGGCGTGTATCTTATATGAATGAATTCTTGGCTTAAAACATCTTCAGCGCCTTTCCCGTCCTCCCTGTTGGACACTTGAGAATGTGGAACTACTCAATACCGGAAAAGGAAAGAAATTTGCACGTAGCCGGGCACAGCCGACTTGAGGCCATACGTACGTACTCCTTTGTATGGACAAATGTTTATCTTGCAGGGTGGCCGACATAAAAAAGGATGCGACAACAGCGTGGGAAGGATATGTTTTTCCAGAAAGGTAGGGGCAAAGTCGTACAGATATTCGCTTCTCTTTTCTTTTACTCCACGAGAATTGCTGTACACATTGAATATAGCCCATCATGCTCGTTTTCTGCAAGCTACTCGTTGCTCTTCTAGTGACAACTATCGTCGCTGCCCATCCTGGACCGGATCCGATTCTTCCTCGTTCAGCAATTCAGCGTCGTAGTACATTGGCCAGGCGATGTGCCAGCCATGTCGAGAGTTTTAACAAGCGCCGTATGGCCAAGAGAGCGATGAACAAGCGCTGGGCAGATTCAGGTCGCAACACCACGGTTGAAATCACTACGGAGGCACCCTACTACGAAACCATTCAGAATGACACCTGCGTTCTCACCCCCGAGGTGACTCGTGGTCCGTATGTCTGGCCGCGCTCCCAGACTCTACGTCAAGACATGACCGAGGACCAAGTGGGCGTCCCCCTGTGGCTTGATGTGGGAGTGCTGGATATGGCCTCTTGTGAACCTCTACCCAACGTCCTCCTCGATTTTTGGCATTGCAATGCAACTGGCTCTTATTCTTCGTTCACTGGACTGTCTCCAAACACCGACTTTGTTAAACTCCTGTCTGAGTTAAACATTACTGATTATGATTTGGGTGTTACCGACCTCCATACGGACGACACGACCTGGCTTCGTGGAATGTGGCCTACCAACAAAGAGGGTCTCATGGAAATGAAGACAATATTCCCTGGTCAGTCTGTTTAAGGCAGAGACGTGTAATCACCGCAAACTACCTAACCTATATATGCCCCAGGATTCTATACCGGACGTTCTATTCATATCCACGTACAGGCCCACACCAACTGGACTCTCCGAGGAAACGGTACCCTAGTATCCAGCAACACTGTCAGCACTGGTCAGATATATTTCGAGGAAGATCTGTCGCAGAAGATAATGGCCTTACAGCCTTACGCCTCCCATACGCAGATCAACCGCACCACTAACACTAATGACTCGGTTTTCTCCCAAGACACTGCGGGAGGATACAACCCAATTGTCTCCGTCGTCCCGGCAGACGGCAAGGATGTAAACAATGGCATGATCGGCTATATAACTATCGGTGTTGATACAAGCGCCATTGAAACATTCAATAAATAACCAAAGATATCTTGTATATAATGGCACTGACCATGAAATTGAAAATGAGATATTAGACTTCTTGTTGTGTATATTGAGCCCCACGAGCATTTCTAAACCCGTATGCCACTGGAAGCCTACACTGCATTTGACGGATGTTATGCTGTTAAACTTTGAAAAGATTACCCTATAACTTATCGGGATATAATACTCTTTTATTATCATTTGTAGTTATAATAGTGACGATCTCGAGGGTTTCTACTTAAGCTTATAAGTCTTTTTTTTTTGGCCGAAGGGTTACTGGGATTTAGGCTAGCTCCTAGGTGTCACGCTCGAGCAGACTAAATCAGATTCATTAAAGCTTCTAATCTAGTATGGCAGTATAATAGAGAACTTTAAGCTAGAGAAAGAAAAGAAAAAGAATTTAGAGAAGGAATCCTAATTCTTTTATTTATAGGATCCTTTATTTCTTAATTACTTCTAAATAATATAGGCAGTTAGATATTCTGCCGGCAGATTCTTCTCTCTATCTCTTTATTAGGTTAGCGCTGTGTTAGTACTGTAATATTACCCCCTTATTTAGGCTAATTTGTTCCTAAATTAGTGAGATAATTATTATTCTCTTATTCCTCTAGATAAATCTCTTTATTAGTATAATTAATCTAATAGTCTAAATTAGCTAGCGGCCTAGATTTATTAAAAAATTTATTATAGAACTCCTTAAGCTTTAGCAGTAAATTTTTAAAGTTTTTAATAAGATATTATATTAGATTTTTATTATACCTCTTCTATATAGCCCTATATTAGAGATATTTATATCTAGTTTAAATAACTAAGATTTAATTAACTTCTTATTTTAATTTACCCTAGATCTTAGCCGGCAAGGGCTCTTTATAGATTTAATAAAAAATAGGATTATTTAGCGCCCACTAGAGGTAATTTAGAAAGAATATAGGTTAAACCTTTATAATATTAGAGAGCTTTAATTTCTAAATATTTCCTATTTTTTTAAAAACCTTAAAGGGGCCTTTTATTTAGTTACTAAACTTTTATAAGGGTTAATTAAATATCTAGTTTATAGATTTAATAAAAACCTTATTGCTAATATTAAAATTAACCTCTTAATAATATTTATTAGTCTATCTCTTTTACTATTTTTAGGCCTTCTTAATAAAGGCTTCTATTATCTTCTAGATCTATTAAAGCCTATATACCTATTACTAAGCTTTAGTTTAATTAGCCTTTTTTAATATTAGGATAGACTATAGCACTAGTTACTAATTAAATAAAATATAGGGCTTATATTTATATTTAACTATAAATAGAAATATTTTTATAGATTTTTAGGTTAGTATTACTGCTATAAAATCAACTATTAATAAATAATCTGACTAATTATCCTAATAGTAGCTAATATAGGGTTAGAGTCTTTAGGCTATATATTAGTTTAAAACCTCTATTTACCTGTTAATCTAGGGGTATATAGCTAAAAAAAGCTTTAACTTTACTCCTAGCAAGAAATAAAATTTATCTTAAAAATTTAAAATAAATTACAGTCTGCAATTAGAAACTATTATATTAAAAGCATCCTTATAATAATATATATACTTAAAAAAAATCTTAGCTATAGTCTGTACTATAGCTATATTATAATAAAAAATTAAGATAAAATACTTACTAAAACAGTTAACTATAATAAATATTATATTATACTTATATTTATTTTTTAGGAAGGATTAGAAGTCTATTAAGATATATTACTATAGTTATTTAGAAATAGGTAATAGTTAAAATAGCCCTAGTAGAGAGTTTTAAGGGTTTTTAGTTTAGCGGCAGGTTAAATAATTATTAATATATTAGTTAATAAAACTAGTTATTTAAGGCTAATAATAGTAGGATTTTATTAGTTGCTATATTTTCTAGCATTTAGAATAGGCAGTAGAGACTTAATAATAGACTTTATTTAAAAGATATATCTGTAGATTTCCCTAATTTAAAATAATTAATTATTTACTATATAATAGGAGCTTATTTATTAATTAATATATAGAGCCTTCTTAGCCTATATCTTTACAGAACAGTACTAGTTTAGTATTTTTATAATTCTCTCTAAGAATTCTATTTACTAGGGTAAACTCTCTAGTTAATATTAAAGCTAAAAGGGTCTCTTACTCTATTAACTCCTTCTAGATTTATATATCTAAGACTTTAGGTCTTAATAGACGCTAGGTCTAGTATTAGTTTATCTACTTCTTCTAGTAGGAGATATTCTTTTTTTATTATAATAAGATATCGGCTAGAGTATTTAACTTCCTTAAGTAATATTAAATTAAAAAATAATAATAAGATAGAAACTTCGCCTATTAAGCCTATTTTAAATTTAATACTTTAGTAATTATAAAGTATTTAAAAGCATAGTAATCTATTAAAATATTAAATAGCTTATTTATCTATAAGCCTATAAGCTCTGCATACTATTTCTTAAGGGCTTATATAATTGCTAAAAGCTCCTTATTATAGATTAAATAGTTATATTTAGCTAATACTATTATCTTTAAATAATAGGCTATTAAATATTAGAGATCTTATTTATTTACCCGCTAAGTAAGTATAGTAACTATAATATTATTTAAAATATCTGTCTTAATATATATATTCTTATTAAAATTATAATTACATAGAATTAATGCTAATTAGAGATATTTCTTTAATATTTTAAAAGCCTTATAATACTTCTAATTAAAGTTAAAAGGGTAATTTTCTTTAATTAGGTCTATTATTAATCTTGTAATATAACTATAGTCTTTAATAAACCTCCTATAAAAGTTGCAGAAATCTAGGAATAAATAGACTTTATAGACTATTCTAAGCTATTCTCAATCTTAAATAACAGTAACTTTCTTAGAGTTAACTTTAATACCTTTTATGCTAATAATAAAACTAAGATATTTTATTTATATAATATAGAATTCGCACTTTTTAATATCGGCTTATAGGCTAGCTTTTTATAAATAGTATAGTAGGGGAAAACAGTAGAGAGGTTTTAAGAATATAATTAGGTTAGCAAGTTATATGCTATTATTAAAAGAAGTAGCTTAAATATTTCTAATAAGGTATAAGAGGAGAAAGGGCATTAATTAATTAGTTAATATAAAATAAAATAAATAATCCCCTTTTAATTATATTTTAATATTAGTTTAATATTAAAGCAGCCTCTCCTTTATTATACTATCTTATTCTTTAAGCTTCTCTTTTAGCTTTATTTTAAGGCCTAAAGACCTAAGCTACCCTTTCTTTTCTTTATATTTTTATGCTCTAAGACTTATTACTAAGTCTTAATACTCTTTTTTATAATAAATTAGAGCTAAATATAAGGGGTATTAAAATATTAAGTAAAAATAAGAAAGAAAGAAAAATTAAAAGCTAAAGTTAAGGCAGAAGTTAAAAAAAAGGATAAAAAATAATAAAAAAATAAATAAAACAGCTAAAGGAGATTATTACTATAAATAAAAAAAGATAAATATATTTTATAAATTAATAAAGACAGCAAATATAATATAGGATAAAAGTATATATTAGCAATAAAAGAAAGAAAAAACTATTAAATATAAGGAAGAACTTAGCAGATATAAAAAAAAAGCAAAAATTTAAAAAAAATAAGAAATTATTAAGTAAGAACTATTTATTAAAAAGTAAAAGAACTTCTTATTATTATCTTTATTACTATTTCTTTAAAAAAAATATAAAGAAAAGTACTAATCTTTTTAATATTAATAAAAATAAAAAAACTTCTAACTCCTTAATATTGCCAGATTTAAAGGTATAAATAGCTTAAGTATTTAAAAATATAGGGCTATTAATAATATAATTAATCTAAGTTATATTAACTCTACAGATATTAATACCTAGAAATCTAAAAGCACTATATTTTAGACTGGTTATATAGGTAGTTCGGTTTAGTTTGGGGGAGGGTTAGACCGCCTATAGCGGGTTTTAGTTTAGGGTAAGAAAACTATACCTAAACCAAACTGTATTTTGGCGGTTTAGTTTAAAATTAAAAAAACCAAAATATTTGCTAAGACCGGGCGCTAAACTAACTTAAGTTAGATTTTTCTTAAACAGTTCGGTTTAAATAGTTTATATAGTTTATAGTGTTAAAGGTATTAATATTTTATATTATTTTATATTATTATTAAATTTATATCCTTTTAAATCTATAGCTAAAAAATAGTTTAGATATAATATTATTATATTAAATCTAAAAATATAAAGATAGTCTTTTAAGATATTATTAAATATTAATATAGACTTTAAAATAATTGTTATAGAAATATATATATATATTTATAAACTATAGTGCTAATAGAGTATTATTAAATAATATATATAATTTATTATAAAAGCTAAAGTTATTAAATTAAAGAATAGATTTTATTTATTATTATTATTTTTAATAGAAAGTAATTTCTAGATTATTTTTTTAATAAGTTAATAGTAAAATTTATATATAATTAGTAAGTTATAACTTCTATAGAAAATATATAAATTCTATATATTTATAAAGTTTATTAAAATTCTAACTTAAGTTTAAACTACTAAGATTATATTATTTTTATAGCTATTTTTTTTTTATCTGGATATAGTTTTTAAGTTAAATATTATTCTTTTATAATAGATAATCCCCTAATTAAGCTGTTTAATATAGCTATTCTATTATAAATTATAGATACTTATTTTACCTTAATTTAGCTTTATTAATATAATATTATAATAATAAAATTAAGGTTTTTTTCTTATTAATTTTAAGAAATAATTTTGTATTAGAAGAAGAAATTAATGTAGTTATTTTTAGCTAGGATCTTGTGGATTATAATCCTAAATTATAAGATACTTTCTCTTATTATTTGAGGAAGTAATTAAAGTAATCCCCTAAATATATCAGAATTATTTGTCCTAAATTAGATTAGTTATTTATATTTTTATTAGTGTACTAAATATAATAAGCTAGGTTACTTAATGCTTTTTTACGGTAGACTATAAGTAGAA